TTTTAGATAAATAGAAATAACACAAATAAATAACCAATCTAGCATGACTAATATGAATAAGTGAGACTATCATAAAATATTGAAAAATATCATGAATTCAATTGATAAGAGGAGCAAATCAAAAACACTCATAATTTATCTATGCAAAAAATATGATATCTTTAATGTTTGAATTATCACATGCATTGGTTTAATTATATCAATAATTTAACCGAAGAACCCCCTCCCCCCCCCCCCCCAAAAAAAAATGCATGCAAAGTATTGGTCTCGTTGATTAAAACATTGATATCATTAATATGCAAATTCATTTGATGCGTGAAAAAAAGTTCAGTTATTGATAGCATCAATTCAGTTACATGTATTATTCACAAGAATTGAATATTAATGGTGCATTAAATAATCAATTAGTAATCAATATTTGAGTTTTTTTAATTAAGGAACTTCATACAAATTTAACTCCGCTTATTCAATGATATTTCTTAAACATACCTTCTAAAATTACTTTAATGTTAACTATTATATTTTACATCATGATCATAGACCCATAAACTTGCAATATAAATCTTATTTGAAAATAAGATGTAAAAGGTTCAGTTATTATACCGGTAATCATGCAAACAATTTGCATGCTAGATGTCCATGAGTAAGGAAGATTTCTAAGATAGAATTCATTTTCAATACATATAAATCAATTTAGCCCCAGTCTGGAACTTAAACCATGAACCCAGGAGTCAAGAATTTTATGATTTTGGTGAAAAGCTAGTGCTAACAATTCTGCTTGATGTCCAGGAGTAAACAAGAAGATTTTTGACATCCCTCATGCCACCAAAGTTGGTTGAAATTGGTTCAGCCAATCCTGAGAAAAAAAACTAAAATGTTCAAACGTAAATGATCTCAGGTGACCTAAATGAAATTTATATGTATTCTGGGAAAGGTTACCCATATGTGAAAAACAATCAAGAAATTGCTGATGTATGAGTTATCATACAAACTATATTCAAGATTTATATGTTTCCTTTACAGTTGCTATAAAGAAGAAAATACCAGCAAATTTGAAGGATTGTGAACCACCGATTTTGGTGTTTTAGTAATTGGGATGCAATTATTTATAGGCTATTAGCAAATTGTAATTGTCTTGTTTGTTTGTCCTTCAAACTTCTAGATCAAGGTGATGAAGTCAAAAATGATATACCTTTCTGAAAGGTGATTTCATAGGTAATGCACCTGTAAACTGTGAATGCCTTGTCTTCTTTCATTCAAAATTTCTTACAGATGTTAAAAAAATATGAAAAAGACTGAAGGTTAAACTTAAAGGTCACAAGGTCAAAAACCAGAGTATATTCAGAATAGATCTTGAAGCAGGTAATGCACATTTCATATGTAAATGCCCCATCTTTTCACATTCAAAAGGTATCAGCAATTTTAACATTTTTGAAAATTAGGTCAAACTTCAAGGTCAAGGTCATGGGGTTAAAAATCAAAGTACAGTTGAAAAGTTCTTGTCACAGATAATGCACATGTCAAATATGAATGTTATGTCTTCTCTCATTCACTTTTGAATGAAAGATGATAGGGTGTTCATATTTGACAAGTGGATTACCTGTGTCAAAAAGTTTCCGAGTGTGCTATGATATTCAACCCTAAGACCTTGAAGTTTGACTAATTCTCAAACATTTTATCACTGCTGCTAACTTTTGAAGGAGTGAAGATAGGGCATTCGCATTTGACACATGCATCATGCATTAACTGTGACAAGCATTTCCACATGTACTATGATTTTTAACCCCAAGACCTTGAAGTTTGACTTAATTTTCAAAATTTTGACATTGCTGATAACTTTGAGAGAAGATAGGGCATTTACATTTGACATGTGAATCACCTGTTTCAAGACCTTTCTGAATGTTCTCTTGTTCTGGACTCCATGACCTTGACCTTGAATTTGACCAACAGTCTTCTTCAAATTAAATTTACATTAGTAATAACTCTTGAATGAAAGAAGATAGGGTTTTCATATTTTTACATGTGCATTACCTATGACAATGCCTTTCAGAAAGATACATCATTTTTGACTTCATGACCTTGACCTAGAATTTTGACCTACTTATCAACTAGAAATATGCCCATAGGACATGAATGCCCCACCCAGGGTCCATTAGTAATGCAATATGAAAATTTGTATTAGTGTAAGAAGTTTGATGAAAATACCTTGAGTAGTTTCTTTAAAACCGAGTTTTTACACAAAAGAGGTCTAAGGGCCTTGAATCGCTCTTCTGATAAATTGTACAACCTATCACTTCTATTTGAAGCCTCTAAATATCCTGTATATTTAGATAAAGCCTTGAAATTCCAAAAGTAGGACCTACATTTGGTTAAACACTCTGAGAACCTTAGAAGAATCAGCTTACAAAGTTTGATGATTCAAAGTCCCTTATTATCTGAAATATTCAGATATATCCATGAGATTCCAAAAGTAGGTCACAGTGACCTCCTTTCTGATAAACATACTCAGAGACCCCAAAATGTCTCAACTCACAAAGTTTGATGCCTTTAAGTCTCTTTTTTATTTGAAATATTTAGATATTGCCTTGAAATTCAAAAAAGTAAGTCACTGTGACCCACTTTTTAGTTGACACATTCTGAGGACTCAGAATACAGCAACTAACAAAATTTGATGATTCAAATCCAATTATTATCTCAAATATTTAAATATAGTCGTAAAATGTCAAAAAGTAGGTCATGGTGACCTACTTTTCAGTTGAAACACTCTAAGGACCCAAGATGCATTGACTTACTCAGTTTGATGACTCTGAGCCAATCAGTATCTAAAATATTGAAATATAATCATAAACTACCAAAAGTAGGTTATGGTGTCCTACTATTTCAATTCAAAATGTAAGTCACTGTGACCCACTTTTTAGTTGACACATTCTGAGGACTCAAAATAAATCAACTGACAAAGTTTGATGATTCTAAGCCAATTAGTACCTGAAATATTTAAATATAGCCATAGGTTTCAAAAGTAAGTCATGTGACCTAATTTTCAGTTGACATTCTCCGAGGACAAGAGATGCATCAACTGACGAAGTTTGATGATTCTAAGCCAATTAATATCTCAAAATATTTAAATATAGCCATAAAATTTTGAAAGTAGGTCACAGTGACCTACCTTTTAGTTAACATTCTCTGAGGACCCAAGATGCATCAACTGACAAAGTTAGATGATTCTAAGCCAAGTGGTACCTGAAAATATTTAAATATAGCCAAAAAATTTCAAAAGTAGGTCATGGCCACCTACTTTTCAGTTGACGTTCTCCAGGGACCCAAGATGCATAAAAGTTTGATGATCGCCTTAAAGTGTCCAAAATATGCCTCGAAAACAATCTGAAAAGGAATGACTGCAAAATTTAAAAAGTAGGTCACACTGATCTACTTTTTGATAAATATGTTTTAAGGCCCCATGATGCATCAACTGACATGGTTTGATGATTCTAAACCTCTCAGTATCTGAAATAATGACCTTAAATGTTTTGAAAAAGATTAGACATAAAAAATTCAAAAAGTAGGTCATGGTGACCTACTTTTCAGTTGACGTACTCCGCGGACCCAAGATGCATGGTAATTGAAAAGCACGTAAATAATAATTTTTTTCAGCATTTTCAGCTCTTCTGAGCCAAAGAGCTAATGCTATGGTCATTTGTGAGGTGTGCAGTGTGCTGTATGTGTAAACTTTTTAGAATATGGGACATATCCCAAGAACCTCTTGGCCAATTTTTGTCAAATTAAATATTAAATACATGTAGTAAAGTCAAAGGTCATTGGGAAGGTCAAGGTAAAAAATAAATTGGACACAGTTGGTAAATTCTCACCAAATAATGTATCAGCACATATGCTCACAAAATTATTTTGAATAGTTTCTTTGAAACTAAACTAAACACAAATTTGAGAAAAGTGAGGTCAAAATCAAAGGAAAGATTGTTGGGAAGTTTGATAAAAATATCTTGAATAGTTTCTTTAAATTTAGCTTAACACAAATTTGAAGTCAAGGTCAAAGGAAAGGTCAAGGTCAGAAATGTTGATGCCATTGAATAGCTCTCATGAAAATATGTAAGTATAGAAAGATTGATAAAAATATCCTGAATAGTTTATTTGATATTTAGCTACACACAAATTTGAAGTCTAGGTCAAATGAAAAGTCAAGGGAAAAAATGTTGATGCAGTTGAATAGCTCTCGCTGAAATGTATCAGCATATTAAATTTAATAAAAATATCTTGAATAGTTTCTTTGAAACTGAGCTTAACACTTTTTTAAGAAAGTTAGGTCAAGGTCACAGAAAAGGTCATGGTCAAAAATTTTTGATGCATTTGAACAGCTCTCATCAATTTTTAATAAGCATATAATATTTTGTTTCATTGGAATTGAGATTATCACTAATTTAAGAAAGTAAGATCAAGGTTTAAAGGAAAGGTCAAGGGCAAAAATGTTGATGCAGTTGAATAGCTCTCATCAATATGTATCAGCATATATTTACATCCAACCTATATAATCTCCTGTATTTCTTATGAAAACCGTTGCTGTTAATCAGTTAATAAACACTGCTGAGGAAGTCACCTGTATAGATTTGTTGAGCAGCAGCTGTTCCATCAATGAAACATACAATGATGTACATATCAATGATACAAAAATTAACGTACTTAATTTATATATATGTATGGTTCTTTAAACAGATATAAATATAAACAATAAAATGTCTTTCTTTGTTAGTATGGGTGTAAGGCTATAGCTATTGCAGAAAAAAATTACATAACTGCAATAGCAATAGCTGCAACGTTAATTCCTGTACTAGCTACCAAAGAAAGTATTTTATTGTTTAAATAAAGTTTAATTAAAATATCTTGAATAATTTCTTTGAAACTTAGCTAACACAATATATGACATATGGACTATTACTCGTAATTGCATTAAAGATAAAAAATTTACTACAAAAAATATTGAGTCTAGATAATTGTCCAAAATTTATTTTGTATAATTAATCAGCATATTAGTAAATTTTGGATAGTTTAATATGTCAACACTGCTTCAAAAACCTGAGAGACAACTTGTAACCAGATACCAGGAAGGTTATAATTGAAATTTTGTTTAAGGTATAACTTGATTCTTCCCACTTAATCAACTCATACCCTGAGTAGTAGTTAGAAGTTGAAAGTTACCACTTTTGCCTGTTGGTTTTGAGTTGTTCAGACTACAAGTTGACAAGACACTCTGACACTTACAAAAATTGTGCAGAAGCATAATACAATGTATTAAGTTTTTTTTTAAAGAACCACTGTACACTCAGATTTCAAAGCTGAAATTACATGTTCTCTCTTCAAAATCTGCTTCCACTGTCTATAAAAGGTGTATCTGCTGCCAACATTCTTTAGTTTTCACATCACCTGAACACTGAATTTCATTCTACTTCTCCAAGGAAAATCTTCTTATCACTGCCACATGACAACACTGAGAAAAGTCAATAAATATCATTATCATAATGATCATTTTTCTTGTTAATAAAAGTATAATGCTTATTTTGTTCTTGAATAAATTGCATGTGCAAAGCACATGATAGATTCATCAGGAAAACAAGCAATAACTAGATTTCTGACAAGTCAGCAAGAGCCCCCCAGAGAGATATACATCTAAGGGTGGGGTTAAAGTTGATATTGGATTTGTACAAAAATGAATCCCACCATAAGGCATGCCAAAACAAAGAGTGCGCAAAAATTTCAAGCATCTGCAAAGACACAAGAATAAATCAGTACCGGCCTCTCCAGGGGTATAATAACAAATAATTCAAATCTTAATTTTATTTATTGATTTCCTGTGTTTTGATTGGATGAGAACAAATTCAAGAAAAAGTTTACACATCGATAAATCTCTCAACCAGAACTAAGGGTGAAACGTTTACTGAATTTTGTAAACGTTTAAACGAACAGCAGTAAACGAAATGTTACCGTTTAAACGGGAGAATATTTTGTGTTGAATTTTTATGGTTACTTACTCATTAAACACTAATTTAATACTCTATTCTTTCACTATAATGTAAGTATGAGTTGTTATAACTATTTATTTGTTGGTTTTTATGACGAAAGAATATGAAGCGCATAAAACTCATTCACTTTTACACTGCATTAATAGTTTGTTTGGCTACATACCGGACGTAGAAAAAGCATTGTCAAATTAATCTTGCAAAGATGGCTCTTTTAATCCTGAATTAAGTATACCGCGATTTGCTGACTGTGTTGAAACACTTTTCAAAGACTGGTGAAAACGTATTATATTTAAATTTAATCAACGTAAATCAAGTTTGATACTTGGAAAAATAAAATAAAATCATAATAAATCTTTAGTATTCGCTACTCGGAAATCGGAATCAAATATGTTAGACGCAATTGGGTTTTAGATATTTTAGTTTAATAACATGTTTCCAGTATCGATTTAAACAGAAAACAATTGTTTTCTTTGGTAATTATGAAATTAAACAACTTGTTTGTATTTATCTTTACTTCTGATAGACATTGATAATGACCTTCGTCTAAACGTTTACACAATTCGTAAACGTTTAGAGCATTTAATCGAAACGTCGCCGTTTACACGTGTAATCGTTTCGCCCTTAACCAGAACTACTTTCTTGGTCTAGCTTTTATTGTAAAAAAAAATGAAATCGTTACTTATAGTCTGTTTTAGCTAAACGATTACAGAAACTTTAAATTAAATAAAAACAATACTGACGACATACAGGACTGACAGAGGGGAATGCTATGTTTATGTCACTGTCAGATCACAAGTGTGACTTTTTATTTAAATTTCTCATAGGATATTATCGTCATTCTTAATGCTAAGCAAATCAGCTCAGTTCTTAGTACATGTAGCTGATAGGAAAGAGAATTAAACTACCTCAGACTCTTGCCTTAATAGCATCAAATTCATATTTCTACATGCTATATTCTGTCACATCTTTAAACAAACCAGAGCAAATCACCGGTGTTGTCAGAGTGCTACTTTCATTTTAGACCATTTATCATTAATGTCAACATGGTCAAGGACAAATTCTTCTGAAGTCTACTTGTATTTACGATATTCGTTGACTTAAACAATATTCAAAGAGTTTTTATAATTTGTTTTATTGAATGTTTTGACAATTTAAGTTAAACTTTATCGATGTTCATCTCAATTGAGTTTCATTTCCACATCACGACATAAAGTATTCCTACGCTGCATACAGAAATAACCGATTGTATGGAGGCTTGAAAGAGAAATTATTTTAAAACTTCGTAATTGGAATTATAAGAATTAAACATTCTTTTTGAAAATGTTATTGATGTGTAAACTCTTGACATTTTACTCAAATTTATACATAGAAGAATTTTTATCCAAACGAGAAAATCGTCAATTATCATTTAGCCGATAGTAATGAAGATCTTGTTGAAATAATTAACAGCTTGATGAACGAACTGTTTTAGGACATTGAAAATATAGAATTAAAAATTCCTGTATTTTGGTTTTGATGATTTTTTTCCAGTCATATTCAGTAGGCTGTAACAGGGAGATATATACAGGAACTTTAATTGTAGTATACACGACCCTGGCTGTAGGTTGTTTAGAAATCTCTATAAATTCCTCGTTAGAATCGGTTTCTGGCTCAGCCTAGTAAGGTCTGATGCAAAGCTCAATAATTATTCCGTCTGGATTTTTAAAACTTATAGACCAATGCCTCATATCAAAGCTAAAATCGTCGTCGTTTTCAAAGTTAATCTCATTGTCGTTAATACTGACCCGCTTATGCGGTACATGTTGTGACGTCACACCAGTAGAGCCTCGTTATCGATCATTTCTATTTTCGCTTGATTGGATTTTCAAAACAGGTAAAAATAGGCACCTTTAAAGCGCGATAACTTCGTTATTTGTGCATAGATTTCGATGCGGTTTTTTTCTTTCGTATTATTTTATTGTGATCTTTATCATTTCAAAAAATAAAATGCTACTGCAGGTAATCTTTAACATAAAAGTGCTTTGCACTTTTATTTAGTTTGTGAATAAAATGTCAAGAGTTTACACATCCATACATGTGATATGTACCGGCTGTACGCAAAATGTACAGTTTTTCGGGCCCATTCATCGTGTACCGGCGGGACAAAAAAATTCACGGAATATGAAAATTTGTACAGTATTTTGAATTTCTAGCTAAATGCCGCCATTTTCCTCTCATTCTCGCTCGCGAGACACTGGGAAACGTCACCTGTGTTTGACACTTGACCTTCTGATAATTGTGTAGTGTACATAAACCATCGTGTGCGAAGGTGTGAACTGCCAGTTGGGATAATTATCTTGCTAATATGTTGACGGTGCAACCGTTAGGGCGAGCGCAGATACCTTTCAGTTTTAATTTAGATCGGGCTCGTCAAACAGCACGTAACATTTACTACGTCTAAACTCTGACTTCATATGACGTCGTATGTATGTTGCATTACCAAAACGAAGTCTGAACAGTGCTAATTTTGATCTACTATTTATTTGCTTTATATCCATTATATCAAGGTGATTTTATTTTTTGTCGAATTTTTGTTGCTACCGCGAGAACGTTGTTTGCGGCGAGATGCAATTTGGATCAAAGTGTAAAGTCAGAATTTTCTCTTCGCCCAGGCGTTGCTTTAAGAGCTCGCAGTGACGAGCGGCGCTTCGCGCCGATCGCTGCGCTCGCTATAAATCCGTATCAAATACCCCTTTAGGTAGCTTTATGTTTTAAGGTGTACTTAATTACTGTTAATGTTTCGTATACGTAACTTGATTGAAAAAAATTAAGCCAACTTTTTAAAGTTGATATACATGACTTATGATATACATGACTTAATATGCGTGAATCTGACCCAGATCTTCGTAGGTATAAAATATACGATGTTTATTAAAATGAATACGCTGGAATTTCGTCAGAATTTAAGCGATATTTTATACCATTTTTTGTACCGTTTTTTGATAGGCAGTGTACAGTTTTTTCACCCAAATTCCAGTTTTTTTTATGGCTCCTGTACAGTTTTGTGGTCTTTGACTTATCACATGTATGCACATCGATAAAATTTTCAAAAAGAATGTTTAATCCTATAATAAATGTATGAAGGCTTTCATTTTGTGGAAATATGCAGGATGAGCACCCAATACCAGTTAAAAAGCATTTAACACCATTACCAAGAACACTGAGGGTACTGGATAAGTTATGCTGAAATCTTGCACTCCAAAAATAGGGCTCAGTGATAAGAACAGAATAACCAATTGATTGAAATAACATCTTTATAAATTGAGCACCTGGAATCTATCAAGAATCGACTGATTTTTTATCATAATCAATGATTAGAACAATGCTAGCTAAAAAACCAATAAAAAGAATTTTGTATCTTGGCTTATCTACTTCTGCACCAAGTTCTACTGATATTTGACAAAACTGCAGAAGGAGGAATGTTTTGAAAAATTTACAGACAAGACAGAAAGATGAAGGTCAATTTACTATTGCATAAGGTCTTTTTGTCTTTAATCAGTAGAGCTTAAAATGAACTATGTTATACCTATTGGTTCTGTGGGATGGAATCCTACATCATTGACAGACCCTGCATGTCCTGGTAACTTATACAATATCCTGCGTGATGTAGTGTCCCATATATACAAATAACGATCACCTGATCCTGCTGAAATCTTACTGCCATCTGATGACCAAGCACAACGTAACAAATTCTGAAAAATTAATAAATGGTGGATAATACTGAAAATATTCTTGAAGATGATAAAATTATAAGAGGCTCATGAGCCACTACGCTCTCCTTAGTCATCATTGCCCTGCTGTTCTTTATCAGTAGATTTTTCTTTCTAAAAATCTCTTTTTTAGGTAGAAGTGAGTTTCACAATTTTATTCCATTTTTTTTTTTAAAAATATGATTATGTATCATATTCTTCCTATTTGTGACTTGTCGCTTGATTATTTTATCTTTTCACAAATATTAACAAATTAATGCGTTTTATTTTCATGCATATAGTATTTAAAACAATTTATATGCCTATCTGACTTTTCCAGACATACGTATTTTATAAGATATTTTTATACTGTGCCTTTATTAATGGCAAATTTTAACTAATGCATATTTTTTGCAATTTTTTTTCTTTATATTTTCTTTAAAAAAAATCCTACAAAAATAATTAAGAGATAATATCAGTCTTTCCATGCTAAAATCTGTTCTTGAGAAAGAGATTTTTTAGACATTTTCCCTATACCGTGGGTATATTACAATGTAATATTTTGATAATGTTAGTCATGATTTCAACAAACATGAATCTACACTGCCTAAGGATGCTTCAGTATAAATATGATTAATCATGCCTTTGCTGTTCTTGAGAAGAATTATTTAGATTTTTTTTTTCTTATATATTCCCATGTAAAACCAATGGTTGCCTAAAGTGGCCCAACTCTACCCTTGGGGGTGGGGGTTATGATTTGAATAAACTTGAAATAAACTAACTGAGGATGCTTACATATTTATATGACTAATCAGGGCTTGGCTGTTCCTTGAGAAAGTTTATAATGCATTTTTCCTTTATATTCCTTTGTAAAATTTTGATATCCTAATGTGCCCCCACCCCCCAAGTGCTGGTGCCTTGGGGTCATGATTTGAACAAACTTTAACCTACACTTGGTAATAAAGCTTTTACATGTTTCATCTTTTCTAGCCCAGTGATTCTTGAGAAAAGGATTATTAATTGATGCCATCAACTTTTCACTAATTCTTTATTATCTCCCCCTGAAAAAAAGGTTGTCCTTTATTTAAATAACTTGAATCCACTCGACCCAGAATGCATGTGCAAAGTTAAGATGAAATTGGCTCAGTGGTTCTGGAGAAGAAGATGAAATTTTAAGATGACAACATCAGACAAAAAATTTTGATCAGAAAAAGCTCAAGTGAGCTAAAAACTAATTAAAGATATGTATAATACATTTATCTTTAATCAATGTCATTCATTTATTCATTGCACAATGTAGACACCTGATTTTCAAAGTAAACTTACGAAGAAATTTTACAGTTGTTTTCATTTTACAGCTGTTTCAGAGAATATGCTTTTACAGGTTTCTTAAATGATTTCCATAGAAAATGCTAGTGTATGCATTACAATTTTCAACTGACATTTCATTTATCTCTACATTCACTTCTGTTGGAAGGATACTCTTATAACCTGAAAGTTGTTCCTCTCCTGGTGTTTTTATTATACAGTCAAACCTTGTTATCTCAAACTCGATGGGACCAAGAAAAAACTTTGAGATAACTGAAGGTTCGAGATAGTGAGGGTAAAATACTTAAAACACTTCAACATATCCATGGTATTTGAGATTTCCTTGTTTGAGATACCGAAGTTCAACTGTATACGTATATATGTAAGAAATATATCTTTTTCTTTACTGAAAATATCAATGAAATTGATAGATAAGCTGAATACAGTGAACAAAATGAATTATTACCTGATGTACTTTCCTTACCTTCTCAAATGTGTGCTGATGACCTTGGAAAAGTTTAACACATCTTTCCTGTGGGGCAAATGGTCTTACATCCCATATTCTTACTGAATTAAAAAACAACAATGATTAACTAGAGGTCCATGGGCCACAATGCTCATCTGAGTCATCACTATGGCCCTTCTGTTCTTTATCATCAGATTTTTTCTCTATATATTCCTATGTAAGATTAAGATCACATATTGTGATCCCACCCTACCCCCAATTATCAAGATTTGAACAAACTTGAATCTACACTACCTGATGATGCTTCCATATAAATATGGCTAATCATGATTTTGCTTTTTTTCAGAAGAAAACTTTAAAAAATTTTCTACATATGCTTAATATACTGGAAAAATTTGATCGCCCATCAAGACCCTCTCCTACCACCTAGGGAACAAACTTGAATCTACTCTTTGTCGGGAAGCTTTCACATAAGTTTCATCTTAGAAGTAGATGAAAATGTGAAAAATTTACACCACCACCAACAACAATGACAGACAATGGACAAATTTTGACCATGAAAGCTCACTTGAGCCTTTGGCTCAGGTAAGCTAAAAACACTGATTATTAAAAAGTTATTTTCCAATCATGGACCTTGAGAATCATTTAAGTATCACGAGTATTTCCACATTCTCTCCAGAACATAAGCCAGCTTTGTATGTCATATTGAGCAGGTTGGAGAGAATACTTGAAATTGAGTACCATCTGTGAAATCCCTTATAGAACCCCATATTGAGCGTTGTTGAATCCATGAAATTGGGTATCCTTCGCAACTTTCTGTATAAACAGAAAGAAACAAAGCAATGATGTATGATGTCAGTGTTTATGTACCTCTGTTTCTTGGGGGTTTATTTTTATTGAATCCCATTTACAAGTTTTTTTTCTGAATAGCTGAAAATGACATGACAAAACATATGAGATAGCAAGGAAGACATGGTAACATCATTATTCTTCACTGAAAACATCAAAAACAAATATCTTCATGTTATTTGTGTTTATTTCCAACTAGAATATTCCCTAAGCTTAATTTGTAAACTTTCGCTGTATTCACAAATTGTTTTTGTTTGTTTGTTGTTTAACGTCCCTATTGAGAATTTTTCATTCATATGGAGTCACCACCACTTGCTAGTAGAAGGGCTGCGAATTTTGACCTATACTCGGCACTCAGGGCCATTGAGCAGTGAGGGATCTTATTCATGCCAGCACCTACTGCAACACGGGACCTAGGTTTATACAGTCTCATCCAAAGGACCGGTCTCCATGTCCCGCAATGGATTTGAACCCTTGACGTAAGGATCAACCCCTTACATCATGACTCTAGAGCAAACACTCCAACCACTGCGCCTCGAGGGTGACTTCACAAATTGTAAAACATTGAAGAAAACTAACAACTCACTGTTTGTCATCTATTTTGTACATGTATCTTAAAATGTATGAAGTCCCTTTCATGCTAAAAATCTGACAATGCTCTATTGTTGGTGTAAGTATTTCTTGCTGATATACACCAATGGGATATACATGAAGCAAAAATTAATAATTTCATGTACTGGAAAGCTGGTTATGTAAGATTAAAAGACATAAATGTATCAAAATCGAATTTCATTACAGGCCTAAACAGCAGATTTGTTGTGATTGTGTTAGAAAAAGCACATGAGGGAAATGAAACATTTTTTTTAATTGCAATGATAGAACAATTCCTTATTAGTAGCATATCTAAAAGTTATGACTAGAAGTATGTCCATAGGACATGAATGCCCTGCCGAGGGTATATTAGTAATGCAACATGAAAATTTGTATTAGTGTATGAAATTTGATGAGAATATCTTGAATAGTTTAAAATTGAAATCTAAAAAGTTGGATACGACAATAAATTCTCACCAAATTATGTTTAAGTGCTAAAGCTTACATAAATATATCTTACATGGTTTCTTTAAAATTGAGCAAAATGCAAATTTAAGAAAAGTGAAGTCAAGGTCACAGGAAAGTTCAAGGTCAAACATTTTTTGATGCAGTTGAATAGTTCTCACAAATAAGTATCAGCATATTAAGTTTGATAAAAATATTTTGAATGGTTTATTTAAAACTGAGCAAAACACTAATTTTAAATAAATGAAGTTAAGGTCAAAGGAAAGGTCAAGGTCAAAAAATGTTGATGCAGTTAAAAAGGTTACATCAGTATGCATTAGCATATGAAGTTTGATAAAAATATTATTAATGGTTCCTTTAAAACTAGTTAAACAGAGAAAATTGAGGTCAAGGTAAAAGGAAAGGTCAAGGTAAAAAAAATTTGATGCAGTTGAATAGCTCTCATCAGTATGTATCAGCATATGAAGTTTGATAAAAATATCTTGAATGATTTCATTAAAAACTGAGCTAAACTCTAATTTAAGAAAAGTGAGGTCAAGGTCAAAGGAAAGGTCAAGTCAAAAATGTTGAAGCAGTTGAATAGCTTACATCAGTATGTATCAACATATGAAGTTTGATTACACTATCTTGAATTGTATCTTTAAAACTGAGCTAAACACTAATTCAAGAAAAGTGAGTTCAAAGTCAAAGGAAAGGTCAAGGTCAAAAAATGTTGATGCAGTTGAATAGCTTACTTCAGTATGTATCAACATGTGAAGTTTGATCACACTTTCTTGAATGGTATCTTTAAAACTGAGCTAAACACTAATTTAAGAAAAGTGAGTTCAAGGTCAAAGGAAAGGTCAAGGTCAAAAAATGTTGCATAGCTCTCATCAATATTTATCAGCATATGAAGTTTGATAAAAATATCTTGGATAGTTTCTTTGAAACTGAGCTTTGAACTGAGCTAAACACAAAGCGCGATGGAAAGACAGACGGAAGGTTGGAAGGACAGAAGACAGACATGACAAACATTATTTGCCCCTGCCATATTTATGGCAGGGCATAAAAATTGCCTAATAATGTAAAGTCTTAGTTTTTGTTAATATATATTTTTTTTATATCTTAACAGATATTTATTAATTTATGATTTTATAAAAAAAAAACTGTATCCAAGAATAACAGCGGATGTATCATCAATTTGTTTTATCAACAGCCTAATAGAAAATTAGTCAGTTCTCCGTAAAGTATCTTAGCAATAGTAGTTCACAAAAAAACTTGTATTTGTATTTTGTATTACAGTCACAGCTAATGAACTTACCAGGTATATCCCCCCTCCTGCCACACTCATACACACTTTTATCTTTTATTGAATATTATAATAAATACAAGTATATAGATGACCAGGTTTGTGCAGAGCTGTGCAATGGTACACGCAGACCTGCATTTTATTTTTACTCCTTTTTTACAACTTGAATTCAAGAAAATTATAATGAAAGTGTTTGCATTTTTAATTCAGGATAAAAAAAAAATTAAAAACTATTTTGAAAAGCTGGTCAAAGATCAAGTTCAAAGTCAAGCACAAAGTCATTATTGTGAAGAGGATAACCAGAAATATGTCCATAGGACATGAATGCCCCAGCCTAGGGTTTATAAGTAATGCAATGTACCTTGATTCTTTGTTTAAGATAAGAGTAATTGAGGACTAGTGAGGTTAAGGTCACAGGGAAGGTAAAGGTTAAAATTTAGACACAGTTGAATAGCTCTCACCAGTTTGTATTAGGTATGGAGTTTGATGAAAATATCATGAATAGTTTCTTTGAAACTGACTTTTAAACACATCAAATAGTAAAATCAAAGATCACATAGAAGGTCAATCAAGGGAAAAAAATGGACACAGTTAATATCTTCTCAACAATATATATCAGTATATGCATAAAATACCAATATATATCAGTGTATAAAAACTTAAGAATAGTAAGGTCATGGTCATACAGTCAGCCAAGGTCAAAAAATGTTGATGCTGTTGAATAGATCTCACCAATACGTATCAGCATATGAAGTTTGATAAATATATCTAAAATAGTTTCATTGAAACTGAGCTATGTGTAAATTTAGGAAAGTTATGTCAAGGTCAGCAGGAATGTAACTGTAAAAAAAAATTGATGCAGTTCAAAAGCACTCACCAGAATGTATCAGCAAATGAAGTTTAATAAAAATATCTTGAATAGTTTCTAAACACAAATTTAAGAAAAGTGAGGTCAGGATCAAAGTTCAAGGTCCAAATTTGTTGATGCAATTGAATAGCTATCATCAATATGTATCAGCATATGAACTTTGATACAAATATCTTGAACAGTTTCTTTGAAACTCCGCTAAACATAAATTTAAGAAAAGTGAGGTCAAGGTCAAAGGAAAGGTCAAAGTCCAAGTATTTTGATGCAGTTGAATAGCTCTGATCAATATGCATCAGCATATGAAGTTTGATAAAAATATTTTGAATAATTTCTTTGAAACTGAGCTAAACACAAATTTAAGACTAGTAACCCAAGGGCCTTAAGGGTCACCTGAGTATAATATAATTTTCAAAAATTGATGAATTTTAATGAATGTCTAATCAACAGAGCCCTGCCCTTATACCAGAACCCCTGACCCAGGGCCAGAATTTTCACAATTTTGATAGAGGTACCCTTGTTCATCATGATTATGCACTGAGTTTATCTGCTTAATATCCAGGAGCAGAGAAAAAGATTTTCAATGAATTTATGTATTTGCACTATAAAATCAATAGAGCCCTGTCTTAAATCCAGAACCTCTGACCCAGTGACCCAGGAATTTCCCAAATTTGGAAGAGACACCCTTGCTTATTATAACCATGCACTTAGTTTGTTAACTTTGCTTTAGTACCCAGGAGCAGAAATTTTCAAAGAAATAATGCATTTTCACTGTATAATGAATAGAGCCCCACCATAATACCAGAATCCCTGACCAAGGGGCCATGAATTTCACAAATTTAGACTGGGGCGTCTTTGCTCAGCATAACCAGGCAATTAGTTTGTCTGCTAAATATATATGGGTAGAGAAGAAAATTTTTGAAGAATTTATGCATTTGCACTTTATGATCAATAGAGCCCTGTCCTAACACCAGAACCTCTAACCCAGGTGCCATGAATATTACAATTTTGGAAGAAGTACCCCTTGCTTATCATTACTATGGACTTAATTTACTTGCTAATTCCCGAGGAGCAGAGAAGAAGATTTTCAAAGAATTAATGAATTTTCACTATGTAATCAATCGAGGTTTCATAAAAATATCTTGTATAACTCCTTTTAACCTGAGCTGAATGGAAATGTGATGGATGGACAGATGGAAGGATGAAGGATGGAAAGACAGAAGGATGGAAGACATGACAAACTCTATATGCCCCGGCCATATTCATAGTGGTGCATAAAAATGTTCAAAACTTTTCAACTGACAGTTGAACTGACAGAAGATGAAAAACAGATTTCAGACTACAGGTACGTGTACAATGAAGCTTTGTTTGTCTCATCCATGAGAGAAGCAATACCTGTGTTATCCATGGAGTTAGACAGGAGATAGGACCCATCTGCACTCAGCTGTATACCTGTCACTGTGTCTGTATGGCCTCGTAATCGGTACAGAATGTCATTCTTTCTTAAGTCCCATACCTGTGAATGGAAGAATAAATACTTTGAAAAGTATATATTACATGTAATTGTTCATATATTTAGCATGAAGAACACAGTTACTGGAAGGACATATGGAATAAAAGCATATATATATTGAATTGTTAAGATTCTAAGGTGTTAAATATATATACAATTGTAATCCATCACAGCTTACTGCATCCAGTAACACAGAGTGAATGTTTCATATCCTAGAACAAAGTGTGCTACACTGAGGTATAAGCTCTAGTTGATTGTGTTTTAGTTACTGAAAATTAATAGACTTAAATGCCTTTTATATTGAGAATGAACATTCATTTAAGACAAATAATTGAAAGAAAATTACACATATCTCTATTAAAAGTTTTGAATAGTTTTTTTTTGTTTGTATATTGTTTAACGTCCCTCTTGAGAATTTTTCACTCATATGAAGACGCGACCACTTGCCGGTGGAGAGCTGCAAATTTTGTCCTATACTCGACACTTACGGCCATTGAGCAGTGAAGGATCTTTTTCGTGCCAGCACCTACTGCGACACAGGACCTCAGTTTATATGGTCTCATCCGAAGGACTGGTCTCCACGTCCCACAGTGGGATTCGAACCTGATCCTAAGGATCAACTCCTTACTCCGTGACTCTAGAGCAGACGCTCAAACCACTGCGCCACGCAGGCGACTGATTTAAATAGTGCTTAGAAAGGCTAGAATTGCTTAGAAAGGCTAGAATTTTAAAAGAAAGTGTTGTGCCAAGGGAATTCATACCATGACTCTAAAAACAAGAAGTCTGTGAGCCAATGCTCACTAATAATACCCCCGCTCTGATGTGAATACACAAGTTCAATTATGGACAGACACAGTGATAATCAGGAAATTGACATCAGATTTGTACAAAAATGAATCCCACCATATGGCATGCCTAAACAAAGAGTGTGTAAAAATTTCAAGCATCTGTGATGAGTAGTTGCTGAGAAAACTGCCACCCAAATTTGTTATGTATGGTACGGACAGATGCACGGATAAACAGGAAGATGATATAGGATTTGTACAAAAATGATTCCCACTTATGGCATGCCTAAACAAAGGGTGTGCTAAAATTTCAAGCATCTGCAATGAGTAGTTGCTGAGAAAACTGCAACCAAAATTTGTTATGTATGGTACGGACAGAGGCACGGATAAACAGGAAGTTGACATTGGATTTTTACAAAAATGAATCCCACCATATGACATGCCTTAACAAAGAGTGTGCTAAAATTTCAAGCATCTGCAATGAGTAGTTGCTGAGAAAACTGCAGCCAAAATTTTTATGTATGCTACGGACAGATGCACGGATCAACAGGAAGTCGACATCAGATTTGTACAAAAATGAATATCACAATATGGCATGCCTAAACAAAGAGTGTGCTAAAATTTCAAGCATCTGCAATGAGTAGTTGCTGAGAAAACTGCGACCAAAATTTGTTACGGACAGACACGCAAGGGTAAAACAGTATACCCCCCTCTCCTTCGCAGCGGGGTATAATAACATTTATTATGAGAGTCAGCAGTCTAATTATATCTGAGCTATCCTAACCATGCATGCAAAAATATGGTTTAAACAAACATATCAACTCTACTGCTTAAGGCAGCATCACTTTTTGAAAGGCTAAAGCGGCCACTCAAAGTTACTGTGATGAGAATGAAAAATATTGATTTGCATAATTTATTTATGAAGGGTGATCAAAAAGTTTGCCAACTATCTCTGTATCTACATAACCACAATTCAGATCAGAATGAAATTTGTATACATACAGTAATAAACATGTTCTATAAATAGGATGTGATGCGTAATATTTTGCACCATGTTTATGATGTCATGATGTATAAATGATGTCAATAAATGATTTGTGACCATAAAAAATGCTTGGCTCAGTTGTACAATGTACTCCAGCAAGGATCAGCTGTAAAGTTTGATGCATATCTTGGAAAGTCCTTTGCTGCAATATATAATGATTTGTACAAGGTTTATGGCAACAAAGGACTTGCCAAAAGTTCAATTAGTAATTGAATGGATTGTTTTAGTGAAGGGAGATAGTTAAAAATAGGGAGATGGTTAAAAATGTTTTTCTGGGTGCCTAGTGAAAGTGAGTTGGGAAAGATATGATAAAGACAAAGTGCCCATACTTGATCTACAATGGATATATGATGCGCCCAAGACAGAGGAGTGGGGTTGTGATGGACACCATTCTTGGGAAAGGAAATCCTTATCCACCCATCTTGAGTCTGAGATTTAGCATTTTGTGACATACGGGCTATTCTTGTTATAAAAAAATAACCTATGTGGTAAGAAATATAAGACCAGGGAAAATTTTTGGGCTGTTGGGAACAGTACGCTATGGAGCATGTCAAATGACCCCTGGATCACATTTCATGCTTTGGCAGAAGGTGGCATATGTGTAAAACCAGAGGGGCCTACTTTGACAAAGAATGAACAAAGAAACCCAATTGAATTTTTTTTAATGACAGTTACAAACTTTCTGACCACCCTTCATAAATGATGTTTTTGTCTATTTCATTTGATTTTATTTATTGCAGAGGTCATTTGTGGCCAAATTTACATATTTATATTTAAAAAAAAAACACCATGTGCAATGTTACCTCTTCTGAGGTCTGAATCTCCCTCTTTTTCATCATAGTAGGTTAACATGTCTTCATAGATCAGAAAAGTGACTACATAGGTTGCAAAGTAATATCTAATGAAAAACCATAACCTTAACCAGTACCAGTATTATGATATGTTATATAATTTTTATTTGCATGATGTCTAAAAGTATTGAAAAAAGGGGTTTTAAGGAATGCATGAATTTGATGGTTTTGGTCCCATCTCTCATGCACTAGAGAATATGGAACTATGACATTCACAATATTTGTTCCCTTTCATCCATTGATTTACTTCTCAAACTGATTAAAATTGGTTCATCCATTTTTTGAGAAGTAGCTAAACAAGAGGCCAGAGGCCTTCTTATTACAATCTTGCCAACAGTTTGACTGCTTGATTCCAGGAGTAAACAAGAACATTTTTAAAGATTGCATAAATTTTGATGGTTTTAGCCCCACCCCTCAGGCCCCAGGAGGGGCAGGGGCCATGAATTTTAAAATCTAACTTCCCTTCACCCATAGATGTTATATGCCAAAATTGGTTGAAATTGGTTCCATGGTTCCAGAGAAGAGGCTGAAAATGTTTAAATGTTAATGCACTTTGCACGGTGACGGGCGAAAACAGAAGGCAAAAGGTCACATGAGTTTACTCAGGTGACCTAAAAATTCAAAAGTTCACAAAAGACATACAAAACAGACATGAATCCATAGCAATAGATTTCTTGGGTAATTCATGTGACTTAATAGAATTATTGGCTTCCATTGTTTGATATATTGTATTTACCTTTATATCATTATCTATTCCTCCTGATAAAACTTGTTCAGCTGTGTCATTGAATGATACTGCTGTCACCTGGTATGTGTTTTGAAATGTTTGCTGGCATCCTTTTTTCCGAGCATCCCATAACTGTAACATTAATTGTACAAGGCAATGAGTTTAAATTGAAGAATTTAAAAAAAAAAAGATTAAAATGTTTGAAATCTTTTGTGATATGTATGTTTTTTTTTTTGGTTGTTGTTGCTTTTACAACTTTGTAAATAAGAGGCCTATGGACCACAATGCTCATATAAGTCAACTATGCTCTGCAGTTCTTCAAAAGATCTTTAAAAGATTTTTATCCTTTTTTAAGGAAGCTTTAAACACTGCTCACTGAAGAGTACCAATTCCAGGATAGTCTTATGCCATAATCTTTTGAAACCATATTGAAGTTTTATTCTTGCTCCACAGGGTCATGACTTAACCAAACTTCAATCCACACAAAATCGGGATGCTTCAATATCAATATAACTAACATGGCCTTTCTGTTTTGGAGAAGTTTTACAGAAGATTTTATTCTGTAGACATGCATTTTAAGATGTATAAGTTGAAAATAATGAACTCTAAATACTAACATTAAAATGTTATTTGAACTTGAAGAAAATTATGTCATAAAGGTATACATATTCAGTTTATCTAGTTCATTTTCAACATAGGTACCTTCCACATTTCCCCAGAAAAATGTTCAAAGACAATAAACGTCTTTGTAAACAGATATTACTGCTATTTACTTACATTGAGAAAATACATTTTATTAAATTACTTTACCTTGGTCTTATATAATGTTAAGACTACTATTACATGTATCTAGTACACATTGTGTCTTTCACTGTAGATTCCAGTTTATTCCATCTTGCATCTAAAGGCAGATCACTGTAACTGCATAAAGCTTCCCTGGAATTAATACTCTCCAGTGAGCAGTGTTTAGAGCTTCCTTAATCTCATAAATCCATAAAAAAATAAGAATAATGGAGAAGGCAAATACATGGACCTCTGAAAACACTAGAGGTGGGATCAGGTGCCTAGGAGGAGTAAACATTACAATGGGTGGGATTTGAACCCCAATTTAAGTCCCATTGTAACCCTGAGGTCCATATATGAAACATAGGTAATCATAGATTACAAATCTCAACTCAATGAATTATTTATACGGCAAAGTCTCAGACCAAATGAATGTTTCAGTAATATAAATCTCTAGATGCAACATCCAGGCAAGTTTGGTTTTGGATGGTTACTTGGGAATGGAACTGCTCTGAGAACTTAAACTATTCAACCATCTGGGAAATGAAGGTCAGATGCAGCATCCAAAGCAGGTCTGGTAGTGTGTATTCCTAGAAGAAACATCCATTAGAGGCAAGATTATAATCATTTTGGATGTGACTTGCTACAAAAACTTGAACCTTTTCAATTATACAGGAAAACTTGGATCTGATCCAACATTGCAAGCAAATCTAGTGTGCATCACTGCAAATCTGGTTACCAAAGGGCTTATAGTTACTTGGAAATGGACATGGTCCAAAAACTTAAATCTGGTCACTTATTTAGAAAATTTAAGTCAGATCCAGCAACTTTAGCAAAGTCTGGTAGTGTGAATCCCTATAGATGCATCATCTATATTGCATAAGGATCTCAAATAGCATTACATATTAACGTGATTTAGTAAAAGGCCCTGCAACTCCTGAAAAGAATACTTTTTAAATCCAATATTTTTATAAGTAACTCCAAATCCCTATTTTAGCCCCATGTCCCAGGGGCAATAAAGTGCACTGCCATGGCATATGATATGCCCATCAAATATTGTTCAATTATCATAAACAGTTTAGAGTGCAAGGGAGAAAATCATGTCAACCTTGATACAAAGATTTCAATGATTTTTCCACTCCTCATGCTTGATGAGCATCTCTTGTGGTGTAGTTATTTTAAAATTAGAACAAATAATACATCATATATTTCTCAACTGGTTGTGTTAGAGTTTTACAAATGTCCATTTGCAGTTTTGTTCAATGTATTTTTTATGAATGATTAACAAAGATACAGCCTAATTAAACACCAAATCACTAATCATTATCATGTCACTCTGCAATTTGTTGATGAGAAATAAAAATTTAAAATTTAAGCTGATTCGGAGATAATTAAGGCTCTCCAGATTGACATCATGGGGGTAACTGGTCAGTTTTGGAAATGTTAATTGCTGTTTAAACACCATGTCTTTACCCAGCCTGTCCTATGCCTCTTTAATGATTTTAATTAAATGATCGTTGAACACTGTGAACTAATTATAATGTATATAATCTGTACCTTACCTCTTCTATCCTTTCCAGTTACCTTTTTTTTTTCTTTTTTAAATTATATTTTTAAACAAACATTGTAAATTAAGTGGTGGTACAGACTTAGTTTGATTATGGTGACAATGCAGAATGAACTTGCGTTACATTTTCGTCTGAAATGTTTTTAATGTATCTGATACTCCAGGCATGTTTTATGGGTTCTTACATTTTTTACCTACTAAAATTGAAATTAAAAAAATATATAGTGGTCTGATCAAGTATAAACATAATACTACATGTAAAGTTTTCATAGTCTTGTTAATTTAAGTAGCGCTTACAATGATGAAATATGTCGAGAATTTTTTATACGATTAACCAATTAATCTGTTGGAATTTCTTGCATTAACCGATTGGCAATTCTGTATTCTATTGACATATAATATTATATATATGCTTGGTAGATCAATAACCAAGTGTAACTTCATGGATGAAATCAAGGTTCTCATCTACCCTTCACTCAAATGTTCATGATGTATAATTATTTTTCTCTCATAACATCTAACAGCCCCCTCCCCAAAAGAAAAAAAAAATGAAAATATATTGAAAAAAACAAACATTATTAAACTAATTTAACACAAGTTCTATTACATGTTGGAATTCACAGTCAGATGACGTCAAAAATGTCAACAACAACTAAAGGTTTTTATGTATGCCCCCAATGTTTTTAACATTTATGATGACTTTAAAACTTTTTTTTTGCTAATGTTTTTTTTTTGAGGTGGGGGGGTGGGGTGGGGTGGGGGGGGGGGGGGAATAAATTTTGAAATACAAACTCTGTATCTTTTTGTCAGCATTTTTTGTTTAGTAATTGATTAATAGCATCGAAGAGCTCCAAGAGATCGACGGTCATTTCACCACTACAATGTCTATATACATACATGTCTATATACACATACATAAAGCAGTTTGTTTGTCCTATCATACATAACAGCTGCATTGCCATTTTAAGCAGTATGCGAAGACGTCATATAATATCTGTATGAAACACTATTATTTTTACAATATTACATTTGTTTTCCTCGAAAACAAACCTTAATTGTGCCATCATCACTTCCACTGACTATTAGTTGTGGCCCTCGTCTGGCAATCTGACAAGAATTTACAAATGTTGTGTGACCTTTCAGTTTTTTTATCCTCTCCCCAACTTCCACATCCCATAATGCAACTGTCTTGTCTGTGGAGGCTGAGACAAGTGAACTTGAAAGGAAAAAAAATTCATAACTAATGGACAGACCATGATCTGAATAAATTTGAATCTAACCTGCATGGGGCTGGAAAGGAATTGAAAATATAAAAATTTTATGACAAAACAAAACAAACAACATAATACACAGATAGCCAGTGATTTTTTTTTTTTATCAAATAAGCTCACTTGAATCTGAAGTATGTGACCTAAAAACAAATGAATTTGCTCATCTGAATTTTCCATAATGGAAGTCTGAATTTACACTTAGTACTGTGATGAAATCCATACACTCTTGATATAAATTTACAATGCAAGGAAATATAGGTGTTTTAATTCAGATCCCTACTTTCCATCTGTTGAGAACTGAAGTTCCATAACTGCTCCTGTGTGTCCTTTTAAGACAGCAAAGTTTTCACATTCTCCATAAACTGTCCAAAACACTGCAGAAAAAGTAAACATTTATTGAAAGACAGAAACAACAGACACAAGGTACTTTTGCTAAGGAAACCATGACTTCATTTAAGAATGATATTTGTGAATGAGTAATGCTAAATGTGCTGTTGTTCACAATTCATGACATATAATAGGGGTATTTTAAATTGGTTCCCCCTTTTTTTTTCCAAACACATTGCTATATTTTATTTGTATGCAATTATGTGCATTTACTAAGCAAAATTAGACCATTTCAAGTTTTCTCTATATATTTAGTGTTCCTGTGCACCTTGGTTTTTGACACTCAGAAAACATAGGTAATCAAAGATTACAAAGCTCTACTCCAATACTAATTAGTAAGACAAAGTCTCATACCAAATAAATGTTCTGGTAATGGGCACCCCTAGATGAATCAATCCTACAAGTTTGGAATGGGTAGGACTGATGGTTATTTTGAAATGGACCTGCTCCTAAAACTTGAACTATTCCATTATCTGAAAGACGTAGGTCAGATACAGTAAACAAAGCAAGCTTGATAGTGTGCCACTCCAAATGTATCATCCATGCAAGTTTGGTCACCAAAGGATTTATAGTTACTTGGGAATGGACTTGCTTCAAATACACTCATACTTGAATCTGGTCACCCATCCACAAAATGTAGGTCAGATTCAGCATCTGACACAAGCCTATTAGTTTGCATCCCTAGATGCATCATCCCACTCTCTACCACCATCGGTTCATACATTCACCTCTGTCATTGGCTCATGTATATCACAGTGATACATGTAAGCACAAGATAATATAGTGCATTTGAATACTTGCCCTAATGTTTGTCCTTTAAGATAGATATTTACTATGTAGATCTATGAGTTTAATTTGAAAAAAATCCTTGGATTCGGAATATTTATTTTTTTTTACTTCATGTCAAAAATCTTATTGTGAGCCCATTTAAGAGGTGTCAGAGGGAGAAACAAACAACAACTTTGCACAGGAGATAAGCATTATCCATACAAGATTGGTAGGGCTTTTAGTTCCTTGGGAATGAACTCTCTTTAAAAACTTTAATCTGGTCACTCATCAAGAAAATCTTCACAAATTCAGCAAGTCTAGTAGTGTACTTCTCTAGATATCAATTTCATGCAAGTTTAATTCAGGTAGGGCTTATAGTTACTTGGGAACAGACTTGCTTCTAGGACTCTAACCAGGATGCCGCCTTGAACACCAACGTCCGAGGAATAGCAAAAGCTCATCTCATCTCTGTCAAGGTGAGCTAAACCACAAGTCTCAGATGAGACTGTAGCTCTACTGGTTTGTACTTATAATGAAGAGAAACGTAGCAATTGCATTTGAAACTATGCAGCAGCAATAAATAGAATAATGGTCCTTGGTTTAGTCTCTTTTTTGTGGCAAGGTTTATTGCAATCAGACTAAAACTGTTGGAGGAGTAGCATTTTTAAAGAATTTCACAGAAATTTCTTTTTTGGGTAACCATGGCAAAACCGTTCATCAAAACCAAAAAATGATAAACAGAATTATATATCTCAACGTAGTCTACTTGAATGTCATGATATTTTGAAATCAGACCAACACTGTAGAATGAATAGCATTTTCAAAATATTTCAAAGAAATTTCTATCTTTGTAACCATGGCAACACCATTATTAAAAAAAACCCATACATAGAATTATTTATCTGAGTTTGAAATCTCCTTAAATGAATGTCTCATTAAATTTATTCAGTTGTATAGGAGGAGTTGCAGATAAAAGATGGGTTCCCCCAAGTGTACTGGATGGAGAGACAAATGGACAGCTTTACAGACAGAGGGACAGACAGACACCCCCATCACCATAGTCCTATTGCACTTCACGACGTCACGTTGTGTCAGAGGTCAATCGGGGATAGATTTTACATACAGGTTCTTCCACTGTAGTAAACACTGAATTAGACGACAAATATATGCCAATAAAATGCTTCATCTCTTGGTATAAATACTGAAATGCAGAGTAAAACATTCAGTTTCGGAAAGTTTCAAGTGAACAGATTATGATCAGAAAAGAAATTGAGCGAATTCCATTCAGTATTGAGTTAATCATTTTAATATTTATTGTGTTCTTTTACTTCCCATATTCCAATACAGCACTGTCTTTACACTGTTTATTTAAACAGTAAAATTATCATGATTGTGGGTTGTTTTACTATATATATATATATTTATTGAAAAACTAAACACTGCACATGTGACACGCAGCACCATTTACATTTTTTTCCTAATGAAAAACAGACACGTAGCAACATTTTTAAAAGGGGACTCTACAATAATGTCAGCTCCGATTTTTTATCCCCTCCCTCAAAAATAAAACACGAAGAGGGCTACATTATTGCAGCTAGGGAACCTCCCAGAAAATAAAATAAAATAAAAAGAATGATAATAAAATTAAATTAAAAAAATGAAATTTAAAAAAAGACATAAACTGCCCACAACTCAAAAATCTTGTTTCGCAGGAAAGGGGGTTAAGTTGGACCTTTCTCGAATTTTTTGGTACATTTTTTTTCAAATGCTTGAATTTGCCAGTGTTCAACCTTATAGAAACAAAAATGGGCGGCGTTTGGGTGGGGTGGGGTACACAACCGCATCTGAATGATGAAAATTTACTTATTAAAACTAAAACAGTTACTATTATTAAAACTGAGCAAAAGACTCAGTATATACTTACACTTTTATACAACATTTTTTTTAAGTGTGTAAGATAAAGAAATGCCCTAACCTCTACTATAACACCTCAAGGGTAGGGGTAAAAATCAATTGGATGTATTGGATGTCCAATGCTTGATCAGGTTCTGTTGACCTTTAAGTACAAAGGTAAGATTAACACTATCAGATCACTACTTTTTATTATTTGCTTATAGAAAATTAGGTCTCATGGAGGTGAGAAATGAAAAAAACAGTTCTTATTTTTTTTTTTTCATTGCTAATTCAATTTTGTGTACATGTATGTACCGGGACATTTAGGACTAAGTGTAAATAAAGTGTACTATAAATTGTAAAATAAATACATGTACTTACATGTATGATTTATACATTTATACGTACAGGAGAACATAACTTAATTGATCTGTAGTATGATTTCTAAAATGTTGAATCTCAGTCAATTAGAGACCAAGGAATATTCTGTCATATAAAATTAAATGTTTATCTCAGTTATTCAAGTTCTGGCGGGGAGGTGTAGAAATGATTTGATGATATTATTTCATCAATAGGTCTGTATTATTTCAATATCTCACTTAATTCAAAGTGATTACTCATTTTAAAAATGTACATAAACTTCCCAAACTTGGAAATAAAATTTGAAAAAAAAAAAGCAAAAACAAACATACATATATAAACTACCCAAACTGTAGGTAAAACTGGCATATTTAGTTTACTTGAGGCAAAGGCCTGAGCAATCAATCCTGCTCGATAGTCCTCTATTGGTCAGAAATGAGCGTAACTCCTCAATTGTCCAATGAGAAAAATCATCTAGAGGATCCGTATTGTATCTAAAAATTCTGTATAAAAACTTCAAAATTATACAAATAAATCAAAATGGACCGCTGAGAACAACTTCCTAACTAACACTGTTTATATAGATACGACTTGTCCCTGATTGACCTTTGACATGCATATATAATTTGCAGTAACAAAATGGCGATCCCGAACATGCAATAGGACTATATACCCCCACTTTTCAAGTGGGGATATAAAAATGATGAAATCAAATCCTTTGAAAGATATCATTTTTAAGACTATAAAGTGTATTTCATAGTTTAAATTTTATGTTTTTTTTATGAATAGGTGGTTTCTTGTATGACAATTGGATGTACTAAACAGAAATTAAAAAAAAAACTTGGAATGGCCTCATGCAGACTTGGTCAATAAGAACCCTTTTTCCCCCCAATACTTAATAATTTTAAATTTTATTTTTCTGGCTTACATATTAATCTGTCAAATCCTGATGATGCTATCATCTGGCCATCTGGTGAGAATTTAGCAGTGTATATTTCTCCCTCATGTCCACTTAATTGCATGATGGGAGCCTCCAGGTTTGAAAGTCTCGGTGTACCCTGTAAATCATGATTATGAAATAATATTTATATGTTTCTTCATCTTTAAGAAACTTTTTTTTTAAAAAATACTGTGGATTATTCCCACTAAGAAACTGACTTCTATTATGGTAATTATACAGGTTTTTAAGATATCAAATTCAACTTTTAAAAGTCATGAATTCTCATCATAATGATTAATCTCTGATAATGCATGCAAATATATATATATATATATATATATATATATATATATATATATATATATATATATATATATATATATATATATATATATATATATATATATATATATATATATATATAGTGATTTTTCTACACCCAATTTAGGTCCGAATATCGGCCCTTTCCCCTATCAAAAATTACCGATTTTTTCCCAATTTCAGTTGCTTTTCCCCCCCAGAAAAACCGTTATTGATTTTGTTATATTGAATTTTTTATGTACGACTTATCTAAATTGGAACGCTATTGCTCTCGGTCATTCAGGTAACGGGATGTTTCGCACCTATGCATGGTTCGCCCCGCGATGTTTCGCGCCCATTCTGTTTCGCGCTGAGATGGTTCGCCCCATGATGTTTCACTCCAAGTACATAAATGTGCTACTGAGTTTAGTTCATTTAACAAAATTTTAGATTTTAAATATATGTTAATATAATGTATAGATATTTTTGGAACATTTTTTTTTAAATTTAAGAAGATTATATTTGATGCAGAGACGTAAATTATTTGTCTGTGTTTGAAGTGTACATACATAGCATGATTATGAATTACTATAAAACTGTGCTAATTACCTATATATACAGTAGATAATTATAATACCGCCATCTAATTAAGTAATTATTGCTGGCTTGGACAACCCACACATCAACTTAAATTCTCACCTTTTGATCTCCAACTTATTCATGTTATTACAATTAAATCTTCATTGAATCACTGTTGAATTGTTGAACAGACACGCTGAGCAAACGGGCACCGTACGATCCGTTAACTATGGCAGTGCATGTTATTAAGTCATGAATTAGAGTACACAACATATTTATATCTTATATTTGATAAATAATTTAAAACGGATCAAAATGTGATGAAATATTTAAAATAAAACGTGAGATGTTTCGCGCCAAAATCGACGCGAATCATCCTGGCGCGAACCATCTCAGTGCGAAAAGGAACCAGCGCGAAACATCCCGGATTCGTCATTCATACTCTTAAAATAATAGTGAAAAACAGCAGATCATTTTGTGCGTTTACAAGACATAGAAAAACACATGGATCATGTCAAACGTCAAAATAAATACATTGTAAGAAAGTGTAAGATGCATGTGAACAGGCGAAACATAGCTTTATTTGTAAATCCAAGAACTAGTAGTTCTACAACAAGCATCCCTGATTCCATGAAAATCAAACTGTTTCTACACCCGGCAGATGCAACTAATATTGCAGGGTAATTGCAGCACAATGATTAGGGTGATTTAGAAAGCTAGAAGAAAAATGATTTGTTTTAAATCATGTCAGATTATATCATCTTCAATGGCTATTATGAGTAGGATTTTTTTTTTATGTCTACCATTATGGCAAAAAAAAAAAAAAAAAAATTGAAATATAGGACGGTCACAACTAATGACAACTTTCAAAGATTAAAAAAAAAGTTAAAAATGTAGAACTGTGTCTAATTTGTTATTTTGTAGTAAGTATTTTGAATAAATGATGTTACATTTACTTATATATTTTATTTTACCTGTCAATTAAGGTTTATTTCAATCTTATTGATTTTTCCCAATTTTACACAAATGTCGATGATTTTTCCCAATTGTAAAGGCCCAGGCCCCTTTTAAAAATGTAGAAAAATCACTGATATATATATATATATATATATATATATATATATGTGTAGGCAACATAGAAAACATAATGACCATAATTATATACATATGGTGGCATTTTGCCTGACTGCTAGGAGAAACCAAAAATAACTACACATGTATTTAAACAAGCTAATCCAGAGAACTTGTGTCCCCCAATTAGGGAAAAAAAGAAGAACTGAAAAAAAAATATGCAGATGTAGAAAGAAAAACAAGATGTGTTTGTGAAACACTGATGCCCCCGTATGGCAACTTATAGCAAAGGTTAAACTTTCTCAAATGCAAATCAAATATGTTGGTACCCAAAGTAAGGTTTTGTCTCGAGGAATATACCTGTGAAATATGAAAACCCAGCAGCAACCATTGAATAGATATGGAAAAGGTTAAATTTTTTTTCAAAAGTATGTCAAACATCAAGGTCAAAGTCAAATGGTCAAAAGTAATGGTGTCCAAGGAAAGATCTTCTCCCAAGAAATAGGTGAAATATGAAAGGCGATGCACCAATCGTTCAAAACTTATGACCAAGGTTGAAGTTTTTCAAAAGTAGGTCAATCTCCAAGGTCAAGGTCAATGGATTACAATTGTTAAGATCCAAAGAAAGGTCTTGTCACAAGGATTACATATGTGAAGTATGAAAGCCCTAGCACCAACCGTTCAAAAGTTATGGCCAAGGTTAAAGTTTTTCAAAAGTAGGTCAAAGGTCACAGTTGAGGTCACATGATCAAAAATTTCTGTACCAATGGAAAAGTCTTGTCATAATGAACACTCATGTCAAATATTAAAGCCTTCCCCTTGACAGCGCAATAGTTATGGGCTAGGTTTAAGTTGACAACAGACAGACAGGACAAAAACAATATACCCACGAGATCTTTCGATCCAGGGACATAATAAAGGTCAATCTTTCAGCTTTTGGCCTTAAAGTCAATATAGGGTTTTTTTCTACATTCAAGAAATTCATGTCCTAACATTATTATCTGAAAACTATGTATGCAATGGATTTCTGCCCACGGTCTTTGACCTTTTGACCTAAAAATCAATAGGAGTCCTTTTTTCAAAGTCATATTGACTAAAGATATAAAATCACATTACAAAACCTAAAAGAGAACTAAAGTCATCACCAGGGAATCATATATGCATGATATGAATTTTTGACCCTGACCTAAAAATCAAAAGGGGTCTTCTTTGAGACATTGGGAATTATGATATAAAATTTCAAAGAGAAACCTCAAAGGAAAACTTAAGTTATCATCTGGAAACCATTTTTTGCATTGTATTTCTAACCTTAAGCTTTGACCTTTTAATCTAAAAATCAATACTGGTCTTCCTTAAGTAAGTAGGAGTATAAATAACTTCATTGAAAAAGCTCAAAGAAAACTAGTTATCATCTGATAATTCCAATCTTAATTTTATTTATTGATTTCCTGTGTTTTGATTGGATGAGAACAAATTCAAGAAAAAGTTTACACATTGATAAATTCTCAATCAGTACTACTTTCTTGATCTAGCATTTATTGTGAAAAAAAAAATGAAAGAAATCGTTAGGCCTACTTCTATTCTGTGTTTTAGCTAAACAATTACAGAAACTTGAAATTAAATAAAAACAAAACTGATGACATACAGGACTGACAGATGGGAATATTATGTTTATGTCACTGTCAGATCACGAGTGTGAATTTTAAATCTCTGAAGTCATATTCTCGACGTTCCTAATAGGCCTACAAAACAAATCAGCTCAGTTCTTGGTAGCGCTGAGATAGGAAAGAGAAACGTACCTTAGACTCTTGCCTTATTAGCATCAAATTCATTTTTCTACATCCTATATTCTGTCCCATCTTTGAACAAACCAGGGCAAATCAAGGTAGTCGTCGGTCTGCTACTTTCGTTTTAAAGCATCTGTCGTTATATTGTCAACATGGCCTATATGCATGGTCAAAGGCAAATTCTTTTGAAGTCTACTTGTATTTACGATATTTGTTGACTTAAACAATATTCTAAGAGTTTTTATAAGCTTATTTTATTAAATGTTTTGACAATTAAAGTTGAACTATCGACGTTCATCTCCATTACGATTCATTTCCACATTGCGGCATAAAGTATTCATACGCTGTACAGAAATAACAGATTGTATGGAGGCTTCAAAGAGAAATAATTTTAAAACTTCGTAATTGGAATTATAAGAATTAAACATTCCTTTTTCAGAATTTATCGATGTGTAAACTCATGCCTTTGTACTCACAAACTTTATTCAGTTTGTGAGTACAAAGGCATGAGTTTACACATCGATAAATTCTGAAAAAGAACGTTTAATCCTATATAAACCACTTTTTTGCAACATATAAATTTTTGACCATGACCTTTGACCTCAAAATTAATACAGATCTTTCAAAGGCCATAGGTTTTGATATAAAATTTCATTGCAAAATCTCAAAGGCTTTTTAAAATATTGTTTGGAATTAAAAGTGTTATGAATTTAGGACCCTGACCTTTGACCTTTACATCTCAAAATCAATAGTGGCCTTCTTTTTAAAAAAAAGTCTAACATTTCTATTGTTTTACTGAGCGGTCATAAAAAAAATTGATGTTTGACCGCAGAGTGAGATATTGGACTGCTTATGTCACACTGTGGGGAGATCAGTAAAATCTTATTTGCATTCGTTGGTATGGAAGCCAGCAAAAGATACATGTATAACAAAAAATAAATATATAAAAGAAAAAGATATAACAAAACATTTATTGACTGTGTTCTTGGTCAAAATGCGTTTTGTCGACCCCTCGAACCAAACTGTTTGCCTTTGGCCTAACAGCGTCAGGCAAACAGTTTGGTTCTTTGGTCCGACAAAACGCATGTTGCCCTTGAACCCAGTCAATAGATCTATATTATTATAGCGAGTGCAGCGAGGCGGCACAAAGCGCTGCTCATGTAGCGAGCTCCATAGACAACGTGTACGAACGGAGGAAATTCGGGTTGAAATCTGCACATTGTTCAAAGAAATTTTTATGGTCCCACATGAAAATATTCCATACTCCCAATAATCCTTTGCAGTGCATAGCAACATGGTGGCTTAAGCATAGCAACAACTTACTTGATAAAAATAATATACAACAATTTAATTCAATTTCCATGCCATAATTGCCCACAAAACTATCGTCTGTGTCCTTGGTACACACAACTTTATATGTGACGTCATATTTTCGTCACTTCAAAGACTCGGGTATTTCTGATTTTGTCGGAAATAACTGAGAAATTAGGAATTATGATCCCGATGCATGGGGAGTCTGCAAACTTCAATAACGGTTTTAAAAAAAATATATGTACGATACACAGTAAACGCACGATAAAAGTGTAATAAGCAGAATGTAAAATGACATTTGAGAAGATGTGTAGAGTTTTAGAAAATGAACTGCACTTGCCCTAACGGTTTCACCGACAGACATGTTAAGAGTGAATACTCTTCAATAGGTATCCAACAATACACAATTGTGCTAGCCCCAACAGTCGCACCGTCAACATATAAAGAAATCTAGGAGGTAAACAAGGAAATTTCATTGAATTTTACCACGGGATGGAGATAGAATAGACCTTAACATCTTTCATTTTTATTTTTAAAGAAGTGCTACATATAGACTAGATTTCATTTGTCAGACATTGCCCCCATGCCCATGAAGATGACCCGGCACAGGGGAATAACATTTGTACAGGTCCAGTACAATCAGTACATTTAGCTACGTAACTAAAGTTACCTACCATAGCTTTATTTACCTACCTCAGGTAGCTTTATTTAGCTATTTTAAGGCAACTTTTCACAATTTTCTTTTTATTTTAAAAAGACAAAGAGTCGCAAGTAAATGTCTACTAATATTTATTCCAGGTATTATTTAAAAAGCAATCTATAGAAGAGATAGTTTTAACATTGCTGCGTTTGAACACTTTTAAGGAAAATATGTATTTCCATTGTTTGAGTAACTGTACACCACCTTGTGTGCAATGAGGCGTGGATAAGTATGATTACTTCACATTGTGCCCATGTTAACCAAAACTGGTTTTCTTTGTTATTTCACTCAAGAGGTAACTGTTAGGTCACAAATTAACTGTTGTATATAACCCCAAAACTTTTAGAACTTTGATTGCAATTGCGCAGAAAAAGACACATCTCCAAGAGTGATTGGGTAGACTTTACTTTACCGGTCCCCATATCCGCAAGATCCGCGCGCTCATTGCACTATGATGTAAGATTTACGTACGTCACTCAACTGATTAGGGTTAGTTTTACACATTTTTTGACTGGTTAGGATTAGTCTTGCACCCACCTGAAAGAATAGGGTTAGTCCTTGCACAAGTTTTCGACAGATTAGTGTTAGTCTCGCATTCATCCGAGAGATTAGGGTTAGTCCTCGCAGATGGGTTAGTCTAGCATCCGCCCGAGAGATTTCGGTTAGTCCTCGCATACCATCCGAGAGATTAGGGTTAGTGTTTTGTTGTTTTTTTTTTTTTTAGATTAATTACGAAATTCAGATGCATCTGTATTTTTTGTAAGATCTTAATTCAGCTTCAACGACATTTCGTTGGTTTGTTTACATGAAAAAAATGGCTAAGTACGACACTAAGCATGCGCCGCACGCACTTCGTTAACAATTAATTTTTGTCTCCTTTTCAATGAATAAACAATATTTATTACTTTCTTCAGAGAACGAGGTTTTATACTAAACTTTTAACCATTGAATTCGATTTTGGGGTCAAAAAGGCTTTAAACCTCATACTTTTTATTTTTTTCGATCGCTCACACGATCTCATATATATTGAAGTTGCCTACGGCGACACTATATTTTGGCACGTTTTTCTGGGGACCGGTAAAGTAAAGTCGTTCCGAGTGATTTTTTTCATGAATAGTTTTCAGAGGAGTTCAAAGTTGAAAATTATCACTGCATCAAAGTGAAATTTTCTGCACTTTCTGGGAAAAATGCTAACTTAAGAAATAAGTTTGATTTAGTAGCTAAATAAAGCTACTTCAGGTAGGTAAATAAAGCTATGTAGGTAATTCAAGCTACGTAGCTATATGTACTGATTGTACCAGACCTGTTGTAAATGTAGAAGTCAACTATACCGTTTCCATCAATGTACCATTCTGTCCACCACTAAAAGTTGTTATTTCATTTCTTGGTTTTTTCATTGGTACAACAGCGGTTTCAGTTGCTTTTCTTTTGAAGTCCATTGCGAAAAATGTCCTACTTTCTTTAAGTATAATGATTTAATGTTTTCAGCCACACGCTTTATACAGGAAGTATATGCATGACAAAAAAGTATTGAGAGTAAACCAAACACGGTGTTCTGAAAAAAAGTTCACGAAAACAATATTTCCCGATATTATGAATGGCAGCATGCATGATTTAATTTTAATTAATGCACGACATATATTATAAAAGTCCAAAATTTCAATAAAGATAGGTACTTTTAAATGAAGAAATATAAGTGATATATCATTTCCGTAATATATCAGTTTGCACTGTGAATTTTCAGATTTTATTTTCACGTGTCTTATTCCCGTTTAGAGTTAGGCCTACCTACTTCGAAGAAAATGTCAATATGATCAATGAGTCACAAAATATACATTTAAAAAGTATTCAGTCAGAAGTCTAACTCAGGTTTTATATAGCAAGTGACAATAATTCACGCATCTGACATCGTGACAAAAACTGCATCATTATCACCTTTCCCTGGGAAAGAAAGAAAAAAATAAACAGCTGCCAAACAAATGATGACAGTCTCTTTATATAAATACATTATGGATTTTACAATTTGCAGTCTATTATCTGTGCTTTGGTGTAACTTGTGAATCCTAGATTTTTTTTTTAAAGTGGAAGCCCAATAAATTGTGATGCAGATAAAGAGCGATGCCCCTGGATAGTGTCACCATATTAAACCAGAAATCAAGGATTACAGAAAGCACTGCGAGCTGACAGAGGTGGGAACAGGAGTTATATGTTTCCATGATGACTTCTCTTTTAGATGTTGAAAGGAAAATGGCATCAGAAGTAGGAATCTATACCTTGTTATTTGTCATTACAAACTTTGTCAACAAGGTAAGTTTAAAATACATGTATCACCTGTATTATAGTATGGAGATCATGTCCATCTGTCTGTCTGTCTGTTAGCTTTGAGTAACAATAAATGACCCAAGCATTTCATGGCAGGCCTGGGCATAAAAATTTCTTCAGTTAAAAAAAAACTGCTTCAGGAAGCAAAGAAATCTTGTTCAGGAATGGAGAGACTGGAGTGAAGGGAGGAACCTTCTACTATTTGTCAATATGTTTCAAAAGTTTAGGTTATTTATAATAATAAACAGGTAAAGTAAGTACAGTTCCCAAAACATTTCATGCATTGGTGTAATATGATTGAATAATACATATGACATTTAGACTGCATGTACATGTATATATAAATTCAAACCAGCAGGGCTACATGTACAGTCTGATCAGAGACCTATAGTTCTTGGCCTTCTTCTAAAATAGTAAAATTTCTGTTCCCTAGGTCCATGGATCAGGCCCTGGAGTTAAATTGGCCATAGCTATTGAAATTTATTACACAGTGAATATAATACCTTCTTAACTCCTGAATGTCTAGGAGATAATCTGTATAAATGTGATATTGATTACAGAGTCCTTACCAAACTCTGAAATTATTGTCACTTGAGACCAAAGTTCTAGTTGTGATCATATCTGAGAAAGTAATGATACTCAAAAGTAATGATACTCGACAGGTGAACATTAAGGCCTATGGGCCTCTTGTTCACATTAGTAGATTGAATTGCAGTACATATCAATTCTTTTCCCTTTTGTCTTGTAGTATGTCCTGTCTGTCTTAGAGTTTAAATACCCAACTGTTTTTCAAGGGTATGTATTTGTTTTTGTTACTTGATGATCAATCTTATATTTAACACATACAATTCTTTTCTCTACAATCATTATTAATGCATTATACAATGCCTTATAATTAAAGTTTTCTTCCTAATCAAGCTTGCATTTTTCAAGTTTTTCACCAAGTAAATGGTTTACTTAGTCTCATGATGTTAAACACTAACTTTATTGTCAAAATAAGACCATTGTTGTACAAGTAAGTCCAAATTATATTAAGGAATGCATAAACTTAAGGAGGCTGTAAACATTAATGAATTTTTTTGGTCTTTGGACTATGAGACAATGATATGATATAAAGGTATACATACTGAGTTTTCAAAATAATTAAGGTTCCTGTCATTTAATTCTCAAGAAAAAATATTTGAAGACAGTGGAGTATAAGTAAACAGAAATCATTGTTCTTTGCTTACACTGGGTAAGTATGTACAGATTAAATGCCCTCCTATATCTCTCCATTTTTTAGAACTAATGGAGAAGGGATGGAAGCTCATTGGTTTCAAGAAGGATATTTACCTACTTAAAATTCTTTGTTTTATAAATGCTCGTAATTATAATTATTGCTCTATTAAAATATGATACAAACATTTTTCAATTACGGTAGAGAAATGTACATCTTAATAAATTTTAGTCATATATATGTTTTATAGGTTGTCAATATTTTTTAATACCATTTTGACATCAGCTTCAATAGTTAAGCGTGTATAGTGTGCAGGACCTCAATGCAGAGGGTACAGGGTTTGATGCTAAGCATCGCCTTACTTTATCTTATTGATTCTAATATTTTTTTTAAAAGCTTAGCATCTGTAACCAGATTTGATCGTATGAAAGTACTTCTTTTATTCTCAAAATTAACTCATTAAATAACACACATTTTCTTTATCAATAATAGTACTTCTCATTTTATTATTTAAGTTCTTACTAACCAATAAACCTGTGTATTTCAATTAGTCACGTAAGTGACTTACCAAACCAAGAATTTTAATAACAAGAGTTTGCAAATTAACAAGTATTTATTATGGCAACAATTATATTTTATTAACAGCACAAAATATTTACATTTATATATTTACAACAAAAACTGATGTACTAATGACCTATCTTATTATTAAATGGGCCTCAATAAAAAATAGTGCCTACCTAACAGATGTAAAATATCCAGAATCCGTCCCACCCAATGCTAAGTCCGAAGAGAAGTGACCTACCCCTGCACGAAAAATCTACTATGCCTATCCTAACCGGTTTACCAAAATAGAAATAAGGAACTGGAAATTAACAAAAGTGGACGTGTAAATGAAGGAAACAAAAGGGCAACTTGAACGAGACAATGCATTACCAAGAATTTTGAACGGGACAGAGACCGGGATCCACCCTGATTATCAGAAAGTGGGCTGGCACGAACTTTTGAGAAGGTTCCAAACCAACTGATATATACATGAAATACTGGGCTTTAAATACCCTGCGATCTGAAGGTGTGTCTCTCTTATCCAATCAAAAACTGCATTCTATGTTTAACCAAGACAAGGACGTTTCCGAAACCATTGTATAAAACTAGAAAGTTTCCGAATGTATAATAAATGATCTTAACCAATCCGTAAAATCCAATCCTATCACACATCAATAAAGACAGGAGGGAGAACTTATAAATGATTATAAAAAATGTGTGGTCTCCATGTGACTTGGTTACAACTCTCCATTCCTGATGAATAATGGAGCGCTCAAACAAAAGAGTGGCAACACAAAGGATTATAAATGCAATTAAATGCACTTCATTACTTTTCAGGGATGGAGAGTTGTACTCAATTATACTTTTCAGGAATGGAGAGTTGCAATTTACATTGAAAACAGTGTTTGTTATGTACAAATTCTCCTCCCTGTGCCTCCAGCGGGGCAAGAACCTAGAAAATTTTATAAAGTTTTAATAATGTTTTCATTGTAAGAAAAAGTGTAGCACTTCTAGGAGTTGAACTTGGTACAGTCAGACACTCATTTCACTGTGCTATCCAAGCTGTTGAAGGATTGTGGAAGTTTAAATAACTACGTAATGCTTTCTTCACTGTACTCTCTCTTTCTTTCTCTCTCTATATATAAATTGAATACTACAGTGGTCTAGCACACTTAAATGTATATTTACAGAGTATCTTATCAATTAAAACATTTTCAGCTCACCTAAACGAAGTTGGGGGAGCTTATATAATACTCGGGCCTCGGCGTCGGCGTCCAAGGTTTTTTGGTGCAGTTTTCTTTTCAAGTACTTCTGTGCCCTATATTAATCAGAAATGCATGGGGGATGCTTCTAGTATGTTTCATTGTACCAATCAAGGTTTCAGATTCTGCAATTTCAGCTGCAGAATGATCAGGTTAATGTTTTTGAAGCAGGTTAAAGTTCTTAGAGCAGGTTAAAGTTTTTAGAGCAGGTCTCGTTTCCAAGTTACTAAAAGCCCTATATTGACCAAACTTGCATGAATGATACATCTAAGGATGCACAATACCACGCTTGCTTCGGATGCTGGATCTGACCTACATTTTCTGGATGAGTGACCAGGTTAAAGTTTTTGGAGCAGGTCTCATTTCCAAGTAACTAAAAGCCTATGTTGACCAAACTTGCATGGATGATACATGTACATCTAAGGATGCACACTACTAGACTTGCTTCGGATGCTGAATCTGACCTACATTTTCTGGATGAGTGACCAGGTTAAAGTTTTTGGAGCAGGTCTCATTTCCAAGTAACTATAAGTTCTATGTTGACCAAACTTGCATTGATGGTACATCTAAGGATCCACACTACTGGACTTGCTTCGGATGCTGGATCTGACCTACATTTTCTGGATGAGTGACCAGGTTAAAGTTTTTAAAACAGGTCTCATTTCCAAGTAACTAAAAGCCCTATATTGACCAAACTTGCATGAATGATACATCTAAGGATGCACACTACTGGACTTGCTTTGGATGCTGGATCTGACCTACATTTTCTGGATAAGTTACCAGGTTAAAGTTTTTAGAACAGGTCGCATTTCCAAGTAACTATAAGCCCTACATTGACCAAACTTGCATGGATGATCCATCTAAGGATGCACACTAGTGGACTTGCTTCTGACCAGGTTAATGTTTTTAGAGCAGGTCGCATTTCCAAGTAACTAAAAGCCCTATATTGACCAAACTTGCATGGATGATATATCTAAGGATGCACACTACTGGACTAGCTTCGGATGCTGGATCTGACGTACATTTTCCGGATGAGTGACAAGGTTATAAGGATGCATATTTACTGGACTTGCTTTGGATGCTGGATCTGACCTACATTTTCTGGATGAGTGACAAGGTTAAAGTTTTTAGAACAGGTCGCATTTCCAAGTAACTATAAGTCCTATGTTGACCAAAACTTGCATGGATGATACATCTAAGGATGCACACTAATGGACTTGCTTCTGACCAGGTTAATTTTTTAGAGCAGGTCGTATTTCCAAGTAACTAAAAGCCCAATATTGACAGAACTTGCATGGATGATATATCTAAGGATGCACACTACTGGAGTAGCTTCAGATGCTGGATCTGACTTACATTTTCCAGATGAGTGACAAGATTAAAGTTTTTGGAGCAGGTCTCATTTCCAAGTAACTATAGGTCCTATGTTGACCAAACTTGCATGGATGATACATCTAAGGATGCACACTACTGGACTTGCTTTGGATGCTGGATCTGACCTACACTCTCTGGATGAGAGACCAGGTTAAAGTTTTTAGAGCAGGTCTCATTTCCAAGTAACTTTCAGCCCTATGTTGACCAAACTTGCATAGATGATACATCTGACCGACATTTTCCAGATGAGTGACCAGGTTAAAGTAAACTATAAGGGCTATCTGAACCAAACCTGTATGGATGATGCATTACAGGATGAACACTCTCAACCTTGCTTCAGATGCTGGATATGACATATTTTCTGGATGAGTGACTAGTTTAAAGTTTTTAGGTAAGTCCATTCCCAAGTAACTGCAAGCCCTATCGGACCAAAATTGTATAAATGTTACATCTAGGGATGCACACTACTAGATTATTAGTTTGGGACTTTGCCTTACTTGAAGACAACATTCCTTGAGGTGAGCTCTGTAATCTCTGATTACCTATGTTTTTAGTATATAATGACAAACAATAATTACGAGCATATAAAACAATGGATTTTAAGTGGGTCAATTAATACACTCATAGCACTCCTTTCCTTAAAAGCAATGGGTCTTGGTCCCATTTGGGGCCTCAGCTCCATCACTTTTTAAGGAATGCGCAGCACTACTTGTACATTAACTCTTATATAATGTACCTAATCAATTACTTTATATTGGGCTAATATAATGTTAAGAATAATTTGATCTATTACAAATTTGTGTTTCTTTTTATTAGATCTTACATGTAAGGGCAGATCACTCTAACTGCATACAAATATATGGAATTAGAACTCTTCATTGTGCAGTGTTTAGAGCCTCCTCAACAAGAACTAATGTTACATAATAACAGGAATCATTGAAAAAGAGTTTACTGTCTAAGGCGAGTCCTGAAATGTTTGTATTACTTAAATACCTATAGAGTGTTGATACAAATGTAGTGTTCATTACAGATGGCAGACTCTGGTTGGTTTCATAGTTTTGCAACTCTTAGTTATCACAAAGCGTGTTCCACCAATGCTGACAGACACAAACAGGTCTTGCAACATATTAATTGTATTTTCTTCCTACTTTTGATGTGAATTTTGCCTGTATAAGAGATTTTAAAAATTTACTAAGTTAATAAAAAATTCTTTTCTATATATAGGTCAGATTGGGTACAGTGGATCCCAGGGATGATGTTGTTTGCTGGATCAGTCTATTCAGGATCAAAGGGTCTTGCTAACTTGGTAAATTACAGTTTCTGTGCCAGCATGAATCAGCCTGAGATGAAATGTGAACATTTTTTTTATCCATTCATCTAGGCAATCTTTGAAATGATTTGTCCAGTTTATGTTTTTTTGTAAAGGCCTAAATGAAATTTAAACATAAAACTAGTGGCAGACACCAGGACTCCTTTGACTGGTTTTTCTCAGTTATTCCATTCCTTTTCCAGCCAATGCCAGTGTTCTTTGCTCTCCAAAACCTTGCCTCTGTCATTGTGTGTGGAGTCCAGATGATCATTACTCAAACAGTGAGTTCAAATCTAAAATACTGACACATACTTGTATGTGCTTCTTATGCCACGTATGACATGGCAAGCACATAGCTTGATGATAGAAATATGTAATTGTTAATATTTGTACTATAGCTACTAAGTTCAACAATTAGCACATAGTCATTAAATTATTCCTTTTTTGAACAAAAGTATCACTTTTTTTATTTTTTAATTAAAAGTTGATTTACCCCTCATATTTATGTTTTCTTTTTGTTTCTTTTCTTTTGAAAATAGCTTATTGTGTACAATAGGCCATTAATGTATTTTGAGGTAAAGATAATCAACTAAAGAAATGTATCCAGGGTATGAGATTGAAATATTTTAACAAAAAATAATCATCCATATTTATATTTTCTAAGTATTGTATAGTGTAAGAAAAGATTTGAGGCATAGTATATGATTCAATGTAATTGATGATAATCCCATTCTCTGGATATTATATACATGTTCTGTGTTGTAAGAGTTTCTGGCAATAACTTTGCAGCATTGATAATGTGAAGAAGATGCAATAACATTGGTTTTATTTGTTGTAATTTACAAATGTGTTAAATGTTTAACTACCAGATTCATGGATATTTAAAATAAAATTTCATTCTCAGTTTAACAAATTTTGTCTAAGGAGGTTCTAACACTGCACACTGAAGAGTTCTAATTCCATCATGATGGTACTTTTGTACAGTTAGAGTGATCTGCCCTTAGATATATAATGAAAAAAATGGAAATCTACCCTCCTCAGAATCAAAGTTTAGGAGACATATAGGAATCTTCTTGTCCATCTATCTATATATGATTTTCCTTTAAGCATTTCAGAAAAATGTATGCCGGTAATTCAAGTCCTGGACATACCTTGCCACAAAGCAACCTTGTAACAGAGAAACTAGTTTTCTCAAAGTCAAAAAAAAATTTCATCAGTGCTAAGAGCCTCCTTAAGTACTCTTAGATTTTTTACACTCACCTCAGCAAAGTAGGTGAGTATTTTGAGTATGTCCCTTCCCAAGTAACTGTAAGCCCTACCTAAATAAAACTTGCATAGCTGATGAATCTATGAATGTACACCTACCAGATTTGCTTGCTGATGCTGCATTTGACATTTTCTGGATGAGTGAACAGGTTGAAATTTTTGTAGCAGGTCTATTTCTAGCTCTATTGGTCAGAGACCAGAACTGATGTGATAGTAAGGTGTCCATTGTCTATCCATCTGTTTGTACACAACTTTTAGCTCACCTGAGCCAAAGGCTCAAGTAAAATTCTGATCAAAGCATGTCAGGGGTCTGCCTGTTGTCTGTAAACTTTTTACATTTTCAGTTTCTTTTCTAAAACCATTGGACCAATTTCAACCAAACTTGCACAAAGCATCCTTGGGGAAAGGAAATTCATTTTCTTTTCAAATGGCAGACCACTCTTTGTTTAAGAATAGTGAACATTTGGTATGGCCATTTTTAAAAAATCTTCTTCTTAACAACCACCGGTCCAGAAAAGATGAAAAATATGAAGAAGCTTTCTGACATAGTGAAGATTCAATTTTTTTTCAAATCATGGCTTCTTAGGTAGGGTGGGGCCACAATATGGGATAGAAGTTTTAATGGAAAAATATAGGAAAAACTTCTTTCAAAATCTTTATCTCTAGAACAACAGGGCCATGCCTAGTCATATTAAAATGCAAGCATTCTCAGGTAATGCAGATCCATGTTTGTTCAAATCATTACCCCTAGGATTAGGGCAGGTCACAGAAGGGGGTCTAAGTTTTAATCCCTGGGATTATAGTTGGTCCACAATAAGAGATCAGAATTTTACATGGGAATATATAGGGAAAAAATCTCTTTAAAAATCTATTTCTCAAGAAAAGCAGGGCTATGATTAGTCATATTAAAATGCAAGCATCCTCAGGTAGTCCATATAAGTTTGTTTCAAATTATGGCCTAAAAGGGTGGTATGGGGTCACAATTTCCAAAGGAATATGGAGGGAAAAATGTCTTTATAGATCTTTATCTGGGACCCATTTTACAAAAGAACTTACGACTAAGACCAAAAACTTAAGTTGATTGTAAAATTTTGCAAAATTGATGATTCCCTTTAAAATTGCTATCGTAAAAGTATCTTACTACATTCCTTTTAAAAAGATTAAAACCATTTTCATTTTAATGTAAATTAAAAAGTTGTAAGCAGAATTAAATTTTGGTCTTAGTCATAAGTACTTTTGTAAAACAGGCCCCTGGAGAACAACCTGAACAAGGTGACTCAGGTGAGTGCTGTTGCCCTTTGGCCTCTTGTTCAAAATGCTACTTCTCTTACAGTTTTGGACCAATTTCAATAAAACTTGGTTTACAAGTAGACTACACTAAGATATTTAATTCAATGTATTGATTTTTATTTCAACTAGCAATGTTCCCATGGTTAATTAAAAAATTCTGTGAAATTTTTTCAGAATGCTACAGATTTTGTCGATAAAACTTTTTACAAAGTTTTGATTTCTGATTGTTTAATATTCATGTTGCCGTAACTTTCTATGTTCTCAGTGAAATTCTTTGAAATTCAAAATGCAGCTTTTTATTATGGCATTCTATCAGATTTTGTTCATGTATATGTACATGTATATGGTAATTTTCGAAATCTTGTGCTTGCTCATGTACTTAAATCTGATTTGCTTATGCTCACTGTGCTATATTTGCATTGTTATTTCTTCAAAATATTTTGAAAATAAGTTCTTTCAATCTGCAATACAAAGGTCAAGGTTTTGCTTAATTTGTTAAAACATATAGGGAATGGGGCCCCAAAGGGAGTAGGGAGAGCATTTGGGAAACATCTGTAACAGTCTCAGTTACAATTACAACTAGTTCATATTTATATGGAAGCATATTCAGGTAGTGTAGATTCAAGCTAGTGCAAATCATGACCTGGGGGGTGGGGGAAGGGTGGGGCCACAATAGGAGATCAAAGTTTTACAGAGGAATATATAGGAAAAAATCTGTAAAATTCTTTTAGAGCGAAGATTAATCATATTGACATGTATCCTCAGTAAGTGTAGGTTCAAGTTTGTTCAAGTTATGGCCACTTCCCTGCCCCTCTCAGGGGAGGAGGGGGAAGTAGGTTGGGACCACTTATATTTTTAAACTTTTCAGTACTAAACTGATACCTGCTTTTCACCAGCCAAAGTGCTCAGTGAGCAGTGTGGCCCATGGACCTCTTGGTTTGTTTAATGAAATGTCTTTAATGTTAAACTTACTCCTATAGTATATGAGACTTTGCCTTTCTTGTATAACATTTGTCAAAGTGTGCTCCTTAATCTTTGATTACCTATGTTCAAATAATAGTAAAGTATTTTCAGTTATCTTTTGTTGCAATGAATCTTTGATTTGATGAAGAATGATGCATTTAAGACTTGTTTAGTATTCCTATTTGAACCCTCTTGTTCTGTTAATTCCTCTATGATTTAATTGACAGTTGACAAGCTTCTTTACCTACTGTATGATGATGCTGACAGTGATATCTTCTATTATCATCATCCACACTGACCCACAGGTAAATATCAAATGAGGCCATAAATAAGTGATTATTGAAAGACTGGACATTGTGTCATTGTAAACTCTCTCTTGCCCATGAACTTCTAGCAGGCAAACAGTTTACATAGTTGTACAGTAAAATTATTCTAATCCAGACTCCGATAAAACCATAGAAATTGGTCGGATTAGACAACATTCCAGATTAGACAACCTTTAAACAATTGAATTTACTGAAAGGGACTTAAAGCTTACATTGTAATAGACAAGAACATCCCAATTAGACAGGTTTTACTGTAATATGCAGTAAAGATGACCTGTCAAACTTGTAAAATTTATTTCCCCTCTGGTCTGGATTCAGGCCCAAGGTTGCCACTAAGTAAGTCATATACATGTATTAAAAAAAAAATAATTTTATCACATAGTTACTCCTTTATACAGTGGATAACTCATGTGATATCATTTTCATATCAACATTTGTGACAAACGATGTAAAGTGATGGATAAAAAGAATCTCCCAAGATTTATGGTTGGATATGATTTTTAGTTCACCTGAGCTGAAAGCTCAAGTGAGCTTTTCTGATCACAATTTGTCCATTGTCCTTCTGTTTGTCCTTCCAACTGTAAACTTTTCACATTTTTGACTTCTTCTTCAGAACCACTGGGTCATTTTCAACCAAACTTGCCACAAAGCATCCTTGGTTGAAGAGGATTTAAGTTTATTTAAATAAAGAGCCATGCCCTCTTTTAAGGGGAGATAATTAAGAAGTAGTGAAAATTTGGTGGCATCTTTTAAAAATCTTCTTCTCAAGAACCATTGAGCCAAAAAAGTTAAAACTTATGAGAAACCTTCATTACAGAGTGTAGATTTAAGTTTGTAAAAATCATGACCTCCGAGGGTAGGGTGGGGCCACAATGGGAGATCAAAGTCTAATACAGGAATAAATAGGAACAAATCTTCAAAAATCCTCTTCTCAAAACAGGAATGCCATGATTAGGCATATTATATAGAAGCATCCTCGGGTAGTGTAGATTCAAATTTGTTCAAATCATGACCCCCAGGGGTTGGATGGGGCCACAATGGGGGATCAAATTTTTTACATAGGAATTTATAGGAAAAAAATCTTTAAAAATCTTCTCAAGAACAGTAAAGCCATGATTATTCACATCGGTATTGAAGCATCCTCAGAAAGTCTAGATACAATTTTGTTCCAATCATGACCCCCAGGAGTAGGATGGGGCCACAGTGGGGGATCAAAGTTTTACATAGGAATATATAGGGAAAAATCTTTCAAATTCTTCTTCTCAACAACAGCAAAGCCATGATCAGACTTATTGATACAGAAACATCCTCTGGTAGTGCAGATTTAAGTTTGTTCAAATCATAACACTTGGGGGGTAGGATGTGGCCACAATGGTCTATCAGAATTTAATATAAAGGTATATAGTAAGTATAGGAAAAAAAGTTAAAAATCTCAAGAACAGAGGAACCATGATTATGGTAGTCATATTGATATGGAAGTATTTTCAGGTAGTGCAGATTGAAGTTTGTTCAAATCATGACCCCAGTGGTAGGGCCACATCTTCAAAAATCTTCTTCTCAAGAACAACAAAACCACAATTAATCATATGAATATGGAAGCATCCTAAGATAGTGTAGATTCAAGTTTGTTCAAATCATGACATCTGGGGTTAGGGTGGGGTCACAACAGAGATCAATGTTTTATATGAAATATGGAGGTAATGAACAGTATTCAAGCTCAAAGTTCATTTAAACAATACAAATAAGGAGCAGAGTAAACGTGGACCTCCTAAAACATCGGAGGTGGGATCAGGTGCCGTGGAGGAGTGAGTGTCACCTATGAATATATAAGTGAAAGAATTTGCTGATGAAGAACAGCAGGACCATATTGATTCAAGTGAGCGTTGTGGTCCATGGGCCTTTTGTTTATCCAACTCAAGTGTTTTTATCCCCTTACCAAGGCTTGGGGATAGAAAACACAAAACTCTTTAAATAAAATCATATCCAACCACAAACCATTGAAGATCCTTTATTTAAGCATTGAAGTCTTATTTTTGAATGTCATCTGTGAATACCACTCATTACATGTAGCACAATATGATAATTTGTTGGCACTAACAGGTGCTGTTAAAGGACCAACAACATCCACAAATAAAAATTCAATGTTTATATTTACATATTCATCGTTGATTTTATAAATCTTTATCATGAATTTACACCTTTCAGAACTGGTGTGCTTACTAGACATTGTGACATGGAAAGTTAAATAACACAAATTAATCAAATTAATATTGCGACTGTATATGTATATGATTAACCTATGTCCCCTGGGTTAAAGTTTCATATGTTTGGAGTAGGGAATTTAGTAGTACATGTATTTGAAATGCTACTCCTAAGCCAATTCAAGCAATGTGGTAATGACTAGAGTCCCATAAAATTTTTTAGGATTTGAATGGATCCAAAGATCCTGTCCAAGGTGGTGCTGAGATGGTCATAGCTAGAGGTACCTAGATACTCATAAGACCAGAAGAGGCTTAAAACAAGCAAACAAACAAACAATAACAAATATCTTGTATTAAATGATTTGATTCTTTATTTTCAGTTTAGTCAAGAAGGATATATCTGGATTGGACTTCACATTATTTTTACAGGTAAAACTGATTATATTATCAAAACAATTTCATATTCACACATGCAAAGAAAACACAAATACAATAAAAGTGTGCAAAGAGTTATGTGAGGAAAATAACTACTGGTAAAAATAAGTTATTTTTATTATATGCAGTAAAACATACTGAAAAGCACAGGATTCTGGCTGATTTCTGCTTAAAACATGTTGAAAGCTAAAAAAAATATATATATTACAGTTGAACTTCGGTATCTCAAACACCGATATCTCGAATACCATGGATATGTCGAAGTGATTTGGAAGTCCCAATCCCTTATTCTGCAAGCATTTTACTCTGTATACATGTATCTCAATTCCTTGGATATTGCCAAGATTTTACTTGCCCCATCAAGATCGAGATCATGAGATTTGACTGCATGAAGTTACATGTATTTCTTTTACCACATCTGACTTTGTGAAAACTTATGATAAATCCTTTTTCTTTAGGAGGTTTACAGATTTACACAAAATTGATGAAAGGAAGACTGAAATCTAGGTAAAGCAGAATTGATGTACACCAAGATAATAACAGAGCAATATTGATTTTCTTTGTTATATTCTTACTAGGGATGTCAATTTTGTCAATAGTTCATATTTGAATATTCAGTGAAAATATTTTAAAACATAAATATTTAAAAAAAAAAATACAGTAAAACTTGTCTTATCAGGATATTGTGTATTCCAAAATCTTGTCTATTACAATGTTATCTTTCCTTTCAGTAAATTAGTTGTTTATTTTGTTGGCCAATCTAGCCAATTTCTATGGAACCACTACTTTCTGGATTAGATAAGTTTTGCTATATATTTGAATATTCAATAAAATAAATAAAATCTTGTTGTAAATTAATATTTTAAATATGCATCATCCTACCTTCATGTATGGAAATGTACATATTACGCTTCCATACTCAAGAAATTTGTGTTGGTATTTGGAAGTAAAAATTGGTTGTAGACTTTTGTAGGTGTATAGCAAGGAGTATCATCTCATCGACTGAATATTCAAAAATATTGGTTGACATCCCTAATTCTAACCAGTGTTTATTTGGTTGTTAAAATGTTTTTGAGGTATATGAATATGAGATTTAAGGACCATTGATTAAGCCAATACCGGTATATGAATACTGCATGTAGTTGAGTGTAACATTGAAAATTTTCACCCCTCAAAAACCATTGTCAACCGAGGTGCAGCCTTGGTTGACAATGGTTTTTGAGGGGTGAAAATTTTCAATGTTACACTCAACTACATGCAATATTTTTTATATTATACTGACTGTTTTATACAAATATATATTACAATGAACCTAGCACGCATAAATTCTGCGCAGTCAATATTTTTTGGAATATCACCCATTGTCAAGCAATGTTGACTGTTGCTATGCTGGAGGGCGTGGCTTCATTATTCAGTGGGTAATAGTGTTTTTTAACAAATGTTTCTCGACAAATCAGATTCAACTGATTTACATGAAAGTTTAATATTGTCATATAAATACATGGAGTCTGTAATATATTATTTTGCTACATCAGTTTAATGTAATGCATTTCTATATAGAAGTTCTTTATTCTTTTGTTGCAGCTCAATAGAGAAGTTGTATTGTAGTTACATCTATTGGTAAGTAATGATTGGAAAATGAATTGATATTATATTTAGAATATAATGTGGAATGAAGTTACTATTATAGTTACTGTACATCTACTGACAAGAAATGAATGCAGAAAGGAGTTATTATTAAAACTACATCCACTGTTGAATTTTAATTCTGGTAAGAATTTTTTGTAGAATTGATTAAATATTGCAATTACTCATTTACTTGTAAGATATTGATGTGGAATGGAGTTAACATTATATAGTTACCGCTACTGATAAGAAATCAATGCAGGGTGAAGTTGATTTTATAGTTACATTTATACTTGGATGATTATTTATGTGGAATGGAGAAAATATTATTGGTTTCTACTGATAAGAAATGAATGCATAGTGGAGTTGATATTAAAATTACATTTACTTGTAAGATATTGTTGAGGAATAGAGTTAATAACTATAGTTATATCTACTGGTAAGAAGAGAAAGGAAAATTGCATTTAAAAAGTAGTTGAATGTATAAACTGAAGCCTGTTTAACAGAGCGAACGTTCGTGAGTGCTCGCCAAAATTTCTTATCCCTCCAACAGAAATGTTCGCCAGCGCTCGTGAATGTTCGCAGTGCTCGTGAACGTTTGCTTTGTTGAACAGGCCTCTGGTCAGATATTTATACTGAGTGGAATTCATATTTCTTGTAAACAGCAAAGTTGTCATCTCAAAAATGTCACTTTAATTTTTCCTAAGATAAATCTAGTGCATTCAATGTATTTCTTTTTTTCTTTCTTTCTTTTTTTTTTTTTTTGAATAAATAGGTAGTTGAAGTATTATTCTTTATTTACAGCATAATTTTGTTTGCGCCATCAAGTTATTTAATAGGTAAGAGTCTATTAACATGTTAAGTTAGTGTGTATCAAGTTGTATGATGTAAAATGTCTACCCTGAGTTGTCACTCCTCTCATTAATTCCATGTAGATTGTTATCACAACAGATGTAGAATATTAAGTAGAATATTAAGTAGTCACACTGGTGTTTTGGTATAAATATATATATATATAAATAGCTGATTCTCATGAAGGAGTATTTTTTTTTCTACATATCAAGATAATATAATCAAAACTCCTTGATTTACAACATTTACAATACAATTTTATCTCTCCTCAATGAAGTCAAGATAAGCATATGCTATGCCTCTGGCTTTGACATCCCTCTTAGATTTTTAAGGGCAAGTCCTTACCCAAGTAACTTTAATAACCCCTACCTGGACCAGACCTGTCTGGAATGATGCATATAGGAATGTACATTACCTTACTTCAGATGCTGGATCTGACCTTCATTTACCGGATGACTGAATAAGTTAAACATTTTGGAGTTGAGGTCCATTCCCAATGCATATAAGCCCTATCTGGACCAAACTTGCATGGATGATGCATATATAGGGATGCACATTACCAGACTTGCTTCAGATGCTGGATCTGACGTATATTTTGGAGCAGGTTCATTCCCAAGCAACTATGAGCTCTACCTGGACCAGAGTTGCGTGGATGATGCATCTAGGGATGTTCATTACCAGCATACTTCAGATATGCTGAATATATATATTTTCTAGTTAGGTGACTAGATTTAAGTTGTTGGAGCAGTTCAACTTGTTTGAATATAATTATAAGCCTTATGGTGATTAATTGAATTTGCATAGATGATGCATCTAGGGATGTACATTAATAGCATACTTCAGATATGCTGGATATATAATATATATTTTCCAGTTGAATGACTAGGTTTAAGTTCTTAGAGCAGGTCGACTTGTTCGAATATACAGTCAAACCTAGTTATCTCGAACTCAAGGGGACTCAGAAAAAACTTCAAGATATTCAAGGGTTCAAGATTTCAAGTGTAAAATACTTAAGAAATCTGTGGTTAGGACTTCCAAATCACTTAGACACATCCATGGTATTTGAGATAGATGTATTTGAGATACCACAGTTCAACTGATTGATTGAATTTGCATAGATGATGCATCTAGAGATGTTTTCTACCAGACTGCATCTAGCTTACATTTCCAGATGAATGATCAATATCTTTGGAGCAGGTTCATTCCAAAGTAACTATAAAGTTTACTTTGACCCACCTTGCATGAATGATGCTTCTAGGGATGAACACTAGCAAACATGCCTCAGATGCAACATCTGCATTTATTCACCTGGATGATCTGACCTATTTTTATGCCCCGCCATGAATATGGCCGGGGCATATAGTGTTTGTCATGTCCGTCTTCTGTCCTTCTGCCTGTCTTTACGTCACGCTTTGAGTTTAGCTCTGTTCAAAGCTCAGTTTAAAAGAAACTATTCAAGATATTTTTATCAAACTTCATATGCTGATAGATATTGATGAGAGCTATGCAACTGCATCAACATTTTTTGACCTTGACCTTTCCTTTGACCTTGACCTCACTTTTCTTAAATTGTGTTTAGCTCAGTTTAAAAGATACCAGTCAAGGTAGTGTAATCAAATTTCATATGTTCATACATTCTGATGTAAGCTATTCAACTGCATCAACATTTTTTGACCTTTCCTTTTACCTTGACCTCACATTTCTTAAATTAGTGTTTAGCTCAGTTTTAAAGATATCATTCAAGACAGTGTAATCAAACTTCATATGTTGATACATACTGATGTAAGCTATTCAACTGCATCAACATTTTTTGACCTTAACCATTCCTTTTACCTTGACCTCACTTTTCTTAAAGTAGTGTTTAGCTCAGTTTTAACAGTGTTCGAAATAACCGTGCACCCGACTGCACGAGATGCACTAATTTTGCAGCAGGCGAACAAATTTGCATGTACTGATGCCCGGATGGACGTGTTAAAATTTTCGATAATTAAAATTCATATATTTGATAAATCTTTTTCATATCAAGTAATAGTATCGGTAGCAAAGTGTAACAAGCCAATAGGAAGAATTTCATCAGTCTATAGATTCTGGTTTGAAGTTATGGTGACCTGGTTCCAGTCACATCATCGTTAAAAAACAAATTTATAAAAGACAATTTTTTTCTCAGGCAAGTAGATCTTTGGCAGGGCTGACAACTTTTACTAGCAGTCAGACCTGCATGTCTGACTAAATTTACAGTGAGTTTCAAACACTGGTTTTAATGAAATGTTTTTATCAAACTTCATATGCTGATACATACTGATGAGAGCTATTCAACTGCATCAATATTTTTTGACCTTGACATTTCCTTTGACCTTGACATCACTTTTCTTAAATTAGTGTTTAGCTCAGTTTTAAAGATACCATTCAACAGAGTGTTATCAAACTTCATATGTTGATACATACTGATGAGAGCTATTCAAATGCATCAAGATTTTTTGACCTTGACCATTCCTTTGACCTTTGACCTCACTTATCTTAAATTAGTGTCAAACTTCATATGCTGATACATACTGATGTAAGCTATTCAACTGCATCAACATTTTTTGACCTTGACCTTTCCTTTGACCTTGACCTCACTTTTCTCAATTTGTGTTTAACTCAGTTTTAACGAAAACATTCATAATATTTTTATCAAACTTCATATGCTAATACATACTGATGTAAACTTTTCAACTGCATCAACATTTTTTGATCTTGACCTTTCCTTTGACCTTAACTTCATTTATTTTAATTAGTGTTTAGCTCAGTTTTAAATAAACCATTCAAAATATTTTTATCAAACTTAAATATGCTGATACGTATTTGTGAGAAGAATTCAACTACATAAAAATCATTTGACCTTGAACTTTCCTGTGACCTTGGCCTTACTTTTCTTAGATTTGCATTTTGCTTAATTTTAAAGAAACCATTTAAGATATATTTATGTAAGTTATGCACTTATGCATAATTTGGTGAGAATTTATCGTTTATGTCCAACTTTTTAGATTTCAATTTTAATTTTAAAGGAACTTTTCAAGATATTCTCATCAAATTTCATACACTAATACAAATTTTCACGTTGCATTACTAATGTACCCTCGGTGGGGCATTCATGTCCCATGGACATATTTCTAGTTTAAAGATGATTGAAACATTTTAAGTTTTTGGAACATTCCCTAAAAAACTGCAGATCCCACCTAGACCAAACTTGCATGATTGTTGCATGTAGATATGAACACTACCAGAACATTCAATTGCTGAGACATAGCTTTCGCTTATAGATAACATTTGTTAAGGTGAGCTTTGTCATCTTTGATTACCTATGTTTAAATTTCTGCAATAACAGAGGAGTATTATTGTTAATAATAATTTGTCAAGCGAGTCAATAAGATTTTATAAAGTCACATTAATCTATTGCTATCTAGCAAACCATCTTTTGCATGATTATAATTAGCAAGTAGCCCTGTCATGGTAGCCTACTGGTAGGGTGCTCGCTTCATGATCGGGAAGCCCAGGTTCGATTCTTGTTCGCCGTGCTGCGTCAAACCTAAGATGTAAACATAAGCAGTGACTGTTCCTTCGCCAAGCGCCCGGCATGAGAAGTGAAAGTCACAGGTCTTTGGAATGAGACCTTAAAAACTGAGGTCCCATGTCATGGTGGGCGTTTGCATGATAAAGAACCCTTACTGCTCAACTGCCCTGAGTGCCGAGTATAGGTCTAAAGAACAAGTCTCAATAAGGCTTATCTGTGGTCCCCGGTTACTCGTCAGATTTCGAACATTTATTAAAATTTTTAAAAATTGAATTTTTTTATTAACTAATGTCTTTATTATTTGAACCATCATCTAAAAATGTCAAACAATAGATATAGGCAGCATACGAAGCTGCGCGTTGAAGGTAGGGTCCTTTGATTTTCATGAATATCAAAAGAAATCAGTGACAGCTACACATTTCAAAGTTTTTGTAAACACCGAGCTCAGGTTTGTTCAGAGTTGAGTTTGAAATATAATGTTTATACATGTATTATACGTTTAAAGGTTGAGTGAAAAGATCTTTGTTGAACAACCTTGTGCTCTATGTTTTCTAATTAAAAGTATTGTGATTTTGAATCTCTTCGCTATCTTCATTTACATGCGATTAACCTCTTTATGACCTGTTTAGAATCATAACAAGCCACGTGGATTTGTATCGTTACGGGTAAATGCCTCCACTAAACGTGCTAGTTCTCAGTTGAAACGTACTCAGTTTTATGTCGATCAGCATGGACTTGTTTGGTTCATCTTGTTATAGTTTTTACTGCCAAAGTTTTGTATAAAATAGAAAATTGTATTTGTAGTTGATTGTGAATCGTCTTTGAAAGAAAAATATCATACCAAGATCTTTTTATAATATCTAATCTAAATGTCTCCGCCCATTTCCATGTAATAGAGAAACCGTAGTCTGATCGGGGGAAAATGTTCCGGCATTTTTTAGTGCGATAGGTGTTAAAAATATGCTTTTATTTTTTGATATGTTTAATTATTCATTATAAATACACAATGTTTTAATTAGAAATACTTCGTTATAAACAACGAAAACAAACAAAGTACCGTATGCTAATATTTAACCGGTAAACCAGGGTGTAAAAAGGGACCACACTACTACACTTAAGTAGAATACTCCTTTGAAGCCCTTGACCAGCATACGGTGACATCTCTGTATGAGTGAAAAAATTCTTGAAAGGGATATTAAACAACAAACATTCAATCATTTTTTTTTTTGTTTATCATATCCACTTGGTTCAGGATTCAATCTCCTTATTGGGTATTTTGGTTTTATACTGGAAATACAGCATGCATTTTAAGATCTTCATTTCACTCCAGACCTGTCAATATCTAGAAAGCAGAAGGCCTTGTATGATCATAATTAGCAATTTAAAATTATATACCCAAATTGTGATATATAAAAATCTTCCTAAAGCTGAGCACAACTCATAAATAGGCATACACCTTACTAGATTCACTATCTTCAATATCAGCACTGGGGTATACCCTTCGTATTCATTACACCTGACTACTTTATTGTCACGGGTACCAGCATGGAATGAATGACGTGTTTGTGCTGGTAATCTTACATTAACAATTGTAAAACAGTTGTAAGTTTTCTTTCTCTCCTGCCATGGAAGAAGTAAACAATTATTTTTGTTGCTAATGAGTGTTTTACAATAGCTATGTAGCATATGTCCATCTACACAGGTGACAACTGATTACACTGAATGGCTTATATAGGGGCCTTCAGATATAAAGACTGAATAAAAGAATATGGCGGACAAATTCCTTTTACAAATTGAGCTCAGCTTTAACTCATGGATATACTGTAGAAGCAGAAATATTTTTTCAAAATTAATTTAGTTTATTTCTTTGATAAATTTATCAATGAAATTAAATCCCATACAAAATTTCATAGTCAGTAAATCATCCAAATTTGAATCAGATGTGGCAGACTGTATATTTTAAATGAAGCATGTTCATGTAAATTCTTCAAAGAATATTATTTTCTCTATGTTACAGGTGATGCCCTGGAAGCAGCCAGATTTCCTCATCTGTATTTTTCCAAATTTTGGCTAGGATGTTTATTGAGGTATACCTTGCTTTACAACACCTTCAAAGAGACTTAGCTATAGCTAGAGAAAGACTAAAACACTTGTATTAACCATGATTAAAAAGTCCTACTTCTCCAGAAGTACATGGTACAGCATATTTACAGGAACTTTAACAATTTTAACAAAATATGTTAACTTGCAGTGAATGAAATTTTTTGACTGACTCTAAAAGGCTGCACTTTTTCATCACAAGTCAGTATGCAGTTGTTTTAATGTTGATAAATATTAGTTTAAAACATATGTCATTTGATAAATAAAAACCAATTTTTCAGTGGTGTATTTGGAGTGTTGTTAATTCTACATTCCATAAACTTGCAAGAAAAAAAATTAGGACAAGTGGACTTTGCCAAAGTTCAAGGCTTCTCCAAGGTAAGGAATATATATGCATTTTATTTATTTCATCCATTGAATGAATTAATAGAAGTGCACATGTGTATGCTCTGATATTGTGTAAAAAGCTGCAAGATAACAAAATTAGTTGTAAAGTACATACAACACTACAATTCAACCTGAATTGTTTTGCATAAAGTAACATATAATCCAGTAATAATATTTTTATTTCAGATACTAGCATCTCTCTTGTCATTCTTTACATTCACTGATTTCTACACAGCAAACTTTGCCATGTGGTAAGAGAAATACTTAGCAATATGTTAAAACAGAGAGGCGAGAGATATGATTCTGCAATTAGTATTGAACGACTGTCAGTGACATAATTAATTAATTATAATTAAGTGTTGCAGATGTGAGGATTAATGATATAAATCATTGTCATTTCCAACATTGTCACTTAATGACAAAATTATCATGCTAAGCATAATGATCCTAATACCAACACAATACTCAGTGAAACAAACATTCAAATGCATTATACATGATTAATTATACCCCACGCAACAAGTTGCGTGAGGTATAATGTTTTTGACCCGTCAGTCAGTCAGTGTGTCAGTCAGTCAGTCAGTGTGTCAGTCCTGTTTTTTTGTCAGCGCAACTCCTCATAAACAGCTGCACAGAATTTCGTCAAACTTTGCAGATATTTAGGACACAATGTGTAGATGTGCATATTACCAGGAAATTCCGATTCCTTTATTTTTTCTTGGAATTATGGCACTTTTCAACTTAGATTTTTGGCCATATCTTGAATATAGAGATGAACAGTTTGTCAGTGCAACTCCTCTTAAACCGCTGCACAGAATTTGGTCAAACTTTGCAGATATTTAGTACACAGTGTGTAAAAGTGCATATTTCCAGGAAATTCCTATTCCATTATTTTTCTGGGAATTTTGGCACTTTTCAACTTAGATTTTTGGCCATATCTTGAATATCTTGAACTAGGTAATAAGGAAATCCACTGGAATCAGCTTTTGTAATGAAACTTTATGTGAAATATTTTATGACCTTTAAAGTCCCCTATTGATTTTGAGATCAAAATATTAATGATTTAACACACACACAAAATCTTGGATAGTTCCCCCCCCCCCCCCCCCCCCCATCAAATTGGTGCTTTGCCTTAAATAATTTCATAAGTACAGTTTATAAACAAATTCATGAATTATACTGTGTATTTAAAATGCACTGTGCCATTCATTGCGTGTTGCATTGTCGAGTTTTGGGGGAGCGTGGGGTATGTGAGCTTGCTCACTTTTTCTTTCATTGCTAATGAATTTTTAATCAGTAGATATTGCAGCTCCAACCATAAATCCATATATGTTGTATTATTTAATTTCACCACAAGAAAACCATCATCTAGCTCGGCTCTTAAGATATTGTATTTCTATTTACTTATATGTACCAAAAGATGTTTCTGTGTTTATTACAACTAATGAAACTCAATTATTTATCAATGACTTTTGAGTAGATTTATCTGAAAATGATGATTGATTATTTTTGAATGTATGAGATAAAAATTGAATGGTTTATATCATGAGGACTGTAGGAGATTATATGGCTGAATGGTTACCGGTGAATGGTAAAAAATAGTTTTTGCATGGTAAAATTGCAAAGATCTGGTTTATATATACATTTGTATTATTATGGCAACAAATTTATTAATGGAAGGTAAATCATGACTTCTTACCCATCCATTTTAAATTCATTCTATTTTGCTTGGACAAAATTGTGATGAACTCATGCTATAGCCAAGCCTCAGCATCCAGATGCAAGTTTAGGCAGCGAGTCAATTTCTAGGTGATTATAAGCCCTACCTGGACCAAACTTGCATGGATTGTACACCATCAGACTTTCTTTTGGATGCTGAATGTTACATACAATTTCTGGATGAATATTTAGATACAAGTTTTTGAAGCCCATTCCAAGTAACTATAAGCCAAATGACCAAAGTTGCTTATAGGGATGCACACTTTAAAACTTGCTTTGGATGCTGGATCTGGCTTATATTTTCTGGATGGTTGAATGTTAAAATGTTTAGAGCAGGTCTATTCCAAGTAATTGTAACCACTCTTGCTTGATGATGCATATAGGGATGAACACTACCAGACCTGTTAGCTCACCTGAGCCAAAGGCTCAAGTGAGCTTTTCTGATCAAAATTTGTCTGTTGTTGTCGTCGTTAACTTTTTACAATTTCATCTTTTTCTCCAGAACCACTAAGCAAATTTCAACCAAACTTTTGTAGACCAACATGCTCATGTAATGCAAAATATGAGTCAAAATTATCTTTATTAATTTTCTTGTGAAAGTTTTAACTAACCTGAGCCATGCATTTTTGAATCTAAATCACATATCAAAATGTGCAAAATTATGAACCAAATCACTTTATAAGGGTTGATACATTGCTATAAATTTAATCAGATGCTTGTAAAATACTATGGGTACAGAATTTTTATGCAATGCTAATTTTTTAGTGTCAGCAAAATCTAGTTCAAATAGAGATATAGATTAAAGTACATGTGTTTTATCAGGATATTTATAAATTTGGTGGCTGGACTCACAGTGCAGGATACTCAACTGTCTGCTTCTGAAGCTTTTACTACAGGTATATGAAATTCACCAGCAAGTATAGTATTTCTATTAACACCTGTTATTTTTATATTCTGTTGAATGAATATTAATTAGTCTGAACTTTTCTTGCAGATTCCAGTGAATATAGGAATAAATTTCCACCCTGTAATAGAAGTTCTACATTTGATGATTTTATTAAAGATGAAGACGTTGAGGGAGTTACAGGACTAGATGACCTCTAATGTTTTTATGACAAAATATTATATATCTTTGTTAACTGTGTTTGTCTAGATATACTGTTGTTTTTGTGTTGCATGTATTTATAGGACAAGATGTGAATGTTAGTAAAATTGAAATCCTGAGAAGAGTGAGTGCTGTTTACCTAGCTGTTGATAAATTCTAAAAATTGAAGAAATATTTCTGTTGGGTAACTAGGAACAAATACTTTCAATCTCTTCAGAGATCTACTGTGGGCACACACAAGAAATATCATTCCAATTGGCTCTGTAAGAGTAATTACTGAATGAACAAATAACAGTTTTGTTATATAAAACAGATCTTGTATTACAGTAAAATTTATCTAATTTGGACAACACTGGTTCCAAAGAAACTGGACTGATTTGACAACATTCCAGATTAGACAACATGTTTAACAATTGAATTTACTGAAAGAGACTTAAAGATAACTTTGTATTAGGCAAGATTTCGGAATATACAACATCCAGATTACACAAGTTTTACAGTATATGCTTGGAAGACACATTGAAATTTCTTAAATGACCATTTTTGTTGTCTTCTCCACAGCATGGTGATGTAGTTTTTTGAATTTTGATATTACCTTCATTGAATGATTGATATCACTATTCTTATAAGTGATGTCACCTATTTGAATGGCTGAAATCGCTTATTCAAATGGATGATATCACCTATTTGAAATGAAAAGGACATACCACCTATTCAATTAGGTGATAGCACCTATTCCAGTAAGTCACATTAGCTACATCACTTATTGGCAATAAATACCAAACTAGTCCTCTTGGCAGATAGTATACACCTATTTACTGGCTATGAGGACAGTAGCAAGTTTTTTGCCCCCCCCCCCCCCCCCCCCCCCCCCAAGACCAACTTTTTCCTAAGCTGAGGGAAATAGCTGCTGTCGAGGAAGACCATAAACTTGCTTTTGTCTGAATAGTCAGTAAATAGGTGTTTAATTGTACCGAAGCAGTCAAGTCACCATCTGGATAAAACCAGAAGAGTTCCAAGGTGAATTGCATTGGAAATCAAATGCTGCTTCTGAATAGTTTAATGAATATTTCACCACAGGCAAATAGCAAAAATATATCAAGGTACAGGTTGCTTAGAAAAAACAGCAGGTTTATTCGACATATTTTCACATAGAAAAAAGATGTGTTCGTGAATCACTGATGCCCCCATATAAAAACTATGTAAAAGGTTAAAAATTCTCAATGCAAGTCAAACTCCAAGGTCAAGAGATCAAAGTAGGTCAGTCTTGAAGGTCAAGAGTTCACAAATTCTGGTATCCAAAAGAAGGTCTTGTCAGAAAGAAAACATGAAATATGAGAACCCTAGCACCAACCTTTCAAAAGTTATGCCAAGGATAAAGTTTTCAGAAAGATCAAACTCCAAGGTCAACGTCAAAAATGTTAGTACCAAAGAAAGATCTTACCACAAGAAAAACAGTAGTCAAATGTGATAACCTTAGTAGTACATTATGGCTAAGGTTAAATTTTTCAAAAGAAGGTCAAACTCTAAGGTCAAAAGGTCACAAATGGTTTTATCACAAGGAATAAACATATGAAATATGAAAGGCCTAGCCTCATCCATGGAAAAGTTAAGGCTAACGTTAATTTTTTTTCAAAAGTTATTCAAACTCCAAGGTCAAGAGGTCATAAATGTTGGTATTCAAGGAAAGGTCTTGTCACATGAAATATGCAAGTAAAGTGTAAAAGCTCCAGGAGCATTCGTTTAAAAGTTATGGCCAATGTTAAAGTTTGGTAATTTTTTGCAAAGGTAGGTCAAACTCCAAGGACAAGGTCAGGAGGTCAAATATTTGGGTTACAAAAGAAAGGTCTTGTCACAAGGAATACACACATGAAATGTGAAAGCCCTAGCTTTAACCAATCAAAAGTTATGGGCAAGGTTAAAGTTTTTGTGGACAGATAGACAGCTAAACGGAGGGGAGGGTGGACAGACCAAAAACTACTGATATTTGCCCCCAAATCTTTGATTTATATTTCACATGTGTATTCCATGTGTCCAGATCCTTCATTGGGTACCAACATTTTTTACCTCTTGACATTGACCTATGAGTTTGACTTACTTTTGAAAAACTTAAACCTTGGTCATAACTTTTGAACAGTTGGTGCTAGGACTTTCATAGATCACGTGAATTCCTTGTGACAAGATCTTTCTTTGGGTACCAATATTTTTGACCTTACCTTGACAATGGAGTTTGACAAATATTTAACCTTGCCGATAACTTTTCAATGGTTGCTGCTAGGGCTTTCATATTTCACTGATGCATTCTTTGTGACCTTTCCTTTGGTACCATTATTTTTTTTTACCTCATTACTTTGACCTTGGACTATGACCTACATTTTCAAAAATACTTTACACTTGGCTATATTTTCTGAATGGTTGCTACTAGAGCTATTATATTTCATGTGTATTCTTTGTGACAAGACCTTTCTTTGGGTATCAACATTTTTGAACTTTTGACCTTGGAGTTCAACCTACATTTGAAAAACTTAAACCTTTGCCTTGAGCTGCCATATGGAGGATCAGAAACACTTCTTTTTTTTTAGTCTGCAAATGCTTGTCATTACAGGAGGTCTCTGTTTTTTTAAAATGTCTCTTCCAAAGGATCCGCAACTTTCACTCCAAAGTACCTAGTACTTGGTGAAGGAACATCTACTATCTATTTATTTATTTTATGGACTTGGGTTTATTGTGGCCAGGGTGCTAATCAACAAACAATGACGTGCTAAAACACTAGTTTTCTTATTTCAGCGGAAATTTGCATGCTGAATTAGTTACCTCTTTACATTACCGACTGATCAATCAGTACGAGTTTCAGGACATGTATATGAGCGTATGGAAATAAGAACATCAGTTAGGTTATTACATTGTGTCACTGTTGGATGTATAAACTGATAAATGGGCTAGCTATTGTACATTTTTTAACCCAAAGTAAATTTAGGTTCAAAATGAGATAGTGTTATGAATACTTTTGACCTGGAAGCAAAAGAAAAACTAGAGTTTTGATCAAAAAGTTGGGGCATCAGATGATGATTTGTTGAGGAAAACTGTTTGGAGTCTTATGGAATTCCAGTCAGTCAATACCTCTAATGGTGCTTGCAAAGAGATGAAAAGATTATCGGCGTTTTGCGAAACCTGCTTTAAATATTCCATATCAAGATTAACAACCAAAAAAAGTGTAAAAAAAAATTGATGGGCTATTTTCAATTGTTTCGGGAAGTAGGCTGGAAAAGTATTAGAACATAGATGACATTCAAATAATCTGAGGGGATTTGATGACAAAGGTCTACTGTAAAATGTCCAAAAATGCCTGGAATTTGTTGACAGACGTAGTGATTTCTATGGTGGCATATTTCTGCCCCCTAAATGCAAGATAATTTATGTTAACATGCAACAAAATTATGTAGACATGCAACATATTTATGTCAACATGCAAAATACTTATGTTGACATGCAGCTTACCAATCTTAGAAAATATAATTTAAATATGTATAAATCTACTGACTCTCGCCATTATCTGGCTTCATTATGGTGGCATATTTCTGCCCCCTACATGCAAGATAAATTATGTTAACATGCAACATAATTATGTAGACATGCGACTTATTTATGTCAACATGCAAAATAATTATGTTGACATGCGAGTTACCAATTTCTCTAGAGAATCTAATTTAATATTGGTAAACTTACTAACGCCATTATATGACATCATACAAGCAAGTTACAACAGGATTATGTTGACTTGCAACTTATTTATGTCAACATGCTAGATAATTATGTAGACATGCAACTTATTTATGTCAACATGCGACTTATTTATGTCACAATGCAACTTATTTATGTCAACATGCAAGATAATTATGTTAAAATGCGAGTTAATTATTCCAACATGTGAGATATGTATGTTAACATGCAACTTATTATCTTGCATGTTGACATAAATACCTTGCATGTTAAAAATATAACTTGCATGTTAACATAAATAAGTTGCATGTTAACATAATTATCTTGCATGTTGACATGAATAAGTCGTATGTTGACATAAATATCTTGCATTACAGTTAACATAATTATCTTGCATGGTATTACATAAATAAGTCGCATGTCAACATAACTCTGTTACAGCTTGCTTGTATGATGTCGTATACTGGTGTTGGTAAGTAATTTTACCAACATTAAAATTAGATTCTCTAGAGAGATTGGTAACTTGCATGTCAACATAATTGTTTTGCATGTTGACATAATTATCTTGCATTTTGACATACTTTTCTTGCATGTTAACATAATTTATCTTGCATGTAGGTGGCAGAAATATGCCACCATACTTCATACATGCAAGATGCAACATGATAATGTACACATGTGACTTAATTATGTTAACATGCAAGATAATTATGTAGACATGCAACTTACTTATGTTAACATGTGAGATAATTATGTAGACATGCGACTTATTTATGTCAACATGCAAGATAATTATGCAGACATGCAACTTATTTATGTCAACATGCAAGATAATTATGATAAATAAGATAATTATGTTAACATGTGAGATATTTATGTTGACATGTAACTTATTATCTTGCATGTTGACATAAATATCTTGCATGTTAAAAGATAACTCCCATGTTGACATAAATAAGCCATTGTTCTGTTGTTTCAGTGAAGTTGTGGAGGAATTACTTTATAGCAATATCTCATTTTTTTTAAAATTTAATTTCATAAAATAAAAAATTAAAAAGAAAGATAAGAATACGTCTGGTTTGATAAAATTGAAAAAGACAAATTTTGGAATAAAATTGTCTATAATTTGGTACACTGTACTAAATTTTTCAAATAGATTCTTGTTGATCAAAGAATACTTATTAGTATGAACAGCAGTCATTTCATCAATAAACATTGGATCTTTAAAAAAATTGTGTTGCACTCCTGACTGTAGAAATATGGATATGTAACACAGACAGATCTTGTAATTGATAGATTTATTTGGTGAAAATATTCTTCGTGTCTTTATTTTCCAAAAAAAAAAAAAAGATAGCAAAGAATCATAAACTTATAAAAGTTTTCCACGTTGATGGGAAAAAAATCAGATGTTGCACTCCTGGCATAAATGGGTATGCACAGATTCTTGACTCTCATTAATGCTGCACTGATTTGATTCATATAACATTTTTAAGTTTTAAATGGTATATCAGTTATTGTCCTCTGCTTTCGCGAAAGCGAGGGGACATTAATTCTCATTCGTCTGTTTGTCCATCTGTCAGTCTGACTGTCACAAAAACTTTAACCATGGTCCTAACTTTTGAACGAGAAGAGATAGGTCTTTCATATTTTACATGTATATTACCTGTGACAAGACCTTTCCAAATATACTATGATTTTTGACCCTGTGACCTTGACCTTTTAATTTGACCTACTTTTCAAAAATGTTAACATTATCTTAAATTGGTCATAACTTTTGAATGAGAAAAGACAGGGCTTTCATATTACATATGTATTTTATCTGTGACAAGACCTTTCCAAATATGCTATGGTTTTTGACACCTTGACCTTGAAGTTTGACCTACTTTTCAAAAATTTTACCTTATAACTTTCGATTGAGAAGAGATAGGGCTTTCTTATTTGACATGTGCATTACCTGTGACAAGACCTTTCCAAACGTACTATGGTTTTGATCCCCTTGACCCCGTGACCTTGGCCTTGAAGTTTGACCTACTTTTAGAAATTTTTATCTTTGCTTATAACTTTTGATTGAAAAAAGATAGGGCTTTCATATATGACATGTGCATTACCAGTGAGGTGTTTCTGAGCATGCTATGATTTTTGACCCTTCACCTTCATGTTTGAGCATGCTATGATTTTTGACCCTTCACCTTCATGTTTGACTTAATTTTCAAAAATTTTAACTTTAGTGATTACAGCTGAATGACACATGACAGGGCTTTCATATTTGACAAGTGCATTCCCTGTGTCAAAATGTTTCTGAATATGCTATGATATCTGACCCCGATTGAAGGTCTGTGACCTTGACCTTCAAGTTTGACCTATTTTTCAAACATTTCATCAGTGTTGCTTTTGAGGGAGCGAATATAGGGCAATCCTATTTGACATGTGCATTACCCGTGACAAGCATTACCAAATGTACTTTGATTTTTAATCCCATGACCTTGTCCTTGAAGTTTGACCTACTTTTCAAAAATTTTAACACTGCTAAAAACTTTTGATTGTGAGAAGATATGGCATTTACAATTGACAAGTGCATTACCTGTTTGAAGACCTTTCTGATTGTATACTCTGGTTTTGATATTTTTTCCTATGTGCATTACTTATGACAAGACTTTTCGGATTTTATTATGATATTTGACCTCATGACCTTGATCTTGAAGTTTGATGTAGTTTTGATAGACTATAATCTTTGCCATAACTGTTAATAATTCAATTATTTATATTTTTTTGTATAATGCAGACAAGACAGGACACACAATCAAGACAGTTACAATATGCCATAGATAATGGCATCCCATCCACTAAGACACCGAAAGCAGGGGACCGCAATTCTTTGATTTTGCTTGTTACCTTGACCTTCCCAATAACCTTTGACCTTACTATTTATTTTGTATAAAACTCAGTTTTAAAGAAAGTATTCAAGATATTTTCATCAAATATCAAACACTAATACAAATTGACTTCAGGACTCAAGTCTTCGTGAGAAGAAAATAATATCTATATATTCCTATGAAAACTCTGATGGCCTATTGTGGTCCCATCCTACCTCCAAGGGTCATGGATTTGATTAAACTTAAACCTACACTATGTAATGAAGATTTCATTGTTTCTAGACCAGTGGTTGAGAATTGGTTGAGAATTAAGCATTAAATTTTTGCTAGTTCTTCATTTTCTCCTTTTGAAAGAAGGTGTTTCACACAAGTTTGGTTGAAACTGGCCCAGTGGTTCTTCAGAAGTCAAAAATGTGAAAAGTTTACAATGACACCAATGATATACAACAGACAAATTTTGAAAAGCTCACCTCAGCTTTTGGCTCAGGTGAGCTAAAAAGTAGCATTTACATAGAAATTTCTACTTCAGTAACCATGGCAGCACTGCTGGTAGAAGTCAAAAAGTGACAGACAGAACTATGTATCTTAGTAGTGTATCAAGTCTTAATGAAATCATTGAAAAAAAAAAATGCCCTGTTAAATGTCATCAGAAACTTAAAAATAGGTCTTTGATCAAACTTTTATTTACAAAATATACATACAGATAATATGAAATATCACACTTTTCTCATGATAAATTTAAATCAGGAATTTGGATGAATCACATTGAAAGATTTTTTCTCTCTGAAACAGTTTGTGACTCAAGAATAATTTATTTTTATCTTGGATTCATTTCTAGCTGCAGAACTCTTGTTGGTGGAATCTCAAGTTCTTGATTAACCTGGAAATAGACATTTTGGATTTACTATAGTAAATAATTCCTTCAGATTATAGTATAAATTTGATTCAAAATACATGTATACCAGAAACATAAAATATGAGAATTTCAGTTCCTAGCTGTTTCATGGAGGTGATTTACCTTAGAATTAACATATTGGTGAAGTAACATTCTCAGCTCTGCATTTTGTTGTCGGAGTGCATCAGTCTCATTAATGAGACTTGCTCTGGATGTTAGAACTTCACTGTAGATTAAAACAGAACTGTGCAAAAACTTATTAGGCAACTTAAAACATATCTTCTTTTTTTTTTTTCAAAAGAAAGGTCTGAAAATTTTGAGTCCATTAAGAGAAAAATTAAACAAAGTTTAAGAAGTGATTGACTAAAAATTTGATCTATGATTAAAAGCACACATATTGTGATGAGTACCTTAACAGAGGCCCATGGGCCTAAAGAGTCACCTGGTTATTGTGGATTCCTCAGACTATGATAACCATGAATTTTGCAGCAATGCCAAAAAAGTGACAGTGAATGTCTTATATGCATGATAGATAAAAATATTTGGGTAAAACATTCTTTATATATATTTACCAAGGAAACAGTGTTGAAAAGCAATATTTTTTAAATTCATTTTGATTAGTCATACATTAATTAAAGTACAAAAGAAATGATAACCAAATAATATAGAAAGAACCTTGTAAGATATTTTAAGGAAGAAATGTAGTATTTTTTATTGGTTGGCAATGGTTGCTGTCCCCCTGTTTGGAATTTTTTTTTTGCCTCTTTTGTACATTTTCTTTAATACACTCTGATTCATATTATTGCCGAATACAATATGTACAAAATGACTATATATTTAATGTCACAAATGATCATGACAGACAACAAATGGACAGAAAAACTCACTTAAACCTTTGGTTCAACTGAGCTTAGATATTAACAGTGGTAGTAGAAGCAGAATTTCTGCTCAATTTTCCTGAAATATTTCATTAAAACTGACCTATATTTTTCAAGTCCTTCAAGCAGAGCATCCCAGAGCCTTTCTTTTTTGTCATCTACCAGCTTGGCATAGCTAGCCCAGTAGTCAGAATCCTCAGAGCTATCCCTCTCTTCCAAAGAGGCAATCTTAAATTGCGACTGTTTCACCTTTTCTCTGCAAAATATAAAAGCACAACATTTATTTCACATAATAATTATTGTTCAGTACACAATTTATGAGTGTTTTTTTTTAGACAGATTTTTGAATTTATCTTGGGTGCTGGTCACTCTTGTCCAGTGCTGTTGTTCCAGCAGGTTGTGTTAGGTAGCTAAACACAGTTTCGTATAAAATCCAAGGGGAGGGGGGGGGGGGGGGTTCTCAGAGAAAAGCATGATGGGTATGGATTTCCCTGCTATTTGCAGTATGTATACATGAAAATTGCAGCTTTTTTATTTCTATTTGCATACAGTAGAGTCTTATCTTAAGATTAAATGAAAAAAGTATGCAAATATTTTTTGAGAATTAATTTTTGTATGACTAATTTTTTATAGTGGAAGATAACTCTAAAAACACCCATTTTTCACATGTGCAGAATTGCATGATTTGACTAGCAGGTAAAATGGCTCTTTAAAAAGCTGGAAAATGTACCCTAAAAGTACAACAAAAAGAAGTCTAAGGACTTGTTCTGTGAAATGCAGAGCACTTATATTTTCTGATTTCTGCACTGTTTGTGATCAAGGGAGCTATAAATGCATAGGTGTACTACAATTAGATGCATAAACTTCCCTATTTCTCTCATGTTTCATGTGTCAAATACATCCTTTTAGTAAGTGATGAATGCAATATATTTATATATTTATAAAATTCACCATTTTATCTTTCTATTGATATATAGATGTCTATGTAACAAGTCTTCATATTATTTCTTTATGGGGGTCACTTTAGCATGGCCCTCATTTAGTAACGTCATGCTAACGTCATACATAAAACTGTGTTTTGCACCCTTAGTAGTTAAATGATTTGGGACTTTTGGATTCTTCAGTCATGGTATGTTTGACTTTCTATTTGGTATTTATCTTGGATGTGTTAAAACAAAAACGTTATCGAGTTATTACTTTAAGTTACGTAGTCATTAATTAATGAGAGAATATTTTATGATTGGTGTTCTGTATTATTATAGGAACACTAGAGTAATGTGTATATTTCGAAAGTTTTGTACATTGATTTTGCAGGGCCAGAGACATATATCTATTTATTTATTTATGCCATTTTTTATATGTGTATTTATGCATAATGGATATAATACAACCTGCACTGAATCTTACAACCTGCGTCGTGTTTAATATTTACACAACCAAGGTTTACAATCTATGGTCAGAGATAATAGTAAAATATGAAAAAAAAGAATGATTTTATTTATTTTTTTAAATAAAGAACTGATTGAATTGGTCTCACCATTATGTATCTTAGAAGTTATGAAATTTTATTAACATATCTTCAAAAGTGAAGTTTGAGAAGGTCAAAGTCAGAAGGAAGTTCAAGGTGAGAAAAATATGACAAAGATAAATTGCTTTTACCAATATGCAACTTTGTATTAAAAGTCATACAGAACATCAAGGTCAGAAAATTAAGACAGTTGAATAGCTCTCACCAAATTGTATCAGTGTATGAAGTTTGATGAAAATATTATGAACAGTTTCTTCTCAACTGTGCTAAATGTGAAACAACTGATAGTAAGTTAAAGATCATATGTAATGTCATGGTTAGAAAATTTTAAAACATCTGAATAGCTCTTATCAGTTTGTATCTTTGTATGAAATTTAACAAAAATATCTTAAACAGGTTTTTTGAAACTAAAATAAATGCTAAATAATACATAGTTGGGTCAAGATCATTGGAAAGATCAAAGTCAGAAAATTAAGACACAGTTGAAATCTCTTATCAATTTGTATCTTTGTATGAAGTATGATGAAAAATCCTTTCTCAGTTTCTTTGAAACTAAGATAATGCAAAATGATAGTTGGGTCAAAGTCTTAGGAAAGCTAGGTCAAAGTCAGAAATTTATGACAAAGTTGAATAGTTCCTACCAAAATGTATCCTTAAATAGTTACTTTGAGAATGAACTAAACACAAAATAGGGAATAGTGAGGTCAATGTCACAGGGAAGGTCAAGGTCAGAAAATTATGCCCCAGTTGAATAGATCTCACCAATACGTTATCAGTGTAAGAAGTTTGGTTAATACATGAATCTTTGAAACTGAGCTAAAGGCAAAGAGTGATGGACATACAGATGAAAGGACAGAAGGATGGAAGATGGACATGTATGACAAACACTTAATATGCTCTGGCCATATAAGTGGTGGGACATAAAAATTACATTTTTAAATAAGTAATGTGACACTTACTTGGCTGGTTGCCTGTTCTCTTCAACAAAAGCTCGTAAAGCCTTCATCACTTCATTAGGGTGGATCAACTCTATTGTTTCACTCTTGGAGGAATCAACATCACCTTCCTTCCCTGTCAGTTTCCTGATTTCAGCATCAATGTCATCCATCTACAAAGAACACAATTCTAAACATAGAAATTGAATATAAATATAGTTGCAAATATAACTTTGTTTACATTTTATTACTTTTTTAAACAAGTAGCCCATTGGCCACAAATCTCTCCTGAACTACGTTGGCTCCTTAATTGTGTTCTTCATAAGAATTTTTTTTATAAAAAAAAATCTTTGATATTCACATATTTCATTGATATTATAATTCTACACATTATATAAAAAGATCAAGCTGGGGCAGACCTTTGTTTGATGACTCTTAATTAAAATATGGACGTAAAATACACTTTTTTCTCTCAATATCACTGAAATTTTGAATTTGTAATACGTCATCTTCTCGACATCATATTTAACATATGACGTGATGGCTGATGAACATAGGTAATGCTTAAAGTCTGCAGATATTCCCCTGCTTTAGCTGCAGAACTGTAGCGTTATGGTTTTATATTTTAGTCTTTTACCATAATGCTTAACGGCGCAAGATTTTCTGAGCACAGTTGGGGAGAATTTCTCCACTTTCCAGCAGTGGTCAATCAACTATCTTTCATTCTCTAATTCTAGACATATTCTTTAACCAACCTGTATATTTTATCCACCTCTTAACCCTTTACAGTCGTCTCTACAGACCAATAAATTCGCTTGTTTTGAATTTTTTGTCGGGTGGCAGATCAGTTTAAGATCTCTGGGAGACATTGATTTATTATAAACATTGTCCAAGTCTGGACAAGTTTGTATTAGGTAAATTTCTTTATTTCCATATTAGACATAGTAAATTCATGCTTCTATACTGGAAAAGTCCTAATTAGAATAATTCCACCCTCCATGGTTAATTTTAGACCCCTTTGATTAATTTGTATAGAAATAGCCCCAACTGATATAATTTCACCCTCCTAGGCTAAATTTTACTGATAAGGGCCCTAATTTACAAAATTCCACCCTCCTTGGCTAAATTTGACTAATAGACAAGCCCTAATTCACAAAATTCCACCCACCTTGCCTAAATTTTACTAATATAGCCCTAACTGACTAAATTCCACCCTCAATGATATTTTACTAATATAGCCCTAACTGACAAAATTCAGCCCTCCTTGGCTAAATTTTACTAATAGACAAGCCCTTACTAAAACATTTTATCCTCCTTGGGTAATTTTACAAATAAACAAGCCCTAATTCACAAAATTCCACCCAACATGGCTAAATTTTACTAATAAAGCCTTGACTAAATTCCACCCTCCATGGCATTTTACTAAATATAGCCCTAACTGACAAAATTCCACCCTCCTTGGCTAAATTTTACTAATAGAAAAGCCCTCAGGGTTCGACACTAACTTTTTTAGGCTTTAGTCCGGCCGGACTAGTGCTTCTTTACTTTTACTAGTCCGCATGCAATTTTATGAGTCCGTCAAAAAAAGGGAACATCAATGTTTTGTAACATTAATTTAAAAAAAAAAACATTGCAATATACGTTTTTATACTTTTGTAAATAAACAAATTATTTACGTGAAATGGTTTATTCCACAGCACAGATTCGTTGAAATCTCGCGATCAACAAGTACGATTGTATTCCTGATCTCATTCTTTTTCTCTTTACATTACATCCAAAATGTCTGACATCTTTCTTTTATGTGTCATATAAATTATGATTGCTAAAATGTTTTTGTTCATATCAATCAGTCGAAAAATTAAGTGCTGACTCGAAATTGTCTAACTATGCGCCAAGAAGCTAGAAAGCTAAAAATAAATGCGGGGTTTTCCGGTAAAAGTTGTGGAGAATCGGACATTCGTAAATTTTTCATATTGTTTTCCAGGAATTTTTATTGGTCCGTTCGGACTAATTAGCCACAGATTTTATTAGTCCGAATGAAAATGTATTAGTCTGAGACTAATGGACTAATGTTAGTGTCGAACCCTGCAAGCCCTTACTAAAAATTTTTATCCCCCTTGGGTAATTTTACAAATAAACAAACCCTAATTCACAAAATTCCACCAACCTTGGCTAAATTTTACTAATAAAGCCTTGACTAAATTCCACCCTCCATGGCATTTTACTAAATATAGCCCTAACTGACAAAATTCCACCCTCCTTGGCTAAATTTTACTAATAAAAGCCTTAATTGAAAAAATTCCACCCTCGATGGCGTTTTACTGATATAGCCCTAACTGACAAAATTCCACCCTTCTTGGTTAATTTGACTAATTGACACTTACGTCTCCCTCTGTTTGTGTATCCTCTATTGTAGTTTCTTTCTGAAATAAGATTAGAATGAATAAAATCAATCAAAATGGAAATAACTTGCAACAAAAAAGAAAGGAAAAAAAAAAAAAAAGAAAAAGAAAAGCATTTCTATCAGAACGTCCATATTTCTGCACTACTCTCACCTCTTCCTCCTCTTCTTCCTGTTTTTTGCCTCCCTTGACATGCATGAAATAACTGGCTAATAGATGGACATCATCCTCTGTGTCAATTCCCAAACCCTATTATTACGTACATTATACAATGATTTCTTATCAATCAACCTGTATATCATGGAGAATCAAATATTTTGGTACAATTATTTAATGAATAAGGAGAATTTAACTCTATTGCATGAATCTATTACTGCTTATTTATTTATTTTTTTTTTTTACAATATATATACCCGTACATGATTTACATATATATATACTCACACTAAAGATAGCATCCAATTTCATTAACGATCTCTCATCTTTCTCCAATGGGGCCAAAAGTTTGTTCAGTTTTGATTCAACCAAGAATCCCTGTAAATGGGCAAAGATCAAAACTAGAATCAAAGTACTGAAAGTACTGAAAGCCGGGCTTTAATATGTTCGAGTGTATTGTCTAATCCTAAATTAGTACATATTTGAAAATCTTTCTTTCTGACCATTGATATTTAAGAGGTAGAGTTTGTATGATTATGATTAACAATAACCCATCTACCAATAATTTACGGTCCAGAACCCAACGTTAAGACCCCAGGATAGGACTTGGTGATATTTTTCATCAAAATACATTTATACCTTTCTAAACATTAAGCTCACAATGGTTATGCATGGTAACAGTGCACTTTGAGTGGTTTTGCTGATTCATACAGGCACATATATAGTATCGGAGGAGCTAGGGGTGTCACCATTTTTCAAACATAAACTTTGACAATGGACAATGTACATTGAAAGGTTGATTGACTCTTCGCAATCAAATTTAAATTGGAACTTTCATCTCACTCTTCGTAATATAAACCAGGTATTTATCACGAGCGACGAACAGATTTACTAAAAGCAAAATGGATATAGTCTAATTTTAATTAGATTGTACCATCATTTTATTGTAGCATATTAAAAGTACGGTAATTTGATAATGAATTAATGAAATTCGAAATGTGAAAGTAAGTTGTAGCCCACCCCTACTCCTTCTCCAACGGAATAGGATTTTCGGGTTTGGACAATTCTCCTTTTTTCTGATAATGATACTACATGCCTGTATTAATCAGAAAAGAAATATTCTTTATTTTTGGTCCTCTAGGAAACCAGCTGCACGAAAATTATAATTATCTAATCTTTATGACATGAATATGAGTCTAGTTCTAGTTCCAGGTTCGGCCATAATGGTCATTGCCTGAGAAAATCATGATGTATTCAGGTCTTTATGGCTCGTACATAGATGGCTCTTCATTCTGAACAGGAAGTTTTGAAGCAAAGACTAACCAACTTTTTCTGAAAAATTATAATGTGTTGTACTTAGATAAAGACTAATGAACATTTTTATATGTTGTTTTCTTTTAATTATATATTAACATAAACGAATTTTATTTCCGAGCACCCTTGAGAGCTTGCATGTGTTTTAAGACCTTTTTTTTTTTGGAATGCGCGCGCACGCTCAATATACTGTAAAGCGCTTTGGGAGCACATGCGAGATGAATCCAAGGTGAGAAGTCTCGAACAAAATTTTCACATTCAAAACATACCATTGACTTTTCACTAAAAATTTGATCTGAATTTGTAAGCATAAAAATTTTCGACGCTAAATTGATTGTTAAATGGGTATAAATAATTTATATATTATACATAAACATATTCACGTGAAATTTCTATCTTAAAGTTTACATTTTTATTTATTTATATTCCATGCTTCACAGAATATAAATCTTTATCCCAGTCATTTAAATTAATACTATTAAATTAAAATATCAACCAAATGGAATGGCATTGTTTATTTCATATTATGAAAGAAAACAAATAGTTTTGAACTTCATTTACATCACCTTTACACAAGATCTTAGTCGCTCGCGTGGCGCAGTGGTAAGAGCGTCTGCTCTAGAGTCGCGAAGTAAGGAGTTAATCCTTACGTCGCGGGTTCGAATCCCACTGTGGGACGTGGAGACCGGTCCTTCCGTTGAGACCGTATAAACCGAGGTCCCGTGTCGCAATAGGTGCTTGCACGAAAAAGATCCCTCACTGCTCAATGGCCGTAAGTGCCGAGTATAGGACAAAATTTGGAGCTCTCCACCGGCAAGTGGTAGTGTCTCCATATGAGTGAAAAAATTCTCGAGAGGGACGTTAAACAACATACAAACAAACACAAGATCTTAACCATCATAAGGATTTTTTTTCGAAATTATTTATTAGAAAGGAGAAAGTTATTTTAATTGCATTCAGGGTTATCGAAGTAATACCGTATTTTCAAACCCTTTTCTTTAAACGCATTCAAATTTTAACTTATTTATTTGAGTAGTAATATATTGAAAACATTACAGCATTACCAGTATTACAACTGTAAGATTAATCTTCATGAATATTTACATACATACATCATTAGGCTAAAAAAAATTGTTTGTTTCCGGTTATACCCGACTGACCTCCTACACATTTTTTTTTTTCAGAAAATTACAAGTATCCGTAACTGTCTCTTTGTTTTACGAATTCGTAATGGCGGCGCACTTGTTTGCTGCAAGTAGTCGGTGTTCGCTGTTATTTTATGCCGTTAATATAATCATAAAATCATCATCTTTTTGCAATTATTTTGAAAGGAAAAATTTAATAAATTGTCTCCTGTTAAGCCGTTTTCACAAGATCAACCCTGAAAATATCAGCAGAAATTAACACGGTATCGTACCAAATTACATCTGATAAATGACCACCGATGTTTTTAAAATTCATTATTACATTAAATTTCTTGCCATTCAAGACACCTTAATGCTATACTGATCTTAAAAAAACAATTACAGATATCACGACATTGTCAGTGAGCTTACTGTTTATACATGCATCACGGACGTAAATTCAGACTAATTATACTATAATATCAGTAAACGAACAAAAAATGTCATACAATTTTTTTTAAATTCTACCAATAACATATGGCTAGTGAGGAGAATATATAAGTCATTTGTTTTATTTAATGTCACTAATTTAAACATTTAAGGTCACTAATTTTAACTTTTAAGAAAACAATTAATTTTTTACAAACAATGTTTGTCTGTCAATTGCCAAACTTTTTTTTAAAAGAATGTTGAACCATATGGTTTGCTGATTTTTTTTTAGATATATTTGAATTAGAAATTAATTTAAAAAAATTATATTCATATTGGTTTAATAATTTATGTAATTCATAGTTAAAGAAATGCACATATTTTTAGAGATATTCTTAAAGTTTCAAACAAACAGTACTTTTATCGCCGACTAGATACAACAGATACACCATGTACAATTGTCAGGCGACCTAATTCAGGCATAACGCACATTAATTAATTCTTTAAACTCCAATTTACTTATCTATTTATTTGCTGAAAGACAAAACAGAGAATATAACCACTCACATAACATCGACGAAAACGATATGAAATATAGGCAACCTGTCGAAAAGCCCGCGCTTATTGAAAATAGTTCGCTTACAATATGCAATCAGAAGCGTATGTGCACAAATTGTTATATCACGATTACCCTAATAAAGTAAATATCTAATTCCTCTTTCAATTTAATTCTCAAACAAAAATATTGATCAATTAACAATTCCGTAGATTGAGATGTAAAAAATATTTGTTTAAGTATCGTCTTTCAGTGTGACTATTTTGTTTATCGGAAGCGTCTGCTTTGACGCTGTTAGGCTTTTTGTTTACTTTTCTGAACATGTGCTATTTATAGTAAGGCAGTCGATCACGATGCCTACAGCCAGGACTTTGCTTTCAGCAAAGCCCGGCTAAAAATCATTGACTGTTCTTTTAATGCATTATAATAGGGATGACAATATGTAATTGGATAACTAGTTACTCTGAGGGAATGCTGGTAATTGGTTAGAAAATCTGTAATCAGTTAGTCGGAAAAAATTAATATTCATTTATTGTGATACTTTGAATGAAAGATTGGTACTTGTTGTTGGCCTGAGAGACAAGAAAAATGAGTCATACATGTAAATGCTAAATTTCATTTTGGTCACAGGGCTCTCCCCTTCCCCCACCAGGGCTCCGCCCTGGATGCACTGGGGGCCTAAGGCGGCCCCCCAGACCCCTCACCGAGATTGATTTTCTGCTATTTCAAAGAACAAGGTTCACTTAGGACCTTTTGTGGCCCTGTGAATTTCGGAAAAATAAAAAATGCACAGTTTTAGTTGAAAATATATAAAATTTTATTTGGACCCTTGCTGACTTCATATCTATTAAAATTGACGTAATTTTCTCGCTAGTTCATGCATTATGATGTCATAAATTGTGTCATTATCCCCAAAACCTGAAAAAATCTTCAGAAATGGCCAAAAATTTAAGCTGTTTTAAAGAATTTTGCATAGACCCCAACCTCTATCTAAAATGTTGAATTATATAATGAAGGTACTGTTTCAGAAGATTATAATCCATGTTTTATTTTTTGGATCACAGGGTGGGCTCATATTTTAATCCTTTGCTGAAGGTGCTCAAATACACCAATTTTCGTAAAAAATTCAAGAACATTACAATTTCACAAAGCTACTTTTTCAATACCTGGACTCTGAGAGGAAACTTTTTATAGGAAATGAAAGCACTAAGTCTCTTCTTTATATTGATGCTTAAATGGGACAATGGGACTTGATCAGTAAATTGGTATATATATCGACAGGGCCATTTTATGGAGTTGGTGAACCTAGCTCTTTCTTTCCTTCTGTTGAAAGTCTTATTGAAAACACTTACTTCAACAAAAATAGACAACCAAGAAAGATGGCAAGGTTTGCTTGTTATGATTGAAATGATTAATATCATTTAATCATACAATAAAACAATGATCATTGTTTTTTATTTCAGTGAATAGGATGAATTAGCCATCCACAAAGTACATTATAATCAGTAAAGAATAGTCTCTATATTCTCTATATAGAGAAACATGCAGTCAACATAACTGATATTAGCTCCAATGAAAATTACTGACTGTCATTTAATTTTTACAGTTAACCAGCAAAGAGAGTTCTCCCCATATTTTAATAATTTTGATTCTGATTAGCAGATTGATTAACCGTGATGTAATGATACCTTTGTGACTTCCAAAAAAAAACATGACGTCCCAATAAAAAACAAAAGCAATTTCCTAGCAAACAAAAGAATGATTGACCGTGTTTTCGGCAACACTGATTAAGTTAGCCCCATGGGGACTCTACATCAGGCAATATTTCATCCTTTATCCTGGAAGTCCAAAAGGCACTGTGAGCATTATACTCCTCAAGTAGCTAAATCATTGTATTTACATCAAAAAACAGCAATACATGTACAAGTAATTGCATAATATATTTTTCTGAAGATTTTTTTTTCAAGCAAACTAAAAAATGGACAAAAAGACTGATACATAAATGGACACATTATCAATTATCAAACTTCTATGGTTTTTATCTAAATAGAGCTAAAATTGACATAAAATTGATCAGAGGTTTCAGATAAGATTCTGAAAATTTTCCAGACTGACAGATCTTGGAGACTATAGTACTTGATAGTACTAGAATAAAAAATACAGAGGTCTCAGGTCATGGTCGGCATAGTACTGGATAGCTCAGGTGATAAAAATATTGAAACTAAAGCATAATTATAAGATCAGTGTATATGTATTTGCTATTGCATCATACTTTATAAATCACATCTCAGTATAACTGACTGTTAACTGTTAGATACTCACTGATTCATCACAAAGAAGTTCCAGTACACTTTTGACAGTGTTGGCAGATATTTTGGACAGTAGTGTACTCTTTGGGAGCTTCCTGTCTGATGGAATGTCATCATCTTCCTCTTCCTCTTCTTTATCACCATGGCTTCCTGTACAATATATACAACACATTTTGCAGGGGTGAATTTTATAGACATGTTTAGCTTTTAGGGGAGGCAACTCATTGCAGTCCTGTTTGAGAAAAGGTGATCAATTCTATTGATTGTCTCTCTGGAATTCTTTGTTAGGCCATTATTTATACACTGAACTGTCTACGGATTTTTCTGTTTTTTTCCTGATCATGACAAGAAGCACTTGGCGGGTGTGACCAGTCTGCAGGGGATGCTCACTCTTCCATGGCACCTGATCCCACCTCTAAATTTTGAGGCCCGCGTTAACTCTGCTCCAAATTTGTATTGTTTCATTGGACTTTTAAGACTGAAGACTGTTCGTTATCTTCATATTTCATTTATACAGTGAAACCTGTCTAATCCGAAATGCATTAGGAGACAAAATTTCTGTCGGAATAGAAAGGGTGTCGGATTGCACAAAAAACATAGAAAATAGTAAAATGGTAATTTAAATAAGGGTTAGAATTTACAGTGAAACAAATTGCACAGGTGTAAGAATGAACAGATTACACTGTATATGTAATTCATGGAAGGCAATCCACTGCAGCCCCAGAGAAGTGAGATATTAATGTGCAAGATTAGGTGTTTTCATAACAGATTGCAATTATTCCATGCTTAAGCTTGCTCAAATGTCAGAATTTTTATATCACTTAAGCTATTAACTCAAGTGAGCTTTTCTGATCACACAATGTCAGGGTTCCATCTGTCTGTTTTTTTTTCTTTATATGTGTAAACTTAACACATTTTCGACTGCTTCTCCATAACTACTGGGCCAATTTTAACCAAACTTGCAACAAAGCAATCTCTGGTGAAAAAATTTTACATAATTTTAAAAAATGAGAAATTGGTGGTATTTTTAAAAAAAATCTTTCAAGAACCACTTGGGTCACCTTAATAAGTGTAAATTGAAAATTGGCCCTCAGGAGTAGGGGGATCACAGTAAGGGATCAAAGTTTTGCACTGGAATACACAGTCAAAAAAAACTTTAAGAATCTTCTCAAGAAAAACAAGGCCGTGGTTACTCATATTAATATGCATTGTACCGGTACATGAATGACAGGCTCAAGTTTGTTCCAGAGGCCATGTTTTAAGTAAATTTGAATCTGCATGACCTGAGGATTCATGCATGGTAATATTACAGTGTACGAATTATGGCCTAGCTTTCATGTTAAGGTTTTCCCTACATAATCCTAGGTATATGTTTAATCCCCCGTTGCAACCTCATCCTTCTCCAGTGGGCTATGATTTGGACAAATTTCAATACCCTAGGATGCTTGCATATTAAAATGAACTAATCATGGCTATGCTGATCTTGAAGGGAAGATATTTATTTATTTATTTTCTTTTTACTATATATTCTGATGTAAAAATTTGTTCCCTTATTGTAATCTTACTCTATCCCTGGAGGCTATGATTTGAACAATTTTGAATGCACACTTTGTAAGGAAACTTAAATTCTCATGTGTCAAATTTTCTGGCCCAGTATTTCTTGAGAAAAAGATTTTTAAATGACACTTCCTATATTTGCCTTTTCTTGATTCTTTCATTGGATGTTAACATAGTTTATTAGTACCAGGCATTAAAGAAGTGAAAGTCATTTTCAGATGAGAAATAAAAAATACAGAGGTCTCAGGTCACGGTAGACACTGGTATGACAGAAACCCTCCCTGTTATAGCCGTGAGTGCCATGCATAGGTCAAAATTTATGGCACTTCACCTAAAGTAGGTGATGCCTATGTATGAGTGAAAAATTCTCAGTTGAAACAGTGTAATAACATACAATCAATCAATCAAGAATGTTAAAAGTTAAGAGACAGACAGATGGCTGTATATAGAATTTAACTGAATCAGGAAAGCTCCTGTAAGCCATTGATTGGTTCAGGTGAGCTAAAAAAGATAGTTTCTTCAAGAAGGTATTGTACGTAATTTTATTTTGCACACAACAACTTGACAAATTATTAAACATCATCCTAGGGATTCAAAATGTTGTACATTTTTGTAAGCCAAAAGTTGTTAACAGTTGACTGGAATTGTGGTAAAATACTCTTGGTATTTCTTATATTAGATATTAAATAGGTATCCTTTACACTATATGGAATGGAAAAAGTGTTCATGTAACACTAAGCTTTTTAAATGTACTATATCAATGAATGCAATGTTGAGAGAGAGAGAGAGAGTCCATTTTTTTTTTTTTTTAGAAATGTTTAATCTGATAAAGCAGAAGGAAGTATTTAAAACTCACCCGTCTGTGACATGATTTCCTGTACCAGCTGCTGAGCTGACATACCTCCTTTTTCATCAGATTTGCTCTTGATAGGACCCACATTCTCCATGAAGCTCCTAAATTGAAAAGGAAATGATTTTTAGAAGCTAGTGAACTACAGGTCTCCTGCCTTAAAAAAGGGGGTTGATGATGGAAAGAGGTCCATATGGCCCATAATAAAATTCACGCTTTCTAAATTTTTAAATCTCCATGCAGTAAGAGCATACACACTGGTTTTCTTATACAGTAATATTCATATGGTATGAACATGGATACAGCAAATTTACCGATAAAGTGAAGTTTTTTTGCAATCTATGACAAAATTCTTAACAATTCCTTGTAAATTTTGTATTTTATACTTCCCTAAATACATTTGGTAGTCATATTTGAAGGAAAAAATGTATATTGCAAATTTGCAATGTATACTTTAATAAATTGATAGGGATATTACAAATTATGGATATAGCGAAGTAAATTTTGCGGGTCCCCAGAACTTTGCTATAACTGAGTTTTACTGTATAACCTCCTAAAAGCCAACTGTGAAGTCATGAACTTGTGCATTTCCCTTACTTTCTTAAAAAGTTGTAGAAGTCATAATTTTTCAGTGGAATTTTCTTTCAGACAATATAGAAATATATAGAGATAACGAACAGTATTCAAACTCAAAAGTCCATTAAACATTACAAAATAGGTGCAGAGCAAACACAGACCTCCAAAACATCAGTGGTGGGATCAGGTGCCATGGACCACATCATTGCTTATATATGTCCATTTATTGCATCATGTCACAATGGTAGAAGTGACGCCTAAGTGTATGTTTCTTTGTGTTTAGGTTGACAGACAGCCAAGACCACGATGTTTGGATATATTTGTGTGTTAATACTTTAGTAGGATTTTTTTTTTAATGGGGATTTGCTGAACAATAATTGTCACAAAGGTGTAATAGAAACTTACCTTTGAATGACTTGAAATAACAAATAAGGGAAGAAGAAAGTGGGGGATGTATATTTTTGGCAATCATACACCAAAATATTGCATAACCAAATAACTGAAAGATCAATTCAATCATCCATTCAACTATTCTTAGCATTATTGAAAAAAAAGGTTGCACATTACAATGAAAGTAATTCTAAGATTTTTTTTTCAAACCTCAGCTTCAGTGAGATGATTCCCAGAAATGTTGGAGGTATAGAATTTTAGGAAAATCTCAGCTGAGGCAGAAATTTAAGATTTGAGCCGGAGATCTAAGGTGAGTTTTTTTTTTTTTTTTTTTTTTTTTTTTTTTATGTTGGTGGCCCTAAAGCCTGGGATGTGCTAGGATGGAGGGCAAATTATGCTACAAAAAGTATAAAACTGCTATTAATACTAACAGATCTGGGACTTGGTATTGCATTCCCAGTTGTTGCTCATGAATGATTCTGTCAGCCTCCATCAGGGTGTGTACCAGCTCTTTACATTCTGCTTCATTCATACACCAAACATCCTCAAACTTCTTACCATCTGCCTGTATAAAATGCCTGAAAAATACCACATACATCCATTAAAAAATCCAGAGAGTCTTTATTTTCCAGACAAGAAAAAAAGTTTACTAGTCTTGTAAATTTTACACTGAAATATATCTGCTTAATCATTTTCTTATATGTACCTGGATTTTCTTTGAAGATCTCTAAATTGTTCTGTAATTCTCTTGTAATCCTCCGTTAACTGTTGGTTCTCATCCCTAAATTATAAATTTCAAATTAATATGCACTATCAGTTTCTCTCAGGGATCAGATCTGAGTACAAGTGAACCAAAGGCTCAAGTCTGATCTGGTCTCTCACATTTTCTTCCTTCCTGTGACAGTATATTCTGTTTAATTGGAAGTTTATTTTTTTTCCTATTCTGTTTCTTCAATATTCTGTTTCAAAATCATCAGTGTACATAAGAAATTTAACTAATTTGCTGAATTATCACACTTTTATTTCTATTGTTCCGTAACTGTCCAGTTGTGAAAGATATCAATCAGATTGCTCACTAATATAGGACTGGCAGAGGGAAATTTTTAGACTGCAAGAACAAAGGAATGACATCACAGCAATGTTTAAAAAAATCTTATTTGGAGGGTAGTTTGGGAGTGGGGTGGGGATTAGGGTCCCTGAACAAGGAGGTATTTGACTATACTGGATCAAATAAGATTGGAAAGGAGGGGCAACCAGCCTTTCAATGAACATTTTCAGAGAGAAGTGAATAATGTTAGTGTTGTGGCCCATGGATTGTTTTTCTTACTTGTATTGTTTCTCTTGTTTTGCAATCTTTATTCTCAGTCCATTCAGAACATCTTGTAATCTGTTTTGATGAAGGAAAAAAAATGATAATAGCCATGCACATCTTCAAAATCCTGTGCTTGCTTGTTTAACATTGAATACACAGAGTGAAGCTTTGATAAATAGTGTACTGTATATCACCGAATATTTGGCATTTATAAGCGAGACAAAATTTTGACAAATTCTGACTACTGTTCTATATAATCTTTGCTATTAAAAATACACATGAGAAGGAAAATTTCACGGTGAGACAGTCTCACATTACGCGAAAATAAAGTTCTCATGAATAAAAAGTGATTTACAATTTCAAAATTTCTGATTACCTTGTAATTTTCCTCTTTTGCTGGTTCCTAGTGATTTGGTTTTCTTCATCTCTCTTTTTCAGCACTTGGAAGTTATAGTCTAGTTTTTCCTGGTTTAGTTGGTAAGTGGCTCTCATTTGCTGCAACTGCTGCTCCAGAATCTGATAAAATAAAACTAAAGTTTAAACTAGATCTGAACACAATTCTTAAATTGTTGCACTAAATCCAATAATTGCCTTTAAAAATGATTACTGAATTTGGTGCAACAATTTTGGAAGGCTTTTCAAAGAAGCCAATTATCCTTTGACCATCAACTCCAAAAGCAATCTCAACAAAGCTCCTCATTGGACCAATAATAGATGCAAATATGAACAGTGCATCCAACCCAAACCCTTAAGATACTGCATTGAAACCAACATTTTCATTTTTTGGAATTTTAAATGGCAGGAAATAAGAAATATTTTTCCTTTCTACATTTCTTCTACTTGCTGAAAAACTGCAAAAATCTGCATCATCAAAGTTGATTAAATGATAAAGTACTAAATCCCAATGAACACTCCAGCCCAATACAGCTAAAAAATATTTTGTGCTCGTATGAATTATTTGTTAATATTTGAAATAAAGTGATGCATTATTTACCTGGGTTGAATGGCCTCATGCATCCTCCAGGGCATGAAGACGATAAGTAATTAAGTAAGTATTATTTACCTGGACATCAGTTTCCATCCTGATCTTTATCCGATTGTATTCTTCAGCATCCTGGACTCGTATGTTATGGAGCTGTTGTTCATAATCTTCCACCCTTTTCTCTCTGGCTTTCATGTATTCAATTTCCTTCTGTCTTCGGTTCTCCATCCTTTCTTCCCATTTCTTCTTGTGCTGTTCTAATAACTCATTTCTCTCTGCCACAAAAGCTCTCTGTAATGATAAAAATGCAAACATCTGCATGTCCAAGTGTATATGCCAAGTCCTCCTCCCCACCTTTATTAGCTATCAAGTTTTTCATTTTTAGGTGAGTACATATAAACATTTCATTTATATATGTATGCACTTGATATTTTAAGTCAGAGAAATTTTCTTCCAAACTGGATCCCACCTCAATTTCTTCAATTTCAGTTTTGTAGGATGTACTCAAACTTTTAATCTGTTCTTCCATTCTCTCAATCATCAAATCAATATCATCTGCTTGTTTCTTCAGGTCTTTTATATACAAGTCATCTTTCTTTTGCAGTTCCTATGAGAAAAAATTAAAAAAAATCTGTAACAAGCAAATTCAGAGAATTGTGGTTGCTTGCTGTCCATCATGCAAAAACATGTATTATTTTGAAAGGATATGTAATTTCTTATATAAAACAAGATGTTTTGTGAACTCTGATGCCCCATTATGGCAGCTTTTGCAAAAGTTTGTCAAACTCAAAGGTCAAAGTCATGGGGTGAAAAATGTTGGTACCCAAAGAACAATCTTGTCACAAGGCATACGTAAGTGCAATGTGAAAGCTCTTTAACGAGGTTGGATCCTGATATTTAAAGTCTTAAACTTTTTTGGTCAAGTATATTTTTAGTTTCTACACACATAGCTTAATTAAAAATCAAAACAAAAAATGGGGGCCAATATGCTTCTTTTGGCGCTACAGTACATTTAATTTGAGCTTTTTGCGTGGAAATTTATGACTTAATCAAAAATCACATCTTCCATGTTTTCCCTCCAAAGTTTTATCCAAATAAATCATGGGACAAAATAAACTATTAGTCTATTTAAAAAAAGAGACATTAAAATTGTGACGAAGAAAAAGTTTCAAATTGCTTCAAATAATCAATTATTTGACCTTTCTGCACTCACAAAATGTGATTTTTCTGGCATTAAACATTTAAAAAGCAAGAAAATTATTTTAAAGTCTTTAACTTTTGCTGAATTTAAGCAGATTGATCAAAGTTATCTCATATATTCAGAAAAGAAAAACAAAAGTGGGGGTCTATGATCTAAATTTTTAGATATTACTAAGTGTTAATTTTATGTTAAAATTGGCTCAATTTTTTCCTGGACTTTCAAAATATATTTACTATATTTGTCACAATATAATGAAAGAATTCATAAGAAATAATCTAATAGATATTTCAGAACCAGCATAAAACATTTCACTGCAAAAAACAGCTCTGTTTGGAACTAGCAAGGAAAAATGGGAATCTAAACTTAACAGTACTGTATATATTTCAAAAGGGAAAAATTGATCATTTTCTTCTAAAAAACCTTCTGCTACAAAATATAGTTCCTGACTTAATCCTATCTGAATGGAATTTAATCGTGTTTTTCATTGGATATAGTTTAAATTGCATTGTAGAATCCAGATTTAATATTAGAACTTAAAAATGATGCAGAATTTTAGAAATAAAGGTCGAGACCAAAATCTGCTCAAAAGCTCAGGATCAAACCTCCTTAACTGTTCAGAAGTCATTGCCAAGGTTGAAATTAAAAAAAAAAAGGTCAAACTCAAAAACCAAGGTCATGAGGTCAAATGTATTGGTACCCAAGGAAAGGTCTTGTCACAAGCAATACACATGTGGCCATGAGTATTACAATTTTGGTGGAGGGCTGAGTGCTTATTGTTTTCAAGCAGTTTGTCTTCTAGATTAAATTGCCATGAGTAAAGAAAAAGATTTTCAAAGATTGTTTTTCATTTTTTCAAAACATGAACAATATAACCCCATCCTGGGGTCATGACTTAAACAGTTTTGGTATAAGACTGAAGGTGTTAATTTATAATCATGCTGTCATGTAAATGTATAAGAAGATTTTCAAAGGTGTATTGTATATTCACCACAAGTCCTTTAAATGACCTCCCTAGCTTTACTCAGGGGGGTTGCTAGATGGACCTGGGGGCCATGAATTTGGAAAGTTTTGTAGAGGGACAATTGCTTATTATTTTCATTTTGACTGCTGGTTGTCTAGAAGTACAAAAAATCTTAAAACAAGAAGTCTGTGAGCCAATGCTCACTAATAATATCCCTGCTCTGATGTAAATACACAAGTTCATTTATGGACAGACACAGGGATAAACAGGAAGTTGACATCAAATTTGTTAAAAAATAAATGCTGCCATATGACATGCTTAAACGAAGAGTGTGCTAAACTCTCAAGCATCTGCGATAAGTAGATGCTGAGAAAACTGCGACCAAAATTTGTTATGTATGGTACAGACAGATGAACAGATAAACAGGAAGTTGACATCCTATTCTCACAAAAATATATCCCACGATATGGCATGCCTAAACAAAGAATGTGCTAAAATTTCAAGCAACTGCGATAAGTAGATGCTGAGAAAACTGCGACCAAAATTAGTTATGTATGGTATGGACAGATGCTTGGATTAACAGGAAGATGACATTGGATTCGCACAAAAATGAATCCCACCATATGGCATGCCTAAACAAAGAGTGTGCTAAAATTTAGAGCAACTGCGATGAGTAGTTGCTGAGAAAACTGCGACCAAAGTTTGTTATGTACTGTACGGACAGACACACAGATAAACAGGAAGTTGACATCAGATTTGCACAAAAATGAATCCCATCATATGGCATGCCTAAACAAAGATTGTGCTAAAATTTCAATTGTCTGTGATGAGTAGTTGCTGAGAAAACTGCTATGAAAATTTGTTACAGACAGACACACAGATGCACACACAAGGGTAAAACAGTATACCCCCCTCTCCTCTGGAGTGGGGGTATAAATATAATGCTTTAATTAACAAAGTATGATCAACGTTTCCCTTTCTTGATCAGGCCTCAAGGATAGTTTGGTATTCCATCAGCTCATTGCATGCTCATTATAATCATCTAAAAGATGTGCTTGCTACATGTTAAGAGCTAAATAAGATGATTAAACCTACAATGCATTTTTAACATATGATCAACTTCTTCAACAAGCGAAATGAATTTCACTGTTCTAGAAAAGGGTTCATTTCTAATTATAATCATGCAAATAGTTTGCATGCTTCATGTCTAGGAGTAATGAAAATTTTCTAAATTTAATGCATTTTCAAAATATGACCAAGATACATGTTGCCCCACCCTTGGACTTGAACAGTGAAGAATTTCACAGTTTTGGCAAAGGTCTCATTATAATCATATGGCAAAAGTTTGAACACTAGACACACTATTGCATAAATACTGGTATTTAACAACAGTTTCTACACAACAAAAAAAAAAAAAAAAAAATATTGAATCATTCTTACCTCTTGAAAGTCTTTAATGAGTTTGTTTTTGTCTAAAACAATTGCTTTACATGCATCCTTCTGCTGTCTTAACATCTGCAAATGGGGATAAAAAAATTAGTTGATGAGTTTAAATGCAGTGTTTTTATATTTTCCATGTAAAATTGAAAGATGAAAAATATTCTTTAAATTTATTTGAGGTGTACTGTAATGTGTAAAGATAAGTTGAGTTAGAGTTACTTTTGGTTATGAAAAGTTGCAGAGATGCATCAATTAATAGCTGACACTGTGAGTCATAACAAAATGAATACAAAAAATATATGCTATGCAAAAGGTTCGTGCAGGGAAAAAAAAAACCCTTAAATTTTACACAAGTGGCTGCCCCAGCTTTTGGAATTACTTATAACTATCAATCAAAATTCACTTGACCATTACTGGTCCACTAATGGTATTGTGGTTTCATTAATGTTTGTGGGCATCAATTTTCCTGGATTTAGTAAAAATTCACAGTTTCAATGATACATAAATTCGTGAATTATAGTCACCTTTTCATTTTTTCTCTCTCTTTTTAGGCTTCATTCATGCCATTTACAATGTTAAGAGTATGTCAATATTTAAATACAATTACTAACAGGTGAAAACTCTTTATTTATATCTATATTTTATATTTTTATATTTATACATTTATATTTTACTCATCTGTATTTTTGAAAGTCGGAATCTTCAAGCATTTACAATGCAGTATACATGGTATAACAATAAAAGGTGAGGATTTCCAAATACTGTCTCCATTGTAAGACTATGAGCTCCACAGGACAATTAAATATTGGATACTGAAGTAGATTACTAAAAACAATAAATTAAAATAGACTTTGATTAAATCAACATTTTGGAAAAAAGGTGTGCATGTATCTTAAAATATTAAGACAATTTGAATTTTATCTTTTAGGCGCACAGACAGACTATAATTCAGCGTTGCAACAGGGTATTAAAAGTAACAAAAATTATTAAGTACTTAGATTTGCAGAATATTTAAACATATTTACTCAAAAATGTAATTATCTACTAATATTTCATCTTTTTTTTTTTAATTCTTAAAATGATAAAATACAATTATAAGTCCACCTGTTTGAGAAAAAAGGGGGAGGGGGGTATTTGCATAAATAAACAAAAGTCAGAATAGGCTTTTTAAAAGTTTATCATAAATCAAAATGGAGGCACCAAACTTTGATGAACAGTTGATTTCATGGATCAACTCAACAATAAAATTATCCATGAAAATTAGTGTTGCACAAATAATATGATGAAACCACAGTATGCAGTTTAAGTTAATTCTGTATCAACTTCAGTCATTAAATTGAATAATTACAGGGAAGTACAGTCCAAAGAAAAGATGAGATTGGGAAGCATGATCACAATTAAGATTATTATACACAATAACAGCAGTATCAGGAAAACAATAACTTTGTTTTTTCAAGACTGAATCCAAATGGTGCATATATATGAAATGATAAAATAAATCTGGTTCATACAGGTACATCCCGTAACTTCTTACCTGGTATAGAGATTATGTAACTTCTTACCTGGTACAGAGATTGTGGAACTTCTTACCTGGTATAGAGATTATGGAACTTCTTACCTGGTACAGAGATTGTGGAACTTCTTACCTGGTACAGAGATTATGGAACTTCTTACCTGGTACAGAGATTATGGAACTTCTTACCTGGTACAGAGATTGTGGAACTTCTTACCTGGTATAGAGATTATGGAACTTCTTACCTGGTACAGAGATTGTGGAACTTCTTACCTGGTACAGAGATTGTGGAACTTCTTACCTGGTACAGAGATTGTGGAACTTCTTACCTGGTACAGAGATTGTGGAACTTCTTCCCTGGTACAGAGATTATGGAACTTCTTACCTGGTACAGAGATTATGGAACTTCTTACCTGGTACAGAGATTGTGTAACTTCTTACCTGGTACAGAGATTGTGGAACTGTCTTACCTGGTACAGAGATTATGGAACTTCTTACCTGGTACAGAGATTGTGTAACTTCTTACCTGGTATAGAGATTGTGTAACTTCTTACCTAGTACAGAGATTGTGGAACTTCTTACCTGGTACAGAGATTGTGGAACTTCTTACCTGGTACAGAGATTGTGGAACTTCTTACCTGGTACAGAGATTGTGGAACTTCTTACCTGGTACAGAGATTGTGGAACTTCTTACCTGGTACAGAGATTATGGAACTTCTTACCTGGTACAGAGATTATGGAACTTCTTACCTGGTACAGAGATTGTGGAACTTCTTACCTGGTACAGAGATTGTGGAACTTCTTACCTGGTATAGAGATTGTGTAGCTTCTTACCTAGTACAGAGATTGTGTAACTTCTTACCTGGTATAGAGATTGTGGAACTTCTTACCTGGTATAGAGATTGTGGAATTTCCTTTTGTAAAGCTTGTTCCCATTTCTTTGTGATCTATAAAAGCATTCAACATTCCAAAAATTAAATGAAGAAACTAAATGAAAAAATATATGATAAAATCAAATTGCACTGCTTGCCATTCTTATTCTTATTTTTTATGCAGTGCCTGTTCAAAATATTCACCTCTTCAAACTTTTCTGCACCTGATTTAGCTTCCTGTTCAAGCCTCTCTTTTCTGGAATGATAGATATGTTTTGAAATTCAATTTAACTGTTATCTATACTTATTAAAAAAATGTTCTAAAACTCAAAAATTCTACATTATATTCAACATGTTGAACACTGTTTGAGGATGGCATTTCAATTTAATTAAAATGCTATTCTCGAACAGTGTTAAAAAAAATAACATGGGTAATCAGAGCTTACAGAGCAATCTAGAAGTGTGCATCCCTAGACACAAAATTTATGCAATTTTGGTCTGATAGGGCTTGCAGTTACTTGGGAATGGACTTAAAACTAGTCACTCATCCAAAAAATGTAAATCAAATCCAGCATCTGAAGCAAGTTTGAGAGAGTTCATCCCTTGATGCATCATCCATGCAAATTTGGTCATCATAGGAGTTATTGTTTCTTGGCAATGGACCTAATCTAAAAACTTTAACCTGGTCACTCATCTGGAAAATGTAGGTCAGATCCAGCATCCGAAGCAAGTCCAGTAGTGTGAATCCTTAGATGTATCATCCATGCAAGTCTGGTCAACATAAGACTTACATTTACGTGGAAATGATACCTGCTCCAAAAAATTAAACAAGGTCATTCATCCGGAAAATGTAGGTCAGATCCAGTGTCCGAAGCAAGTCCAGTAGTGTGCATCCTTAGATGTATCATCCATGCAAGTTTGGTCAACATAGGACTTATAGTTACTTGGAAATGAGATCTGCTCCAAAAACTTTAACCTGGTCACTCATTTGAAAAATGTAGGTCAAGTCCAGCATCTGAAGCAAGTCCAGTAGTGTGCATCCTTAGATGTATCATTCGTGCAAGTCTGGTCAATATAAGGCTTACAGTTACTTGGAAATGAAATCTGCTCCAAAAACTTTAACCTGGTCACTCATCTGGAAAATGTAGGTCAGATCCAACATCCGAAGCAAGCCTGGTAGTGTGCATCCTTAGGTGTAACATCCATGCAAGTTTAGTCAATATAGGGCCTTATAGTAACTTGAAAATGAGACCTGCTCAAAAGACATTATTCTGGTCATTCTTTAGCTGAAATTGCAGAATCTGAAACCTTGACTGGTACAATGAAATACACTAGAAGCATCCTCCATGCATCTCTTATTAATATAAACATTAAAGTACTGGAAAATAAATCTGCTCCAAAAACTTTAACCTAGGATGCCTACGGTATTACATAAGCTTCCCCAACTTCGTTGAGGTGAGCTAAAAATGAGTTACATTCTAAATACTTCTTCAATCTTCAATACACTCAGCAGATCAATATTACAGTAACAACTCTATATAATTAGCCAATAAAATTTCAAATTAATACATGACCTCAGATTTTACCTCTGTCTCTTTGCATCATCATCTTCTGCACGTCTGGCAGCTTCTCGAGCATCTCCAGCAACACGAATGTTAGTCACCAACTCATTGCCATCTTGCTTCAACTTTGTTAAACGCAGTCGACTCTGTTCAACTTGTTTTCTACTCTTACTAAGTTCTTCTTTTACCTCTTTCTTTTCATTAGGATCTTCACCTAGTTCAGCTCTGTAATTTACCGGTAATTAAAGTAATATATGTTAAGATATAATTTTGGCTATAGCCTTTATAAACAGCAATTGCCCATCATCAACTAATCTCATAATAATTTTGTTGCAGAAAGATGCAGCAATTTATTATTGTGGCTTGTTGTCCCTCGCTTTTGCAAAAATGAGGAGACATTTATTCTCATTTGCCTGTCAATCTGTCTGTCTGTCAGTCACAAAAACTTTAACCTTGGTCATAACTTTTGAATGAGAAAATATAGGGCTTCATATTTCACATGTACATTAACTGTGACCTTTTCAAAAATACTCTGAGTTTTGACTCTGTGACCTTTAAGTTTGACAAACTTTTAAAAATGTTCAACATTGGTTATAACTTTTGAATGATTTGAATGACATTAAAAGATAGGGCTTCATATTTCACATGTACATTAACCATGACAAGACCTTTTCACATATACTGTGACTTTTTACCATATGACCTTAAAGGTTGACCTACTTTTGAAACTTTTGAATGAAAAAAGATGGGGCATTCATATTTGACATATGCAATACCTGTGATTAGACATTCCTGAATGGGCTATGATTTTTTTTTAAACTACATTCATTGTGGTAATAACTTTTGAATGAGAGAAGATCGGTCTTTCATATTTTACATGTACATCACCTACATGTACATTACCTACAATAAAAACTTACAGAAAGAATTAGTCTATCATTTTTGACCTCATGACCTTGACCTACAGGTTATAACCTACTTATCCAAATTGAACTTTGGCCATAACTTTTGCTCCAGAAGAGACAGGGCTTTTCATATTTTTTAACATATGCCCATTACTTGTGACAAGACCTTTTCGAATTGTACTATGATATTTGACTTCATGACTTCCATATATATATATATATATATATATATATATATATATATATATATATATATATATATATATATATATATATATATATAAATGAAGGCCCATGCTCACTTGAATAACTATGGTCCTCCTATTCTTCATTAGCAGATTCTTTTTCCTACATATTCTTGATATGTGAAAATTTGATCACATATTATGACCCCACCCTACCCAAGGAGGTCCTGATAATTGAACAAACTTCAATATACACTACCTGAGGATGCTCAATATAAATTAGGTATGTCAACGAGTACCCAGTTGACTGGGTACTCCGTCTAACGTCCGAGTATCAAATACTAAAAATGAAACTCGGTTACTCGGAAGAGTATTTTTTCTTATTTCAAAGTACATATTTTTATAAAAAAAAAATTATCAAAAAATAACTTAAAACTGCATACGGTTATTAGCGTGTCGTCATCTACACATGTAACAAAACCCGTCATCACCTGTGGCTGTTTATAATATACAGTAATTAGTAACCAATCACCTGGTACACAGCTGTTCTTACCTACTGTGGTCCTATATTTTTTTGGATGGCTTCAATGAATGCTTACAGTGAACATTGATTCGATTAAGTATGGTCTTTTATCTTCAAATCATTTTTAAATTATTTAATTAATATATGGTAGCGAAATCAGACATGCATAGAAATGTTGCTACCCACTTCAAAAGTGAAGAAATATTTAGAAATATCAAAAGATTCAAAATAATGTTGAAAGTCAGTTTGTATAGTAAGTTTATATGGGGGGGGGGGGGGGGAAACAACCAACTTAGTCTAGCGATAGGAACAACGTCCGTTCCTTCCTTTCGATAGTCTAATCATCACAAACCTGTGTAACAGACTGTTCTCCTTTTGCGTTGATGAAAAAGATCCCAAACAATTAACTGTAAACCATTTGTAATTGTTGTCGTATTAATTGTGTCTTTTGTGTTTCTTTGATAAAAAAATTTTGTACCAAAAAATCAATTCCATTGGACTCAATGGTTATATACTTTTATAAACATGACAAAAACATCTTTGGGGTTTAACAGAGCTTAACGTTGCTCAAGAAAATTAACACACACTTGTATTTACATTTTTTTTTACATGTATCGAGTACCCAGGTACTCAATCGGAAAAACGTTCGAGTAACCGATTATCAAAAATTGACCGATTTGACATCCCTAATATAAATATAATACTAATCATGGCTTTGCTGTTCTTGAGAAAATTTTTTTAAAAAGATTTTTCTTATGTATATCCTAAATTATTTAAGTAATTCCTCCAAAATAGATTGAATATCAATTAAAGTTGATTTATATAATTTCATTTTGTAGCAAACATCTTAAACGCAATCAAATATATTTATTTAGTTATTTATTTATCTATCTGTTTATTTATATTTTTTATGATCATAGTTACATGTGTCCTTTACAGGTCTGGTACAATCAGTAGATTTAGCTATGTAGCTTGAATATTACCTTCATAGCTTTATTTACCTACTTGAGGCAGCTTTATCTAAGTACTAAATAATACTTATTTATTAAATTAGCATTTTTTTCAGTATGAACCAAAAAAAAAAAAAATCACACTTAGATGCACTGAAAATTTTCAACTTTGATCTGATCTGAAAACAATTCATGAAAAAATCACTCTTGAAGATATGTCTCTTTCAGTGCAATTGCAATCAAAGTTCTGAAAGTTTTGGGGCTCCAAATAACAGTTTATTTGTGACCAAACAGTTACTTTTTGAATGAAATTAAAAAAAAAACACCAGTTTTGGTTAACATGATAATTGATTGGTAATAATCAGTACAATGTGAAGTAATCATACATGCTTCACCACCAACAAGGTCGCTAGTGTACATTTATGCTCAGGGTTCAAAATTAAGTGGAAATACTCGCTAAAATGCGACCAAGAAATACATTTTAGCGAGAGTTTCACATTAAACACTAGCAAAATTTATCAAAGAGTTCCAGTTTGGCGTTTTTACCTTAATTTCCAATTTAAAAGTGTTTGAATGACTGCTTAATTGTCATGATTTTTAGGGCCGATCTGAGGCCAAAATTTGGCAGGAGTCCCAATAGGATAAACCTGTATTTTCCAAAAATATATTGGAAGTTTTCTCAAAGAAAATCTCACTAAATTTGTGATCACAATCAGGGGCCCGTTTTACAAAAAAACTTATGACTAAGACCAAAATGACTAATTCTGCTTATAACTTTTTATTTTACTGGTACATAAATTTGAAAATGATTTTATTCTTTTTAAAAAGAATTTAAAATGATATTTTTATGGTAACAATTTCAAACAGAATAATCAATTTTGCAAAATTTTACAATCAACTCAAGTTTTGGTCTTAGTCATATATTCTTACGTAAAACAGGCCCCAGTTTATTTATTGAAACATTATTTCTCAATAAACTTAAGCAGAAATATTGTGTTGCAGGTCAGCCATTTTGCCGATTTCTTCATTAGATAATTCGATCATGCCACTATTGTTCTTGATGTAAGTTGTAAGATAATTCATATTTGAAATATTCTTGAGTTGTTTGTCAAAGTAATCCAAATATTTGAAACTGCTTATCATATGACAGGGATTTTCTTGAAATCCCAATTTAGCCTAATTGACACTGAAATTCTCAATTCTATCGGCTATTGACAGCTTTGGAGGAGGTTTAATCTGTTTCGCTTTATCTGATTGGTTAAATAATTTAAACTGTATTCCATTGACCAGTCAGATGAAGGGAAACAAAGTGATAAGACCAACACCTCCTCCAAGGCTGTCAAAAGAGAAAATTTTATGTGTCTGTCTAATAAATTGTCTGATTACAGCATATGAAACACTTATGATGGGTTTAGGTTAAAGAGACAATTAAGTAGGCGAACATCTCCCCAACAGAGTGGTTTCAAAAATATGATAGATAACACTTTTAATACCTTGGAAATAAGCCTCGAAGCGGGGAACCCCCTATTTTTTTTTATTATTTTTTTTTCTTACCTTTTGTAATTTTATTATACAGTATATGGTCAATTTTTAAACTTTAACAAAAGAAACAAACCAATTACACAGAATGACATACAGATAGAAAATTTATTGACGGAGAATTACACAGAATGACACACAGATACAATTGACGGAGAAATAACATATTTTTGAGAGAATAAAGACTCCTTATATTTTATTAGTGAGTGGGGGTGGGGTTGTTGATCCACGCTTCAGGTGCCTGTGATATATAAATTTTAGTGTCACATACTTGCGAATTTTTGTCTATTTTAAATAAAAGCAAAATTGTGAAAACTTGCACTGTAATAGCTAAATAAAAGTAACTTCAAGTAGCTATAAAAAGCTAGGTAGGTAAATAAACCTATGTAGCTAAATTTACTGATGGTACGTAATGGACCTACTTAATGTTTAAGAATATGATTATTGGGATACCTCTTGGCAGCTTCGATACGCCGTTTAATTCTCTCTCGCCGAGCCTGAATTCTTTCCTCTGGGTCATTAGAATCGACACTTGGCCCTATTTCATCCTCCTCTCCGCTAGAACTCATATCTTTTTGTTGGTTTTTCTTCAGTTTGCTGCGTTGCTATGCTGGGTCACAGCCATTAACAATGGTTCTCACCAAACTTCCGGTAAAAATAACCGCTTCTACTTCCTTTTCCTGTACAGCAAACATGGCGGTTAGTAGCAGTATATTCCTTGCTAATAAAATCTTTGATCATCTGCAGTTTCTTACCATATTGATTTTAGAAATTTATTAGAGAGCAAAATATCATTTATTTTCTTGACGTTTCAGGTTAAAAAATTGTTCTAAAAGATCATGAAGATGAATTAAAAATATATGATTAGTATATAAATCTTAGATCTACAGCATGTACAGTGGATTAAGTTAAGATAAATAATAATAACAGAGTTTCCAAAAACCAAATATTTCTACCAGTCATTCGGACTGATGAATTAATATGTTCTACCAGTCCAAAGCAAATTTTCAGTGCATATAAATTCTAATATAATTCATGATGTAATTCATAAGAATATGACATTGGTTGGGACTGGTCCGTTTCACTTTCACCTGGGAGTATGTACATCAAATTGCTGCAGAACATCAATGCCAACCTAACTGGACCTTGAAAGTACTCAGATTGAGCGTGTAAATGATTCAATGGATCGTAACAACACCAATTGCGAGCCTGATTGCGAGACATTGGAATAGATCAGAGTACAATTAATTGAGGATTTTTATCTGACACGTCTCATAAGCTTACATGTTATTAAAAACATTTACTTAGGAATCTTTAAAAAAATTAATATTGTTGATGTTTCAGCGATTCATAGTATGCATATTTTGATTGCTGATGCTATGCGCCATTGCTCTGATGTCATAGTGTCAATCCTGATCAAGCAAAGTACTTATTGTGTACACAAAACGGCTCATTTGTTGTGTCTTTTAAACCTATTAGTAAATAAATAAGTGATAATTGGATAATTGACAGCTAGTAAGGTATAATTTTTGGCTTTAGGCATACACAAATGCGCACAAGAAAGGTTTTAGGAAGACTTTTTTCACATTTCTTGAAATTGGTCGAGAAGTGAAAGGGGGCCTTTTTTTCTGCAAACGTGAGGGCTTTGTCCCCAATCCGGAAACTCATTTAATCACGGATTTTTTCTGTACTATAAAATATTTAAAGGACATGGTACCTTTTTTAAATGGAAAAAAAAATACCCAACACACATTTTTAAAGTTGCACAGTATTTAGTACTAGTAGTGTTAGTAGGAATGTTGTGAACTTCGTAATGGCGTTTGGGGCCATTGAACAGGGTTGAAGAAATGTCACTTCTAGTACATGATATTCACTGGAACAGATAGAAGATATACAGGATTTATTTATATATATAGTTTATTAAAATAATGAAGTTGAATTTAAAATTCTCATATTTATATATATATTTACGAAGTCCAACTTTATAGTTATTCGTTCTATTTAGTCGGAAGTCTTCGGTGTCCTCTCCTATTATCGGCATATTTTCTTGGTTATTTCTCTCTGCTAGACGTTCATACATAAAAGATTGACCATCCATAACTGAAAGAATATTGTTGATGTCAAAATTTTCACCGACCTTATTGTGTAGTTAATATTATTTTACGTCAAAATCTTATAATAAGCTTTACGAGTTCTAATTGACCATTGACACCTATGACATTTCAGTACCACGTGACCCCTATCTGATTAGTGGAGATTTTTACTTGGAGAACTCTATATTATGGGTGTTTTATTGCCTAGTTATTACTGTTTTCAAAGTTATTTCATAATTAAATGATAATCCACTTATTGAGGGGATCCACTACAAAAGAATTTGAAGAATACAAAAAGAGTTGCACTGAAAATAACTACTGTATATATATCAATAACAAACCTTTTTGAGCTTGTAGATGTCTTTTATCCAGAAAAGTAACCCATAGAAAGACAAAAATTCAACTCATTTTCTCAACGTTTTTTCTCCTTTTGAATTTATATCCATGTTGACATTTGGAACTTTCTAGATTATTTGTACCGGTAGTTATGTAGATTAGAATTATTTGTCCCTGTTTATTTTGCTACATTGCCAGAAAGTAGCTTGCTAAAGGCTTTTTGATATTATGATAAAAAGAAAAAACTTTACGGGTACAACAAAAACAAACAAAAAAACAACGGATTTTTAATGCAGATATTGATTGGTCATGCAGACTGGTGATGTAGAAATTGCTTTGGACATTTCAATTTTCTATTAGTTTTGCCGATAGGACCGATGGTTTTCAGAAACTCTGTAATAATAATAATGATAATAAACGGGGACATTTTTTTAACTGAAAAAGGCAAATAAAGTTTGAAATCGTGTTACATCATTGTAAGATAACCTGGTACTTTTTGGTTGTTGCTCTAAACGATTTGACAATTTATGATGGTGGTTCCATGTTTGTAGGACAAAGGCAAGAAGAAAGAAAAGAAGCATAATGTGATGCGAGAGCTAAAAATTTCAAAGCTCTGTTTAAACATATGTGTTGGTGAATCTGGTGACAGACTTACACGAGCGTCAAAGGTGTTAGAACAACTAACTGGACAACAGCCCGTCTTCTCAAAAGGTAAGTTTAAATTAATATGCTATTTAAAATATAATAATAAGGAACACCTATGGATAAAAAATACCAAATTTCATTGGATTTGACATACTGTTGAACCGTTATACAGGGCTGTCACTGTCCTTTTTGGTGCAAGGTCGGGGTCCACAAGAATGGGAAAATTATCGATGTTTTTCGTCAAATTGGGAAATTTTACTTTCATACAATAATTTAACAAAAAATATTCAAACGGCAATTTTTTTTCTACCTATTGGGAAAGGGTCCAGTATGGCTTCAATTGGGAAAAATAGCATCTAAGTAGAACAAAGGAGAATTTTCTGTCATTTAAACAAATGAACCGTATTCGAGATTAGCGTCGGCCAGTCGGTCCTGCGCCAATGCACAAACAGAAGGACTCGTGACTAGTATGATTAAATGGTCCTTGAAATAATTTTGGGCTTACAATGATTTGGCGGGAAACAAGTTAACGTCAATCACATCTTCTCGGACCTTTCTGGCGAGCTTGGAAAAAATACACGTTTTTCTTTACTGCTTGTTGGAAATTAAGGCTTAAGAAGTTGCGGTTGAAGTTAACGTATATTGAATTATGCATTTACATTAACTTTCATATCTTTCCTGCATTTTCATTATAGATATATTAAAGAAATTAACCAATGAGCGTCTTTAAAAGAAATTGGCAGGGTTTTCCCTAAGAATTGAAGTAGCAGGGGAAATTTCAAAAAGTAGAAGGGGGTCTGGGGTTCCTCTCCTAACTTGAGGTTGAGGAAGAATACTAGAGTAACAGGGGGATAACGTCATTATAGGCGGGGAAATTCCCCGGCCCCCGGGTCTTAAAGACAACCCTGAATTGGACATAAGATAGGTAAAACTTTTTTTTATCAAGATCATATCGATTCTTCTTTTCATGTACATTTTAAATAGATACTGAAGATGTGATTTTTTTTCTGCATGGAATAAATTTACGCTATATGTATGCAGTTACAAACTTTCCACGGAAAGTTGTCCAAGTACACTTAAGTACATTTTATCAACATATTGTGGCAATCTAAGAAACCTGCGTAGTTCTCTACCCGCGGATTTTAAAAACAGACATTGTAATACCGAGGAAAAGTATGTTTACACAGGGGCTGACAAATCCCATTGCCCGACGCCCGGGGCTAGTGAATTTTAGAGGCGGGCAAGTGAATTTTCAATAGGCACTTGCCCGTGGGCAAGTAGCTTAAAAAAATCAATCAATAAATATTTTTATAAATGTAGTTTTACACGAAATCGAAACTATTTTGTCGTAAGAGTTATCTTCCTTTGCTCGTCACACTTTGTAAGTGAACCAGTGTCATCGTGTATCATTATAAGTCACTATTCAATTCATTTAAAGTCTTACTGAAAGTTTAAGTGAACCGAAAGTGACAAATTGGCATAGGAGAAATGGAGAAAGTTTTAACAAATATGAGGCAGAAAAACGATCATCAGCTGATGAAAAGTACATTGTTAACACGGGTCAGAAACGATGTTAGCGAAAGAGCCACAAAATCTTCTAAGCATACTAAGTTTGAGAAAGAAAAACAATGGAAACACTTATTCCTACCAAATGGCAAAACTCATGTGTGAGCTGAATTACAATAGCGATACTAATGGTATGGTACTTCGTACTTTTTGGCGGTAGTTTTCAATTGTCACCAATATTCAGAACAACACATTCAAGGTTGCAAAATTTTCTGATTTGTTGACAAATTTATTCATTACGATGAATATGAAATGCTGGATAGTAGACAACAATGAAAGAAAAAATGTTTTGTTGTTTTAGATGAAATTGAAACTATTTTGTCATATGAGTTATCTTTAATTTATAGTTTATGGTGGGGCAAGTAAAAATTGAAGTAGGGCAAGTGAATTATGACTATGCACTTGCCCGTGGGCAAGTGCTTGAAAAATCTATTTGTCAGCCCTTGGTTTACAGTAATATAAACACGTTAATTAATTATGTGTTATACCTGTTATATGACCAAGTAAGACTGTGTGACGATTAAATATTTTACCATTTCATATTGTTAATACTTGCAAGTTGTAGATACAATGTACCCTTTATTAAATTGACATATTTCATATGAAGTGATAAACTTACCGAGATCATCAATACGTAAAAGTTTATTTTTCACAAATATTTGATGGTATTATTTTTGGGCGTACGCTGCCCTGGAAGTACTCGTAGTCCCTTTATCTGTGGGTCCTTTGGACCCATAGAAAATTTTGAACACAGAACGTATTCTGTGTGTATTCCAACCTCATTACCTATTACTCCGTGTATTAAAGAATAAACAACAAGTATTGTTTTTTATATCAATGTCCCCCAGGGTTCTCATTAACGCAAGAATCTGCGTCCTAGACGCAGCAAAATTACTTGGGACGCAAGGTTCTTAAAATCGATGCGTCCGCGGACTCATGATCGGACTCGTCCTCGTTAGCGAGAAAATTCGGGTAATTTCAAAAACGGGGAATTTAGATGTTAGGATTTGTCAAAGAAATATTTAATCGAAACCTTCCTGTAACTATCATAAAGTTCATCCAAGAAATAACTTTTCTTGTACTTATTTCTCTTTTTTTTTTTTTAAACAGGGATTGATCATAATTAAGATACTTCATGTTTATTAGTCCATAGTCATAATAATGTTGCATGTCAAACTCCGACAGCTGCAAACACACTGCAGCTTCTTTTTAAAAAAAAAAAAAAAAAAAAAACACTTTTGAATCTTGAGTGTCTACATGTAGAAACCATAATTACTGCTTGTATACACAATGCGGCTTGATTATCTTGTGAATTTCACCCAGTGCAGACTACCGACAGGATTAGTTACGCCTCATTGCACATGACACCTGTGATTGTATACAGTCAACTTTCGGGTTCTCGTTGATTATGCAACAGTTAATTTTAGCTTTATAAACACCAAGTTAATTTTTATGGCAACTGATTACGCGTGTATTTTAGAATGTGGCTTGAATGCATTACCAGTTTACATGGTTTATATACTTGAATATGTTAATATTGCGTAAACAAACTGATAAAATGATAAAGATTTTTATTGATGTTTGGATGGAAGGATACTGCAATAATTTAGTTGGGACTCAACATAATTATTCTGGGACGCATCAAATTTAGCTGGGACGCAACCTTCTCAGAAATCTTGAGTCCTGGGACTCAAGTTGGCAAAATCCTAGTGAGAACCCTAGTCCCCTGTTTTTGCATTTTATGCTTTCAGTTTGTCAAAATGTATGACACTACCAGGCCGCCCAGGCCGTTTTTGCATGGCGGTACTGCCATGCATTCACAATCCCCCGCCATGCATCACACATTGCTGCTATGCTTCCCGCTATGCATGAATTATTATACCCCCTGCAAACGAAGTTTAGGGGGGGTATATTGGAATCACCATGTCCATCTGTCTGTCCGTCTGTCTGTAGACAAGATTTTGTCCAGAGCGTTTCTCGGAAACTATTGCATAGATCTGTCTGAAAATTTGTACGCTTATTATTCACCATATGAAGGTTTGCACCTGGTATTTTCATCATGATTGAGTAATTTTTACAGGTGTTTTTTTCATTTTTATTATGTGGTTTTGTCCTGACCTTTTCTCAAAGACTATTTCATAGAATTGTATGAAAATTTGTACACTCATTATTTACCATATGAAGATGTGCACCTGGTATTTTCAACATTATTTGATAATTTTTCTGCATTTTACAGTTTTTTTTTTTCATTTTTATTGACTTAGTCATTTTGGGTTTATTTCTAAGGTTTGAGACACAGAATCTAGAACATCTGTACAAAAATGTGAACTACAGCTTAAAACTATTCATTAAAACAAAAAAAAATCACCAAGTATTAAAAACAATTTTTACATTACACAGCAGATAATGTAAATCCATTTGTCCCTTGGGAGAAATGAGTGGACATGCATCCAGTTAAAGATTAATTAATGAGTTCAGTGTGGGAAGCTGTTAGGGCATCTCTGATCAAGCATGTGTTATCTATATCTCCTGGGAATTTAAAGATCTCTGTTCTTTAATTCTCTTCATTGTAATTTATTGTCTGTCATAGTACATAGTTAAAGGATGACCAGCCTTTCATTTTTAAAATGAATTTGATATAAAGTTATCAAGATTAATTTGATTTTGTAATTAATTGATTTTTTTTTTCAAAAAATCAATTTGCAGAATGTCATGTCTCAAAAAGATGACAGATAGTTGCAATTTATTTTTTCAATGTATTAAAAACAATGTAATTACAATGTATTGGTATTGATGTTTTATTAGGTTGTTCCTTAGTTTCATTCTTAAAAAAAATATAATGAGCAATTATTTTTTCACTCTAAATGTTAATAAGAAAATTATGAACACCTCTTTGATCCATAGAATATTAGTGATTTGGCACCTCTGAAAAACCCAGCGGGGGGTATTTGTCCCTTTTGGACAGTTCTAGTTAAAGTTATGCCATTGTTAAGAAGACTTACTTACAAAATGTTATCAGTTACTAATCTATCAATAAAACAATTCAAATCACCAGAATACTTCCATGTACATGGTGCGCACCTGTGGTGAACTCGATGCGAATCATGGTAGGGGGTATGATGCAATAGCTGTCAACTTATGTTTATTACAATTTACTGGTATGTCAGTACTCAGGGTTCTCCACATTTGAAAATTTAACCATGGAGGAAGCTGCGTGAAGGCAAAATGTGACCGAAAACACAAATGCGTGTTAGACTTCTTAACCTTCATTAATCAGTGATTGGTTTCACAAAACTTAGCCACTGCAACACAAAAAGTTGAAATAACCAATGTTTTTAAAGCTAAAAAATATAAATAAAAATAAAAAAGATTATGTATCTTACAAAATACAAATGTTTACCAAAATTGGCCAAAAACTATAGGAACATTTTGAAGGAATTTCAAAAAAATATTTTGATAGAGTAACCATGGCAACATTATTAAAAAACTGATATACAGAATTGATGTTGCCTGTTGTATGAATATTTTATTCGAATATGACTAAAACTGATAAATGGGTAGCATTTTGAAAACAAACGAATGGACGAACGAACACCGACATCCTACCAATTTTTTAACTATACATGGTCTATGAAAACTTAAATGATGGCATGCATGGTAAAAGTAACTTAATATAACCAGGGGCATATATTTGACATAACTGTAATTTTGTTTTCCCTATTCTGTTTTTTTTCTAAATGTTCTTTTTTTTCACATATTGCATTTTCGCCAAGTTTCCTTCATTGTTTTCTTCTCCACGTGCCGAAGTGCTAAAAATAGCACCACGCGACGTTTCATATAAACGGGAGGTAACTCTAAAACTAAGACGGCGATTGGCACTTATGTACATTTTATCAGAAAGATAATAAAATAAATACTTAAAAACCAAGCATGAGGAATTGATTAAATGCAAAGAAAAGGAAATTTTGAAAGGGTTAATTTTTTCAGGGCACAGAAACTTGAATTTGATGCTTGTCGATTATCACGTTGTTACTGCTCGTTATGTCATCTTTTGTAAATTTGTTCTCGTACAGTGAACAGGTTGGAATTTCCCAAAATTACATGTGTACAGGATAATTAACTCAAGATATTGATCGTCAGCTGATTGACTCTCCATTGTCACGTTTCACAGCACATTCACTGATCAACAACCATGTTTGTTTAGCACAGTCCGCTTTCTCTCGAGGTATGCGAGGTGCATGGCAGTTGTAGTATAAACACAATTAACTACTCAAGTCATTAAAAAGTAGGTGTCAAAACTAAAATGCAATAAAAATTTAATCATGGCGGCCGATTTTAACCATGGCGCAGCTCGTTTAACCATAGCGGGCCGCCATGGTAAAACCCCTTGTGGAGAACCCTGAGTACAATGTGTTAAGCTTCTATTTGATAGAAGTATTTAATACTAGGAAAAAAATAATTAATTGCTGTCAGATAGTACATAAGGTGAAAGTAACACACTTGTTAATGCACATGTGGGTCATTCTATAAATAGCATTCATGTTCCAAGATCAAAATGATTCATTAGATAAACACATAATTTTAAAGTCATATTTCAGCATTAACATGCTTAAAATAAACACGTCAAATAATTATTATCTTTGTTTATTTACTCTGTGAACTGTGGGAAATACTTGGACGAAGCGCACATGCTGCATGAATACACAATTGCACAATGACCTACGTTCTAAAGCTTACGTTGAAAGGGAAAAAAAAGCAAACTCATACACCAATGTAAATATGTTGTCACAGTATTTACATGTAAGCATGGGTGCTACATATTGTGCACCCTTTTTGTTAAAAGATGACTGTAAAGGTAGGGACATCCAAAATATCAAAGTACTGAAAGTACTGGGAAGCGCTAAGCATATTGCAATTTGAAATTCATCAGAATTATTTTGAATTTAAATTGCCTGTTGTATTGGAATTTAAGCAATATCTTGACAGTGCGGCTGTGCTAGGGCGAGCACAGTTGTTTGATACATAATCAAACGTGAGTCATGAAAATTTCCCCTTGGGCATTGAAATTCAACATTGTCTTATGCCCTTTTATTTTAAGCATTTTACATTTTCTTCTGTCAAAAGATCAATCAATTTCACAAACATGAAATTGTAAGAAAATATTTCACTGTTTCTTAAAAAAAAAGGGAAAAAAAAACAATATACACAAATTAAATGGCAGATATTTACTCCAAACAGCAATGTATTTCTCAAACCTAATAAAGAAGAAAAAAAAACATGTAAAAATATTTTCTTTCTCCATCTCCTGATAGGAGTCTGTAAGAGGTGGCTTTGCGTATAAATCGCAGTTTATTGGAGGGGGTATGGTGGACGAGTTTTCCAACCAAATTTAGACTATAAAGTAGCTATACATTTGCTGGAAAATGTATATTTGTAAATAATTTTGAACGCTTGAAAATGTCGCTGAAATTCCTCTCAGTTATGTGCAACACCGACAGGTAAAATGTTCTGGTGATAATTTTTAATAATGAATTTATTGCTTGTTTACGAGTGTTTCAAATTGAAGATTGGCTGTTAGTGACATTGCTTTAATTTTAGAAACTGCACTCGGAAAATAAAGATGTTATTTGTGTATTGCGTCTATAAATATTTCCTTATTGATAACATAATTATTTATTAAAGTTATGAATAAAACATCTAAAAAATATCAGATACTAGTATTCTCACTAAATTGTTTTTAGTTTATCTTTTTTTTTCATATTCATAAGCAATTTATAAATTTACGATTTTATAGAAAGGATTTTACAAGAAATACATCAATGGAGTGTGTAAGATATTTACACAATTGCTACGAGCGTCCAGTATTTATTAATGATAAATAAAACTTAGACTATATATTACATTCTGTTCTGAATATGCTACGGCTGTGTATTATACATTTCTAACACTTCACAGTCATCGCGCTGTGCAGCATATCGGCATCATGTTTGTAACTACGTCATGTGACAAAACTCTTTGTCAATGAAATGAGCACCTGTAGAGTTAACGTCCTTTTGTCAGAGATAGTTGGTAAATATACATTTTGAGTAAAAAGATATTATATTTGTCTTCTTCGTTTGATGATAAAACATTCGGTGCTATCCTTTTATCTTAGATTTTCAAATACATGATTTATGATGTATTTGCAACAAAAATTTGTCTTTTCTGTTGATCTCACAATATGTATATCTGATTCGTAAATATTACTTTTTTATTTCAAATGGATTTCATGACTGGAAAGAGTTTCTTCTTCCTGAAGTCCACCCTCACGCATAAAAATAAACTATCTTGCATTGAATAATGACACTACCTCACCTACAGTCAGTGTCGGAGATATCATGTGCGACTGACTTGTAACTTTGAATGCATTATTCTTTAGTCTGAAGTTGTGATGCTCGTCAAAAATATCAATAAAAGTTTTTAGATTTAGTATTGGTGCAATTATGCTCTTGTTTTCATTTAAGTGGCGACACTTGTTAAACGTAAGCGACAATACACTTGTACTGGGAGTTGACGCTGTTTCCCATGGAGGCCACCATTGCTGAAACCAAAACTAATATCAGAGCCGATGACGGAAATCGGGGAAAATTCCGGAAATTTGAAAATTGTCAGGAAAAAAAAATAGGGTCGGCGTTATAAAATAGGGACGGTCGGGTAACCAGAACCACACACATTTTTTATTTGGCCTAAAGTTTTTGGAGCAGATCTCATTTCCAAGTAACTATAAGCCTTATATTGACCAAACTTGCACTAATGATACATCTAAGGATGCACACTACTGGACTTGCTTTGGATGCTGAATTTGACCTACATTTTTCGAATGAGTGACCAGGTCAAAGTTTTTGGAGCAGATCTCATTTCCAAGTAACTATAAGTCCTATGTTGACCAAACTTGCATGGATGATACATCTAAGGATGCACACTACTTAATTAAGGGCTAAAGTTATCAGGTAAGTGTTATAAACCATGGGCCTCTTGTTTATCAGTAGCTTAGACTTGGGGTAAAGATGACAAACTTTCAGGTTTTGGTTTATTAGCTACAGCCAGGTGAGCAATTCTGGCTTCTAGGTGCCTCTTGTTAACTTTTTTCAATAAGTCTTATTTAAATGCCTCCATCTTTCAGCCCGCTACACAGTCAGATCTTTTGGGATTAGAAGAAATGAAAAAATTGCTGTACATTGCACTGTAAGAGGAGCTAAAGCAGAAGAAATCCTCGAGAGAGGACTCAAGGTAGGTTTTTTTTTTTTTTTTTTTGAAATTTAAAAAGTTTTCAGTAGTGATGGGCCGAATGTCGCCAACAATGGATTGTCGGTCGTTTGGAGCTCTTCAGTGCTACTAATCGATTACGAAATAAATATCGCTGACTACAATTAATATTGTAATACTTTAATTTTATTACCAAATTCATGTGCAAAGAGTTTTAAAGTAGTGATGAATGTTCAAAACATCGAAAGTATCCATGCCTTGTTGATATTTTTACCGCCATAATTGAATATAGGGTCATACTACTAACAGAAAACAAACGAAATTATCTGGTTTTACTATATATAAGAAAACATTAACAGTATAGACGGTCTGTTAACTAAACTATAATGAGGAATACAAGTCCAAATTCTTGATAACTACTTTTTAGCTCACCTCGACGAAGTCGAGATGAGCTTATGCTATACCCCCGGCGTTGGCGTCGGCGTTATTGTCGGCGTCCCAGGTTAAAGTTTTAGGAGCAAGTCCATTCCCAAGTAACTACAAGCCCTACCTGGACCAAACTTGCATGGATGATGCATATAGGGATGGACACTACCACACTTGCTTCGGATGCTGGATCTGACCTAGATTTTCCAGATGAGTGACCAGGTTAAAGTTTTTGGAGCAGGTCCATTCCCAAGTAAGTACAAGCCCTACCTGAACCAAACTTGCATGGATGATGCATCTAGGGATGGACACAACCACACTTGCTTCAGATGCTGGATCTGACCTAGATTTTCCAGATGAGTGACCAGGTTAAAGTTTTTGGAGCAAGTCCATTCCCAAGTAACTATAAACCCTACCTGAACCAAACTTGCATGGATGATGCATCTAGAGATGGACACTACCACACTTGCTTCAGATGCTGGATCTGACCTAGATTTTCCAGATGAGTGACCAGGTTAAAGTTTTTGGAGCAGGTTCATTCCCAAGTAACTATAAGCCCTACCTGAACCAAAGTTGCATGGATGATGCATCTAGGGATGGACACTACCACACTTGCTTCGGATGCTGGATCTGACCTATATTTGGAGCAGGTCTATTATGATTAAACAGCTTGGATGGTACATCTAAGGATGAAAACTTCCAGACTTGCTTTGGATGTTGGAACTGTCCAAAATTTTCTTGATTAGTAAACAGGTTAGAAGTTTTTTGAGCAGGTCTATTTCCAAGTATCTATAAGTCCTTCTTAAACCAAACTTGTATGGATATTGATCTTGGGATGAACACTAACTAGAAAAAATGTGATGCAAGATTTGCCTTACTTATAGATAGCCTTCGTCGAGGTGAGCTTCGTAATCTTTGATTACCTATGTTTATAAAACTTGTAATTCCAAGAAATAAATACATGTAATGCAAGGTGGGACTAATAACAGTAATATTTCCATTCAATACATTTCATGAGATTTTTTTTATAAAAATAAATTCCCATTCAATATATTTAAATGACATTTGAAAAAAAAAAAAAAAAAGGAAAGAAATAATTCTTATTTTTCACTTTATTAAAAAGAAAAAAATTAATAAACATGATTTTAATAAATAATTAAAATAAAATTATTTTTATTACTTTTTAGCTCATCTTGACAAAGTTGAGATGAGCTTATGCTATACCGTAGTGTCGGCGTCCCGGTTAAAGTTTCAGGAGCAAGTCCATTCCCAAGTAACTATAAGCCCTACATGGACCAAACTTGCATGGATGATGCATCTAGGGATGGACACTACCACACCTGCTTCGGACCCTCAATCTGACCTAGATTTTCCAGATGAGTGACCAGGTTAAAGTTTTTGGAGCAGGTCCATTCCCAAGTAACTTTAAGCCCTACCTGGACCAAACTTGCATGGATGAGGCATTTAGGGATGGACACTACCACACTTGCTTCAGATGCTGGATCTGAGCCAGATTTTTCAGATGCGTGACTAGGTTAAGATTTTGGAACAAGTCCATTCGCAAGTAACTAAGCCCTACCTGGACCAAACTTTAATGGATGATGCATCTAGGAATGTACACTAACCAACCTGGTTCGGATGCTAGATCCGACCTAGATTTTCCACATGAGTGATTTTTAGCCATATTTTAACCAAATTAGCATGAATGATGTATCTAGGGATTGACATTTCCAGACTTGCTTTGGATTCTCAATCTGACTTTCATTTTCCAGATGAGTGACCAGGGTAATTTTTAGCTCTACTGGTCAGAGACCAAAAGAGCTTATGCTGTAGTAAGGTGTCAGGCATCCATCCGTCTGTCTGTAAACAATTTTTCAAAATGCTACTCCTCCTACAGTTTTGCTCTGATTTCAATATAACTTGGCACAAAAGTAGACTACACTAAGAAACATAACTTAGTGCATCGGTTTGAGAGGGGGGTATACTGTTTTACCCTTGCTTGTCTGTCTCTCTGTCTGTCTGTCCGTAACAAATTTTGGTCGCAGTTTTCTCAGTAACTACTCATTGCAGATGCTTGAAATTTTAGCACAATCTTTGTTTAGGCATGCCATATGGTGGGATTCATTTTTGTACTAATCCAGTGTCAACTTCCTGTTTATCCGTGCGTCTGTCCGTACCATACATAACAAACTTTGGTCGCAGTTTTCTCAGCAACTACTCATTGCAGATGCTTGAAATTTTAACACACTCTTTGTTTAGTCATGCCATATGGTGGGATTCATTTTTGTACGAATCTAATGTAAACTTCCTGTTTATCTGTGTGTCTAACCAAACCATACATGACAAACTTTGGTCGCAGTTTTCTCAGCAACTACTCATCTCAGGTGCTTGAAATTTTAACACACTCTTTGTTTAAGCATGCCATATGTTGGGATTCATCATTTTTGTACAAATTTGATGTCAACTTCCTGTTTATCCGTGCGTCTGTCCATACCATATATAACAAATTTTGGTCGTAGTATTCTCAGCAACTACTCATCGTAGATGCTTGAAATTTTAGCAAACTCTTTGTTTAGGCATGCCATATGGTGGGATTCATTATTGTATGATCTGATGTCAACTTCCTGTTTATCCGTGCGTCTGTCCATACCATACATAACAAATTTTGGTCGTAGTTTTCTCAGCAACTACTCATCGCAGGTGCTTGAAATCTTAACACAATATTTGTTTAGGCATGCCATATGTTGGGATTCATTATTTACTAATCCAATGTCAATTTCCTGATTATCACTGTGTTTGTCCATAACTGAACTTGTGTATTCACATCAGAGCAGGGGTATTATTAGTGAGCATTGGCTCACAGACTTCTTGTTGATTTTGTTGAACGGTGTTGCCATGGTTACTAAAAATAGAGGTTCTGTGAAATTCCTTTAAAATGCTACTCCTCGTACAGTTTTGGTTTGATATCATTATAACTTGGCACACAAGCGGACTTCATTAAGATACATAATTTAGTGCATTGGGTTTTGATTTTGATGAACAGTGTTGCCATGGTTACTAGAAATAGAAATTTCTGTGACATTCCTTTAAAAGCTACTCCTCCTACAGTTTTAATTTGATTTCAGTATTACTTTGCACACAATTAGACTACACTAAGATGCATAATTTAATGCATCGGTTTTTGATTTTGATAAACAGTGTTACCTTGGTTACTAGAAAAAGAAATTTCTGTGAAATTCCTTTAAAACGCTACTCCTTCTACAGTTTTAATTTGATTTCAGTATAACTTGGCACACAAGTAGACTACACTTAGATACATAACTTAGTGCATTGGTTGTTGCCATGGGTACTAAAAATAGAAATTTCTGTGAAATTCCTTTAAAATACTACTCCTCCTACAGTATTAATCTGATTTCATAAGTATTTGGCACACAAGTAGACTACACTGAGATAAATAATCCTGTTTATCATTTTTTGATTTTGGTGAAGTGTTGCAATGGTTACTAAAAATGCAAGTTTCTGTGAAATACATTCAAAATGCTGCTCCTTATGTAGCTTTGCTTTTATTTCAGTGTAACTTGGCACGCAAATAGCCTACACTGAGACACATTTTTGTCTTAATCATTTTTTTGATTTTGATGAATGATGTTGCCATGGTTACTAAAATCCAAATTTCTGTTAAAATCATTTAAAAGGTTACTCTTCCTACAGTTTTAGTCTGATTGCAATAAATCTTGACACAAAAAGAGACTAAACCAAGGACCATTACTCTATTTATTGCTGTTGCAAAGCTTCAAGTCCAAGTGCTACTTTTCTTTTCCTTTGTTATAAGTACAAACCAGTAGAGCTACAGTCTCATCAGAGACTTCTGGTTTTGGAGTAGATATTTAATTTTAAGGCCTGTTATGATTATACTTGCATAGATGGTGCATCTAAGGATGAAAACTTCCAGACTTGCTTTGGATGATGGAACTGCAGGGTTCACTAGTCCGTAAAGCATTTGACTAGTCCACCCTTTGTCTTATGATAATGATAACATACCCGTGATAAACCTTCTTTGTAACTTTAAATCCCCCCCCCCCCCCCCATCTACCTTTATGAGATAAAATTATTATTTTTGAATACAAATTAAATTCTGATTCATCTGTTGCTACAGAAAAAAAAATGCAAGGTATCAAACATATAAATATTTTTTTGATTACATCAGTAGAAAAAAAATACTTAAACTTAGTAGTGATATACAGTGATTCCCCGTTATAACGCCAACATTTGTACCTTGGTCATTTTGGCATTATAACGGGGGTGGCGTTATATCGGGGGGAGAGAAGTGACGTGCACAAATAAATGAAAACAAATTTATTATCAATGTACTACATGTATTTCAAGATTTTAATACCTTTATATCAAATAAACAAATATAAAAGCTTATGTATGCTTGTCAGAAAATCACTGTTTTTTGAAAAACATATCAATTGTTGATTGTTTTGATGGTTTTATTTTAATAGCCAATCGCAGTAAAAAGTTTATTTCAGATTCAGTTGTTGATTCTTTTGATTCTAAATGCCGTAACAAACATTCAAGTCCCTGTTTGGCCTCTA